TAGTGATGAGGGCACTAGGCTGTGTTTTTTTCATGGTAGTGTTGACTATCCATGGATGCTGTCGTTGGCCAGAGGAGACAGCTTGGGCGAAGGTCATGGTGGGCTTCCCTATTTGTATCCCCCTAGAAGTGGCCTTTTTTGTGGTCAGATCTCGGGTTTCCAGCCACTCATTCAGACATTTGGAGAAGAAAGCGCTGAACTCCTTGGCATGAGAGTATAGTTCGGTTCCAGCTTTCTCAAGTGTCTTATCGACTGCTGCAGCACACTCTTGAAACATTGTCATCCTGGCTTCATAGAGATGCTTGTCTTTAGCCAGTATTTTGGCAACTTGGTCCTGGCATTCTGGAGAGGAGACTTTATTCCCTGTATCACCTCTAATGGCTTGGTTTGTAGGGATTTCGCTTGACTGAGGTAATTCCATATCAATGGTGCTGTTATTATTGATATTTCGGGATTTTCCTTTTAGAGGGGAAACAGTGGTGAAGTCAGCCTCAGAGACCTGTGACGGGCTGCTGTTGATGTCGTCGAGCAGTGCCTGGCGGAGCCTGCTTGGGGTTGCCGGGTCATGTGTTCTTTTAGGGACTGGGGATTTGAACACGCCGCCAGTAGTCGTCTTTGGGACGGCCACTGGCGTGTTTAGGGGCCTGTCGTGAAAGGGTGCCATCCAGCTTGTGAGAAAAATTTTCTGTGCCTTGGCAAGGATAGTCAGGTACTGAGACAAATGCCTGCTTTAGTGCAGATGTAGAGGTTGCGCCTTAACAGCGGGGCGCCAAGAAAAATAGTTGTTTTTGGCAAGAGTGTGTGTACACACATGAGGGACCTCAAGGATCTCACTCGTCAGGAACACTCTAACTGCCATGTGAAATAACTTCACCACAACGCATTCAATTCAATTCAATCAATTGGATTCCTCTTCTTCAGAGGTTTCTATCTCTATTGTACAAGTTCGTGCATTATGGCCAGTGTTGCCGCAAACGCCACACCGTCGCTCACGCACTGCTGTCCTCCTTGGACGACAACTACCTTCACCCATTTCCTGTCTTGCCAGCTCAGTACTATCCTTTATAGCCTAAAGACCTATTGCATCTTTAACAGAAAATATTCCTCGTTTTATCAGACATTTATTTTTTGTTCTCTGGTGTTTATTTAACAAGTGATTGACCTCCTCTAGCTCGCGGACCCGGGAATCAACTAAAGCGACCTTGTGTATAAGACCATATGTAGCCTTTGAAAATGCGCTTAATGCATCAATTCTTGATGTATTAATTGATTGATTGTATTTATCGTGGGTGCAGTCCCTCCATAGGGCAAACCACGCCTCCCAGAGCCATTGTATCACAAGGTTGTAGAGGTGTCAGTCTAGATACATTCAGATCCGCGCACGAGCCTATCCTCGCTGTAGCGGTACCAACCTGGAGTGACCAGATGGTTTTTATTCAATACCTAAACACGATTCCGTCAGAAAAACCTCCTGTCCAGTGACTAAGCGACCCAGTGAACCTCAGTCCTCTGGTGTACACATCGTTCCAGTAGCCGTTCGATATATGTCGCATTGGTAGGTGAAGTAGGTGTTTGTTATCTGCTGGCAAGGGAAACCACAAGGGGAAAAACTCGCAGGAGTGGGTGTTGTAGAGACAAGCTGTTTGGCTATCGGGCTCTGCGATAAGGGGCCTCTCCACTGTTGTGTGCTGGTTGTCGACTCGCACAAGCCGAGTCAAAAAGGGGCCATAGCAGGATTCGAACCCACTTGTTCTCGTCGTCCACCGCACAAATGAGAACACAATCAGACGCATTTGACCATTGCGTCATACGGCCAATTCTTGATGTAGGTGAGCTTCCCTGGTGGTTTCTGACTCGATTTCAGATATAAACTGATTGGTTTACCGCTTTATTAATATAGTAGGCGTCTTTGAAGTCCAAGTAGTGGGTGGCAGATTGGGGTCTGATGACGGTGTTCGTACGACAGCAACAACATCCAGCTTTGAAATGACACTTTCTGGGTCAAAAGGAACAAGGCCAGTGGCACTAAAACCTGCTCGGATGTTTCCTGGTGTCATTGCAGCATTGTGTGCTTCATAAAACGCTGCAAGGAAGTCCTCCTTCGAAACGTGGGTTATATGACGCCGGATGAGATCCTCAATCATGCGACCGTAAGCTCGTTTGAGTGGGCTAAAACAGCCGACATCTAGAGGCTGGAGCCTGTGTGACGAGTGGGCAGGCATACAAAGGGTGATAATGCCGTTGTTCTTACAACAATCCTCAAAGACCTGGGAATGGTGGCTTTCGTGACCATCTAGGATGAGGAGGCGTTTACCGGCAGTCATACGCGGTCTGGTATACTTGTCGAAATGCTGAATTCATTTCAATCCGAGCTCATTCGTAGTCCATCCGTTGTCAGACACGGCCACCTTTTAATTGCGTGGTAATGTCGTGTCGCGGTACCATGACACAAGGTGGGTTTTACCCTATAAAATAATAAATGACGGGACCACCCAACTATCAGTATTAATAGCAGAGATTACTGTAGACCATTCTTTATTGCTTTGCTGAGCTTGTCTAGGTCTGTCACGTCTTTTAGTGCTTATAATGACTATACCAGACCCAATAATGCCCATCATAAACCCAGTCTTATCAAAGTTGTATATATCCGCGTCTTGGATACCATGTTTCGCGATTGCCACCGCAACTTGGCAAAACCAGGCGCGATACGCGTCTGAATCTTTGTTTAAGACCCTCTGGTAGTCCATCCTCTGATAAAAACGCGTCCAGAGGCCTGGTGTATGTTTAATAAAGTTTGCCGTCCAGTTCTTTTTGATGCATCCAGCCTAACGTGCCGCCAACAATTGATTTGCCATATCTTCAACATAAATGTACCAGAGCAGAAATGCTCGCACATCCAGGTCGAGTATAAAGGAGCAAATAGCATTCTCTTCAGAAACCATAAGTTTCAAAGAATTGGGTATGTTATCGCATCGTGATGGTCAACCAGTGATTCTGTGAGCCAGTATAACAATTAATAGATAAAAAGTTTTAGCAAATTTTTGAATAGAAATATGAGTGTCTTGTTTTTTTTTTAGCTTGGACAGCTAGCTGCATGTCTGATTTGTTATAACACGGTGCCATTGTCGTGTGTGGAGGAATACTGGTTGGAAATTGAAAGTTTGAGAGGTTCATGAAAGTGTCTCACTCGCTTGTGTATCCCACTCGCTTGTAACCTACGTTATTATATTTAAAGCTTTTATTTATCTCGTTAATTATATACTACATGAAATACTAAACCGCTTTTATTTTTTCCGTAATATTAAATAGCTTAATAGTTAAGTAATTTAATTCGTAATTTCAAAATTTTGTAACTGATAAGCTTATACTTTCATTTATCGTAATATTATATAAAAAAAATTCTATTGATTATGATATAATCATTTAATTCGATAATAACGACGTTTAACTTTTTTCTTCTAAATAGTTGTATATTGTATTTATAACGAGGTTATAATTTAAACATAATATTATATTTGTCATATGTTGGACCCAAGATATGGTGCCCCTAGGTGCAGTACCCACTAGGGGGCTGTCAAGGAAACAGTAGATCCACCCTGGCATGGTGAAGTATAGTATTTAGTTGTAGATTAGCCCTGCCAAGCATACTTGAGAATGACAACAACGTTTGCAGCGACTGCTCACACCCCCAAGGCTTGTGACCCTTCTAGAATCTCACAATATTATATAATTTTGGTTGAAAATTCAACCAATTGTTAATCGATCTTTAACCGTATATAAACTAGGACTTACTTAACTAGTACCCCGCCTTAATATGAGCCAAGCTACGTGCATAGCGAACCATTGCGACTAGATTTTATATTCAGTTTAAATGCAAGTAATCTACAACAGAACAGCTGAGAAGCTCGAATCAAAGACAGTCAATACATAGCCAACGTCTAGGATAAATTGGGGTGAATAGGGTGACCATCTTGTAATAGGGATTTGTTGAATACGAAGGTCAATTGATTGAGTGTATTGTGATGTTGTGGTCGAGCACTGTCTATCTGTGTACGAGTTTTCAGTACTAGTTTTTGCCCTGGTGGCTGGTCGCAGTCTAGTGCGCTGTCATCCACGTGACATGGTCAGTGCATATCCCAAATAGTGCGCTGGTATCTGACAGGATTCATCTCAGTGCTCACACAGTCACATCCTAGCTAGGGTCGAACGTAGGTTCGCCGGACTTTTTAGTCCGGGGCGACGGCTGACTAGAGACGGCTACTATACCTTGCCAGGCTTGCCTTGTCCAATAGATTAATTCGGGTTCGAAATACCACTATACCTAGCTGGGACTGGCAGGCCGTCGGCAAACCGTCATTATAGTTGCCCAATGACCCCAATGACCAGCACGACCCAAACGCCAAGCTCGTCGTGCCCCAATTGGGCGACCAGGCGGTCTGTAGATGCGACTCCGGACCATATGCCACGGCTTCCTGCTGCACCGGAAGCCTACCCCGTCGATGACAGATAGAGAGAGCCTCGCAGGTGGTTATACCGTTATTCTTGTCCACTTGTCCCAGGACGACAGGACAAGGCCGTGCGCCGTGCGACCCGAACTTAAAGAGCGAGGAGCTTCTCCCCCTTATTCCCTTACCCCACTGCCGCAACCTTCCTGGGACGTCGTCCACAGCCATGCAGGTACCTACATGTACTCACCATACAAATCCATCCCAATCTTTACGGCCTTCTTACCGGGGCGCTCAAGGCGTAGTACATGCCGCATAACGTGAACAACCCTCGCGAGGACAGTGCTTCCCACGAGACCCCCCGCTTCGAACGTCATCTGTACATCAACACTCAAACGGTAGTCGTCAGCAACAAGCTTAGACGTCGTATATAGACCGTGACCCTCACAAATCGGCCACCATGGACGCGCAGCTCAACCCTACTCCTCCATGGATGCCATTCCAAGTGTCGTCTCCAAAGTCTCTTCCGATATCACTTCCAATATCACTTCCAGGATGACGTCAGGAGCTACGTCCAACAGCAACCAGTGGAGCATCACCCAGCATCCACTGGAGGCCATCAGCATGGGCATCCAGAGCGCAGCCACGGCCGAGAAGCGCAGCGACCGCACTTCTCACATGATGAGCGCCAACGAAGGGCCTGCCGATATCGCCGCCAAAGTGTCTGGCGTCGTATCCGGCGGCAAGAGGGTTGACGATGCTCCCTACTTCACCAACAACGAGGCCATTCCGTGGCCCGATCCGTACGTATTTCCCAGTTCCGAGCGCTGCCGCTCATAGCTAATACCGCGCAGTGCCCACAGCAAGACCATTGGTGGCATTCCGGTAGCCAGTGATGTCTTCTTGTTTCAGTAAGTTGTCTCATCATCTTCCCAGGACTAAGCTGACTTCGAATAGGAAGCAGCAGACCTTCAACAGATCCAAGAACCTAGAACGTGAGTATATGTGTGAGTGGTCGACGTGTACTCGCTGACAACCCTTAGGTATGGTGCACCCATGCGGAAGTGGTGCCTTCGGATATTTCGAGTGCACGAATGAGGTGTCTGAACTGACCGTGAGGCCTCATCCATAGACGTTCGTCTCGGAGCCAAGACTGATATGAAATAGAAAGCCAACTTCTTGCAGAAGAAGGGCGAGAAAACCCCCATCTTCATGCGCTTCTCCACAGTCACCCTTGGCAGAGAGTATCCCGATGAGGGAAGAAACCCTCGCGGCTTTGCCATCAAGTTCTACACCAAGGAAGGCAACTACGACATCGTGGGGCTCAACTTTCCCGTCTTCTTCTGCCGTGATCCGATTCAAGGACCAGATGTAATCCGCTCTCAGTCTCGAAACCCGGCCAACTTCCTGCTTGACATGGACTCGTTGTTCGATCTCCTGGCCAATACGCCTGAGGCCAACCACGCGGGTTTGATGTTCTTCAGCGACCATGGCACACCTGTCGGTTGGCGATTCAATCATGGCTATGGCTGCCATACATTCAAGTGGATCAACCAAAATGGCGAGTTCGTCTACATCAAGTACCACTTCATCGCCAAACACGGCCAGAAGCAATTCACCTACCCCGAAGCCATTAGGACTATGGGTGAAGACCCCGATTACTCGAAGCGCGATCTCTGGCAGACCATCGAGGCTGGCAACGAGATCGAGTGGACTGCTATGGTCCAGGTCATGCAGCCAAACGAAGCCGACCCTGAGAAACTAGGATTTGACCCCTTTGACGTCACAAAGGTCTGGCCTCGCGATCAGTTTCCCATGAAGGAGTTCGGACGCCTCGTGCTGAACAAGAACCCGGAGAACTTCCACCGAGATGTTGAACAGGCAGCCTTCTCGCCAGGCAGCATGGTGCCGGGCATCGGAGACTCTCCCGACCCGCTGCTGCAATTCCGCATGTTCTTCTACCGCGATGCGCAGTACCACCGCATCGGAGTCAATCTCCACCAGGTGCCTGTGAACTGTCCCTTCATGTCGCAGTCTTTCTCATCGCTCAATTTCGACGGTCAGATGCGCGTCGATGCCAACCATGCGGGAAACAAACAATACGTGCCGAACAGCTTCGCACACAAGTTCCGCCCGGATGCCGCGGAACCTGCGTACTTGGTCTCCGACAACATCTGCAGCCGCAAGAGCCACTACTGGCACGAAGGCAAGAAGAGCGACTACGCGCAAGCGACCGAACTGTGGCAGCGCGTGATGAGCGAAGAGGAAAAGAAGAACACCTGCTACAACACGGGCGAGTTCCTCAAGCTGGTGCAGTATCCCATGATTCAGGTGAGTCTGATCCTTCAACGATGTAGGGAAGTGGGACTAACACATTCATAGAAAAAGTACCTGGCTCAGGTCTACAACATCTCCCAAGATTACGCTCAGGGTGTGTACGATCGGCTCACAAAGAAGGAGTTCGATTTCAAGGAGGTCGTGGAACTGTCCAAGAGTGCTCAGACATGGTACAAGGAAGAGAAGTTCCGGCCCAGCAATGGGGAACGCCTGGTCGGGTATGCGCCCGAGGGCGCGGTGTACAATGTCTGAGGCTTTACCAACATCACTCTACTGCTGCGATGGATCAGGTAATTACGCCACTGGTTCCCGCCACCCCTAAGGACCACTCCCCCCATTACTACTAGTGGGTATCCGTCTCTGATAGCATAGTTCTTAATGAATGATTACAAGGAATAACGTTCAATAAATAATACCTGTTTTTAAGTAGTAATGCCACCCGTTTGTAAGTACCATTTAGGTGGTTATGTTCCCTTCCCATATGCGTTTGCCCCTCTTAGGCCGGCTGTTACCTTTCAGAGCCGGCTGTCGCGTATGCGTTGGCCCTACTCTCTGGGCTGCGCGCAGCGCAGACCGGAGCGAGCTGATAAGCTTGTGGATGATTATGATTAATGTCTGCTACTATGGCTATTTGGCCACTGTCCTCCCGACTCACATGAGCGTGACACTTTGTTGATTTGAATCAAGTCACACTCACTTCACCTCTTTCACTGTTCCAAATTGTGGCTTCCGCCGCTGTCTGTGGTGACTGCTGGAGTTGTCTTTCCTGCGGTCCTCTTCAACCACTCAGGCGGATGATACCAGTATCGCCACCCGACATAACAGGTTGTACCAATCACGAACGACAAGCCTAGTCTCTGGTGGCACTGCCGACTCAACATCACGACTTAACTCGGACGGCGCGATAGCGTAGGTGTGCGGTTGAAAGTCACCGCGTAGCGTGGTCGTAGTGAGTTCTTGACCGAGTCCATGCTCTATGATTTCATGAATCAAATGTGCGCGAACTTATTGTCTCTTGCAAATCCCAGCGCATCAGAGGTTTTGTAAATCCGCGAACTCAGCATCTAAAGAACCCCTTTAGTACCAGAGAGTTGGTGGGGTCACTCGGTCGAGTCTTGACCGGAGGGAGGGCGAGTAGCAGGAAGCCGAGATATGGTTATTGTGGTGGATGCTGATCATGGCACTTCTGATAACATATACACTCAGTCTCCATGCAGATTCTATGCAGGACTAGCTAGCAGATCAGAGTCGATTCGATGTTCTGGCTGCCTCGCTTCCACCAGGCTCAATGACCATTGACTGGTTGCACCCATAAGCGAAAAGCGCAGCAGTGAGTGAATTGCTCCAACCCGTGGAACACCCACTCAGGGCCCCACGGGACCGGGATCAACTCGTGCGCGCCGGGATAGATGTCTGAAAACGGGTACCTTTCCATTGTGACCCGGACGGCGTTCGAATAGGACAGCGCCAAAGATTGTGGCCGAACTCACGATCTTGCTTCCAATGATATCCTCCAAGCTCCCAGTCTGATATACATTATCGCGAATGACATAGTAGGTTCCAAGTATGGCCAACTCGTCCTCAAAAGCTCCCTTCCCCTTTGATTCTTGTTTTCGGATCACTTACACGCCCGAGTCCTCGACCGCAGGCGGCATCGGCTTCAGGCGCAAATCCAGCCCGGGTCAGCTGCGTACCTCTCTCCAAAACACCCCTTGTTTGTGACCATGTCGGCATTGCTGGTTTGGAAGACTTGCCAGTTGCGCGACTGGCGGTTGGAGAAGATAGGTTCTGCAAAGTATGCATGAACGCTCTTGCGGTGGAGGCCGGCCCACCCCAAAACTGATTGAGATTTGCAAGAGCTGCTGGACCAAGCTATTGATGCGAGTCCGAAGGTGCCTCTCGTTGCGCCAAGTAGTAGGTATGGTGAAAGGTGTTGGTTTTTCCGCGCGTTGTTCCGCGCATATAGCTAAAGTCTGCGCGAGACGACGTCATCGCAATGTGCTCAGCGATCTGCCGGCCGAATTTGGCCATTAACAAACGTTAACCGTGTGGGACCCCATTTGCATCTAGCCCCCACTTGCAACGATTTTTCAGCCAAGACTTCTAATGTTTAAAGCTTAATAATAAATAAACTAAAATACGTATAAGCTTAAAACGAAAGAAAAGTAAAAGAAAAACGTTATAATAAGTAATTAATTAACGTTGAAAAATGTATTTATAAAAGATAATATTTAAAATTAAAAATTAATAATTAATAATTTCTTATATAACTCAAAACAACTATGAAAATCAAGGGTTTAAACAAGGTTAAAATAAGATAAATAGTAGTCGGTGTTTTAATTATAAATTCATAAAAGGGATTTTTTTTAAAATATAGCTATAATTTCCTAAAAACTTTTAACTATTTAGTATTAACAATAAGTTTTATTGAATAACGCTTAAATGCTCTTCTTTTTAACATTTTAAGGTTTTTATTTACCTAATTTATCCCTTTTATCACTTGATAACTTATTATTAGTTATAATTGTATTTAATAAGTATTAATATTTTTACACGCCTTTATATCTTTAAGTATTAATAACTGCTACCTATTTTTATAATAAAGTAGCTCTTTTAACTAAATAGGCTTCAAAACGCGATAAAAATCTAATTTAAAGACGATATTATTGCTTAGCTAAGTAAGCGGTATATATACACGCGTAGTAAAATCTAACCTTGTTAATAAAGATTTTAACTAACGCGTTACCACTTTTAATAACAGCTAAGTTATTATACTCTCGTTTTCTTTCGTCTTTCTAACGCACTATTTATAATAATATTTTAAGCGATTAAAAAACCTTTCGCTTTCGTTTTTATAATTACAGCTATTAAACCTCGCTTATTACCTGCTACGCTTAGCTATAATACTTTACGATTTTTATTTTTTTTTCTAAACGTGTTATTATAGCGTTGACTAGTAGTCGTTTCCTTTAATTATATGCCTTTCTCGCTATCTTTTAAGATTTTTAAAGACTTATCTACCGTTATAACGCTTATTACTTATTATTAACACCTTTATTTTTAAATAACTTCTTTTTACTTTATTAATGTCTAAAAGCAGCCGTTTAAGTTATAAATATTTGTAAAATCTTTGAATCTTATAAGAAATCTAGCCTTAAAAGCGTGGCTTTAATACTTATTATGGAGTTTAATATATTAAGTGCTTTTATTTATACGGTTTTCAAACCCGTCGTTCTTAAAGTATTCGTTCTTATAATAACCCTACTTATTACACTTTTCATACTGTTACGAACCAACAATACCACGGGCCCGTGGGCAGGCCTGAAGTGAAAAGGGTGACCTATGAGGGAACCCAATTAGAACGGGGACACAATGCAGAACAGCGCATGGCATCCAGGCACGTGATCCAGGAAGTCAGGATCATGTGACTAGAGTTGCTCACGTCTGCTCACGCGAGCAACGGTGAGCAAGGGAAGGTTGCTCACTTCTGATCACGCGAGCAACAGTGAGCACACCTCATCAGTGAGAGAAAGATCGGATATATAAGGATGGACATTTCTTAGCTAGACAGATAGACAGTCTCTACCTCAGTGATCAATCTAAGCATCTTAGCCAACCCTAAGGTGGGAGAAATCTTCTGACGACTCGACTATACAGTGATCCCCTGGATCTGTCAGATTTGAGTCAATCGTCAGAGTGAAGTGTGTGTGTGTATTCCCTCTGTCTAGAGTGTCTTTGTGCGACCGTGGTAGTTTTGTGCCAGAGGGGGCTAGATCGGGACGGAACAACTAGGTTCCGTTGTCTACCTGTCAAGGTGCCTTCTAGGCGTACCTTTAATCCAACAGGATCAGACCAAGCCCCAGTATCTGAGTGTCTTCTAGTTGATAGAAGCCTCTATCGTCCTTTGTGTTGACTTACCTCAGAACATAAACCCTATAGAACCCTTTAGCCTTATAGGTTAGACGGCTCGTCACAAATACTTAATCTTTGATTTGTTTTTTAGCTCTTTTTTTTACGGTCCGCGTTATAAGACGAGCCTCTTTTCTCACCGTTATGAATTAAGCTTTAAAATTTACTAATAAAGTTATTCTAAATAGCTTAAATCGTTATAAAATTAGTGTCGGATATGGGTGGCTCTGGGTGTTGGCTCAAGGTGGTCTGTGCACTAGGATGGGGGGTGATTGCCCCACCGCTCCGTCGCTATGCTAGATAGACGGGCCGCACTAGTATTTAGCTGTAAATACGTCCGTATGAGGTAGACATAAAACAAACAACCAAGCAAGCTACATACATCTGAAACCACTGCTCCTTAAATTCTCACAATTAGCCATAAAATATCGAACGAAAAACCTTTAATACTTCTTTTAAGCCTTAACCTCAATATTAATACGAATATTTATAAAAAAAACTTTTTATTATAATTAAATAACTATATTATTTACGTTATTATTACAAGCCATTAAATAGTTAAATTTCGTAACGTAGATAATAAAATAATTAGTATCATAATTATAAGCTTAAAAATTATATTATAAAGGTTTTTTTTTTTTTTTTTTTGCGCTTCCTACGTCGATATCAAGCGTGTAATTATCTCGTTACCTATTTACAACCCTTATATTAACCGCGACGGCTTTCATTCGACAATAAACTAGATTATAATACCGATTTTAATTAAGTCGATCCTCGTTAAGTCCTTTATATTATTAGACTAGCCGATTTCCTCGAGTGCGGGACTTAAAGTTAAATGTTATAATTTCTAGTTGCTACGTTTTTTCAAGTGCCGTTTCTTTAACAGTTACTGTGACGGAACGCTCACCATAACCACTATGCCACGACTGTTCCTCCCAAAAGGATGTCGAATATCAAGCGTGACAGCTTGACATTCAATGGTGGTACATGTACTCATGTCCGGGCTCTAGGACTCACCACATGGGCTACCTGTACCAGACCATGACAATTAAAAGTGTTTTAAAGCAGCTCTAATAAAAAAAGGTATAAAAAAAGAATCTAAGATTTGTTAAAGTTATAACTTTTTATTTTATTTATTATATGTGACGGCCTACACAGACCTTCCCACATGACAAGCCGATACTTCCCAATAAGGGAAGGATCTGACCAGAGGATCCTCTTAAAGGGGCAACCTCCCGCTATACCTATCTCTCTCTCTTCCTTTCCTCTCTAGTCTTGATATTCTCGTCGATAGAATAATAGCGGCTTGCTGCAGGGCGTGTCCCAGCTCCACAGTATGCTCGTCGTAACATTATATGTATTTAATATTTTCTAATTTTTGATCTTAAGGCTTTTATTTGGTTGTTTTAATATTTTAATATAGATGAAACTGTTTAGTTTATTAATAAATGTTTACTTTATACATAGCGTTTAACTTTTAATTTTTAAACTTAATAAACCTTATATAAAGAAGAATTTTAAATCTTATATTATTTAACTTATACTATACCACATATAAAGATATATCATTCAGTTTAATTTATTTATATAAAAATACGATATCAAGTTTTAAATTAAACCCTTTTTATTGATTAATGGCTTTTTATTAAGTATAAAATACTTTTTTATTTTCAAACGTTCTTTTTAAAGTACCTTTATAAAATATTTGTTCAAATAAACGAGAATTTATATATATATAACATTTAAGCTTTAATAATACTAGAAAACGTAAAGATTTATGTTATATAATATTTATTTATTAATAAACACTTCTCTGCTTTTTAATATTTTTAATATTTAATTATTTCGGGTTTTATATATAAAAATAATTACATAATTATGTATCATATAATACAATAAACTACAATAGAATATTATTATATAAGTTATTCAAGTATTAAGCCTAAAAATATTTAAGAACTATAATATTTGTTCTTATAATATTAAAATATATTTTAATATTATTTTCTTACAATAATAACAATATATATAGCGCGAAATAAGATTTAACATTCAACCTATTTTTTCTTATTTAAGAATAATATACCTATTTGTCAATACTTTAAAAAGTAAATTCGTAGCTATTTTACTCGATTTATTATTACTAGTAAAAGTTGGCTTATTTTGGTGGGGAAACCGTTGCAAGTGGGGGTTAGTTGCAAATGGGGTCCCACACGGTTAGGCCTTAGGCCGTGGGAAGCCGTCGATTGCCGCTGCTATTTGGCGACAGGTGGAGGTGGACTTGCTTCTCCCATTGCGCGAGAGCGATCCGAGTCGCTCGGCAAGAGCAGGAGATTTTGCAGATCACCGTATTCCCTGGATTGCGGCCTGCTCTACCGCGGAAAATTGATTCTCAGCTCAGGCTGAGTACCCGCACGTTGCTGACGGCATAACGAGCCTCAAGTCTTCGTAGCACATCCAAGGCGAGCTCGAACTACCTGTCGCATTGAATCGCGCTTGTTCGGTCGTAGCAGTCAATTCCTCACACCAACATCACGGATATCGGCACATTTTAGTCTCTCGATGAATGTCTTCTTTTTCAGGACGACACCAATCCACCCAGCTTCGCTAAATGCTGCAGACCAAGAATATAATGTGGTACTAATATTTACAGATGAAGGGCCAATGTCCCCAATATGCAACCGTCGCCAAAGACGACTTTACGACTCGATGATGGTCTGGACCAGGTTCTCCTTGACGATGACATCAGGGGCGGTGAAGTCAGAGCCGGCGCTCGTGGGCGTCTCGACAATGTTCAGAGGAGCGGAGCCGTTGAGGACGGCGATGGCCTCGACCTGGTAAAGCCTGCGGGAGATGTAGATCTCTGTGATGAACGATTAGTTTCCCCGCTCTCTCTTGGGGTGAAAATGGAGGGACTTCAAATACCGCTGAGGTCGATGTTGGTGGTGAACGAGACGGCCTCGTTGGTGCAGGGGAAGTAGGGGGCGTCAGGGCCGCCGACGCGGTCGCTGAGGGTGGCGTAGCACGAGACGGTGCCGGGGATGTTGTAGTCGGTCAGGTTGAACTCGAGGTAAACGTTGGAGGGGTCTTCGACGCCCTTGATGTCGGTCAGGGTCCAGTTGCCCCAGTTGGTGGCGCGGGCGGCGGGCATGGCGGAACCGACGCTGAGAAGCGCGGCGACGGGGGTGAGGACCTTGGCGGCGAACATATTTGCTGGTTTGGAAGAAGAGTAGTTGTGTGGTTGGTTGGAGAGTTGATAGTTGATGGCTGATGATGGGAATTGTTTTAACAGGCCGGCGTCGTAGATTTATATATATCCTGCCCAGTGGACCGGGATGCCAAACGTGGGGCGTATTTGTCGATCACAACCTTCACTGGGATACGATGATCGGATGCAGACCCTCAATGGCAAGGAAGGCCCCGCTGCGAAGGCATGAACACGAGGCCGGGCAGCCGGGGTGAATACGAGGCTCCAGGGCTCCCGGAAATGACGACGGGTGGATCTTGCCAGCGCGCCTATGCGCCTATGCTTGCGAGATGCTTGCGAGATCGCAGGCCTCTCGCTTGGCATACACATTCCCAAGTTGGCAATGTGTGGAGATCACGTGCTGTCACCACAGCATTTAGGTAAACAGGCCAAACAGCGGTTCAATTGCCGTAGGTAGTTTCACATCTCCCAAGTCGCCGTTCTGATGACGGCTGTGGCTGGATTAACCTTACATGGAAAGCCGCGACTAGCAGCTCTGCCGGGGTCGCCGGTATCGCCGGTGTCATCTGTTCTGCCGTTCTGCAAGCCGTGGAAGCGTCGTGCGTCTTCCAGAAGCTTGCGCTCAACCTCTGCGGAACTTCCTCCGGCAGCTGCTGTTGGGGAACCCGGTGCGCGGTCGGGTGCGGAAGCTCCCCCGGGCCGATCCTGGGGAGGCTGCCTACTCACATGACGTATCTGTGAAAGTTCAGCTTCACTCTCCTCGGGCGCGTGGGCGTTGTATGCCTTCTCGCATGTTCCGGAACGATGCAGCCAAGTACCGCAAAGTGCCGATGCTACCGTTATACGTCATACCGTTTGTAGTGTCGAGATGGTTCTGCACGAAGGGTCAAGTCCCGCTCGGTCGGAAAATGGCGTGACTCTAAAATAGAATTAGCAGGCCACCAGGCTTGCCAGCTCAGTTAGGGCATATTGTCCGAGGCGGATGGGGGCTCGGGACTCGGGAGACTTGCTGCCAGCTGGCTTGCTGGCTTGGCGACCGCCTCGCCGCTAGTCGTACGATCGTCGGCTCGATGCTACCTCTGGGGGATCCTTAAGAAGGAGCTGGAAGGGTGGATACGATGCAACTGTATCGCTGCAGCTTGGCAGCTTGACTTGTGCGTATACGAAGGGTTGCTGTAGTGGTTGGAAGAAAAAAGAAAGGGGATACCGCCATTTCCATCACATGCCAGTCGTTGAGGGAGAACGTGCTGGATATTCTTAACGCTTTGCGCATGGTCACGCGGTCATCACAGGGCTTGAGCATGATGTTTGGTCGTTTACCTAAAAGATGAACAAGTCATTCTCGCTATCAGCACACGCTAAACCGAGCAGCACAAAGGCACGTCGATTGCCGGATTGAGCTTGACACCATGACGTCTCTCCCGTTGGACAGGCACGGACGGCCTCGCTTCGTCAACGTACCCGCCCGTCTGCCGATTCCCTGATCAGAGACTCACCAACTCGACACGGCCAAACATGAATCCACAGACGAAACAGTTGGAAGGCTGCATTGACCACAAGCCAATACACATGAGATTTCTGCCCGCCGCGCAAAGACGCGCTTTGCAGTCTTGGCCTTTTGTCGGTAATCATCCAGTGAATGACCAAGACAAGATACAGCTGCGCGACCAGCATAACCACCAGGGGCAGGCACATCGCGACCAACGTGAAGCAGCACGCGTCAAACTCGACAGTTTCGTACGCTACAACATCATTTGCTTGGTCAATCAGGTCTTTCGATCGTCGAAGCCGGATGATGTGTGGGCTTGTCGGGACGTGCGGACCTTCCTTCACCTGACCACCAAACGGGGGCGCCCACGCTCCCTCTGAACCGTGACATCTCCCTACGCAAGTGACACAACTCAACATCATCCTCCCACTGCTCAACCCATTAGATGCACGCTCCGAGTAGGCGAGCTTCGCCATGAAACCCTCGATACTGGAGATGTGTCGACGTGAAAAATGCACAACTAATGAAAGGAACAATCCAGGGGGTGGGGTTTTTCCCCAGCAGAAGAGACTTGGTCGAGTAGCATGCTTCGACCTCGACCGAGTGGTGTGAAGTCAGGCCAGAGGACCTGAACCTGTTTGATCCCGTAGCCTGGGTGCTGGTTCATCACCTCGGCGAGGTTTCTCTCTAAAGACCCAATCGGACAGATGGTGCCGGGAGCTAGAGATCCCTGGGGATCTATTACGGAAATGAATGGAAGCCGCCGCTCTGCTATAAGACAATCCTACCCGCATGATTCTCGAGATCAAACAAGCATTACGATTCCATCGGGTATCCAATGCAGTCCTGAACAATCGTATCCTCGTCCGTTCCGAGAGCTGCTGGAACTTCCATCGACTGGAAAGGATGATCAAGGATACACAGATATAGATCACGCTATGAGACGTCATGAGTATCGTGGCATCCCACGCGCTCAAAACCATTCGCCATCTTACTGGTTGGCTTCAAAAGAAGTCCTTTGCCTGGATGCAACTGAACCGACCCAACCTTCATCAGCACGACGCAAAACCTAGAGTTCTTGTTCACCCACAGCCCGCTTGGTTTGCTGGATCTGGTTGAATCTTGTGGTCAACCTGCTTGAGTCTCTCTTGTATAAGCTCGCACTGGACGCGTCTTGGATCGGTCTGCCTGGACATGACGACTTAATGGGCTGGCTCGTTGCCAAAAGGACTTGAGCGATGACAATATTGTCTTGATATTCTGTCTGACAGATACACGTGAACCCAGACACAAACACCAGTGGTATTGTTTAGTTTCGGGATTCATCTCCGTAGGCAAAATCTTATCTTGCTCAACGGAGTCGTCCGTGTCAAGCCAAGAGAAGTCATTGTTGGAAATGATAAACTTTGAGAGGTTCACTGCGGTTGAGTCTTGCTGGAGGGAGGCCAAGGTGTAACTATTCATATCGTCGAGGTCTTGCCCCCCGGATCCTGCGATGCTTGCTAATTTTGCCCGGATATCTGCTGAGCTGAAGTCCAGTGAAATAGTCTTGTTTCCGCGGACGGTAGACAGCTTTGACTTGGCGCACTGACCGATGATTCAAAGGGGGACTTATTAGTACTGGATACCACACAAAATAGGCCTCTCTCCCCCTTCGTGTTTGGAAACATAGCGAACTAAAAAGAATTGGCTGTTTTGGCTAAGGAGTTCTGGTGCCTGAAAAATAGAGTATGTCGCCTAGAAAATGTGTGTTGCTCGGTGAAACAAGTTGCCTAGATAGAGTATGCCGCTTAATGAAGTGTATGGCTCCAAAGTGCAAGATTCCCAAAGAGATCATGCCACCGTGTGAGGCGTGTTACCCAGAGAGAGTGTGTTATTACAGTGTGGGTGGCCCAGGGATAGTACGCTGCCCGGTAGTTACAGTGTGCTGTCCAGAGAGGAGAGGGTGCTCGGTGTGTCTTAACTGGATTCTATTATTTAAGTTCCATCGAGGGAACATGATATTCTTCGTCCTTCCCAGCTCATCCACCTTCGTTTCCCGCGAGGGCCAGCCACTCTACCATAGACGTAAATGCCAGACTCGCAAACTCGTACACGGAACTTGCTACTAATCCACAAGCCACCTTGAACACTCAAAGGGCTCTCTGCACCCATTATCGTGTAACTTGAATTTGGAAGGTATTTCATGCGTGTAGAACGAACGTCTTGAAAAAAAAGCAGCCTGGAATAAGGAGTTGTAAGGGATTAAAAAAAGCCTATTCGAGTCAATTGCTTATTATACTATATATAACAACCTAAAATAAGTTCCTGGCGGGAAGACGTGATTGCTGCCTATGCGGTGGTAGGGCAGAAATGCCAAAGGGGTTTCGTGGAGGTATTGTGGACTTGGATCCCATGTATTGTAGCTAGAAAACAGGAGTACGCAATGCTTACAGTCTCACAAGTGGAAGTCGACGAGGGGGCAATGTTTCGGTAGCTCAAATCATCGATGGCTTGGAAACGAGCTGATATTCCGGCTACCTCATCTTCTGGCCATGACAACGCAAGGCGAATAGTCAAGTCAGATAGACCGCGACTCGGCGAGGTAGACCAAGAACCTTGGGAGGAACTAGATGGACCAAGATTAATTGCACGACACAGGCGCCCACTATCCCGAAAGTCATAAGACGGTTCCTTGGGAAGTTGGGCGACCCAGGCGAAGGACCGATGCCACCTAGGTACCTAGGAGGTAGTGAAACGAGTGCTGTTGGGGCTTGCGCTCACGATGGGCAACTGTGGCTCCCACGTGAAGTTGTGGCTTAGCGGGTGTTGTGCCTTGTGGTAGCGGTATCCAGAATAAGGACCAGGGTCACGATAGGTGGCTATTGGTCTTGATTGAAAGAAGGAATGGGTGGTGTCCCCATCCCAGAAGTAGCTATCATCCCAGTTGGGTACAAATCAGGTACAAACGGGTACCCGTTGGGCTCCAAGGTACCTTGTATCCTGGTCCGTGACCCATCCGTCATTGTGGCTGGAAAATGGGTTGAGGAGCCACAGTGTTGCCGTCGGTTAACGGTCCCCGGCCGGTAGACCCACACCGCACTGGCCACGCTAGGGGACTCCCGATCCCGTCCAACATTGGACTTCATTCCAATTTTCAAGGACCAAGGACTCTATCACGAGTCCATGTTCCGAACTGTACAGACGCGTGATTTCATCGCAACTTTTTCCGCATGAGGGTATGCTACGGTGAAGCGCCTCCTCCTCGGATGTCCTCAGCAATTATGCAGGCTCGAGTCTGTTGGCTCCCTTCTTCAAGAGATGAAATGGCGTGGAGAACGAACGGACATGCAATCTATCTCGTGCGCCACCCCCTGCAAGCGGCGCCTTGGCTACCATTTTGAGGCTGATGTGCCGCTGCCAGCAATCCATAATCAGACATGCGAAACGCTGCGACAAGCCCTGCATGCGCGCTTCTCATCTCAACTTCGCAGGCGAGCCGCCCGCCAGCCCAGTTATGGCGTGAGCTGACCCGATTGGGTGAAGATTAAAGGCTGGGCCACGAGGTGTCGGCGATCCTTCCAGCATCTTTCCACCAATTCGCTGTTCGTCTGATCTTGCTCCTGCGGTGGATCTGCCAGGACCACATACCAGGGGGTGACGACCCAGGTGAGCCTCATGTTGGTAGGGAGCTGCAAAGTTGCAGTCCAGATTCCAGAAGTCTGCTCGACGTCCGGGGTGGTCGTGATACAGAGTGCCGGTATAAGGGTGAGTGTGCGCCCACGTACGGGCTCTCCTCTCTCTTGGTTCTCCATCCTCATCGCAGGTCAACATCCGCTCTTTGAACATTCATTCTTTTCAACCAGTCATTTCGGCTACTTTCATTTTTGACTTGAAGTCAACTGCCATTCTTTACCGCAAGTCGGCCTTCGCGAACCACCTGTCTATACTCGCTGTTTATCCTTTATCCATCTGCCCTTTCAGAGATCCAACTTTCATCAAGCTATTCAAGATGTCCTTCAACGTCAGATCCACTGTCCTGGCTGCCCTCACCGGCGCTGCCTCGGTTTCTGCCCACGGCCACGTCTCCAACATCGCTGTCGATGGGGTTTCCTACGCTGGTTTCGATCCTACCTCTGCCCCATACACCACCCCTCCTGCCAGCATTGCGTGGAGCAACGGTGCTACCGACAACGGTTTCGTGCTGTCCAGTGCTCTCCAAACCGACGACATCATCTGCCACCTAAGCGCCTCCAACGCCGCCCTTTCGGCCCCTGCCACGGCTGGCAGCAAAGTCTCCATCACCTGGAACACCTGGCCCGAGACGCACAAGGGACCTGTCATTGACTACCTTGCTGACTGTGGCGGTGACTGCTCCACTGTCGACAAGACCACCCTCAAGTGGTTCAAGGTGGCCGAGATGGGCGAGCTTACGCTGGGAACGTCTGGGACTCCTGGTCGGTGGGCCGATGACCTGATCGTGGATAACAGCTTCACATGGACTACCACCATTCCCGCATCTGTCAAGCCCGGTAGCTACGTCATGAGGCACGAAATCATCGCGCTCCATGAGGGCGGAACCGAAGGCAAGACACAGATGTATGTGATTTGACAAATTTCCCTTCCTCGGTTAATCTTCTCGCCCATTCCATGAATTGATTCGTCCTCCGGCAGGCGTCTATTGATCATGGCTGAAACCACCACGTGGAACGAATGCTGACTTCTGAGCAGGTACCCCCAGTGCTTTAACTTTGAGATTTCGGGTTCCGGCTCCCAATCACCCGAAGGTGTCGTCGGAACTGCTCTGTACACATCGACAGAGGCTGGTATCCTGCACAACATATATGCTGACCAGGAATTGTCGTCCGTTGACGACTACAAGATTCCGGGACCAGCGCTGCCGAGCTTCGACGGCTCCTCCTCCGGCAGCGCCAGCGCTGCTTCTTCGGTAGAGACGCCTGCTGCGACTAGCACTGCCGCGGCGCAGACCGGCACCGCGACGGCGACCCCTGTGACGACCGGTGGCGTTGCTGCTACTACAAGTGCCGCTTCTGTCGTCGCAGAACCCACCACCAGCGCTGTCTCCACTGCTGAGCCGGCTGTTGCCACCTCCTCTTCGGCCGCTGCCACACCCACCGCCCACCACTGCTCATCCAAGAAGCGCCGCCACACCCGTCATGTCAGACACATCCAGTAGATGCTTTAGTCGGCAAAAGCTGGAGTGGCGAGGAGATGACTATGTAGAGTAAGAGAGGGCTTCGATTCGATGTAGATATTATCAGTGGATGCTTAATTATATATATCGAGGCATCCTTGATGTTCTCCACGGAATATACAACCAAAAGCTTGTAACTTTCTTACGTAAATGTGTGAATGTGAACCCGTGAATAGAGCAATATTCAAGTTAGTCATGTGCGACGTGTGGGCATGACTTTGACTTTAGTATCTTGGTATGTTAAAAGGGCATCGTATAGAAGTTTTGGATGTGAGCTGCCGAAGGTACCGACATCATCCAAGATCTGCAGGCCTTGCCGGGAAGGTGTGACATTATACGACACTCACTTTGCAAGCGAATTGATGTTCGGTGCTACTTCACTAGTAGCGGGTTAGGCCAGGGCTGCATCATCAACAAAGCGCAGCTGACGTATGAGAAGTAGCTCATTGAATGGTGCGGTAAAAGAGCAAACCAAACAAAGAGATGCAGTCAGTAGTTGTTCAGATACTTTCGGCAATACTGGCTGTCGGCACACTTTATAACCTCCCAGCCTTTGGTTCCTTTCGGCAGGGGAAACAAGCCTCTAATCCAGCATGACTAAGCACAGTACCGCTGACGCCACAGTCGACAAAACCAACACTATGCCTGACAGCAAGACTAAAGAGGCGCCCATGCAAGACAACGAGCAGGAACAACTTGCGAAGATCGCAGCCAAGGTCAAGGCAACCACTAGAAAGAGACCACTAGAAAGAGACCCTTAGAAGAGCAAGAAGAAAACAACGATGTAATCGAGGGTGAAGATCGTCCAATAAAGAAGACAGGCCCGCTCACCGACGAGGAATACCTTCAACTCAGGGCCGACGAAGAGCTTTAGGACGCCAAGAAAATTGCCTTCCTCGGCCAACACATCAAGTGAATTCTCAAAGAACCAAAGCCCCACAATCCGGCATTGCTGCGCGAGGAAAGGGTTTGCCGAAGATTCCAAAGTCGGCGAACTCAAGGAGGACGCCACGATACAGGTTTTAAAAGACCTTGCCAGCAGTGCCGACCCAGTTAGCGACCTGAGTGCCCTCGAGGTTGATGATCAACACCGCTTAATTTTTCTACTGCACAAAGCTTTCAAGCAGCTCCGAGACGTCGAGTGGGGCCACGATGCTCTCACGGAGAGATTATACTATCATTCGTCCCATGCCGACAAGGGGCTCCTCCTCCTTGGCGATGATAAAGACGACCATGAGAAAGAGGATGAGGAGGACGAACCCGGCCCTCGACGTCCTCAAAAGCGACGGCTAAGAACTCAGGTGGAGCTTCGAGAAAGAGTGGGAGTACCGCCAACGAGAAGACGACGGCGCCTACTCCGGGCCATGGATATCAGCCAGCGGCTGGAGATAGGCGCCGCTTTTTGACAGAGCGTCAGGCAGATTTCAAGCCGTACACCAGAGCCGCCCTTTCAACCGAAACGAAATCGAGCCCTCTGGCGATTATTTCTACAAATGTATCTCTTCCTAGCTTCTTTTGTACCGGCTGACGGCTGTTTTCGGCATGCCGCCGGCAGACGAGACGTATCATAGCGATAAGGCTTGCTGGGGTGTATGCCTGCACAGGGTTAGGAGCAAGAGAGACTACCTTTGGTTCGATGAACACAAGGGCGCAGTGGACGTGAGCTACGACGGCAGTGCTAGAGGGAGCCCCTGGGCCCTGCGACTGCTGGACTGGCTGGTAAGTAATAACGTGACTCACCCTTACGGCATGTTGGCGGGCACCCGGGCTTAGGCTGGCTCGCTGGGGTGCGGTAGAGACTGCAGTGGAAGATTGCGGGAGGGCTGCAGGGTGTTGGCCGTGCGCTCTTGTTAGGTTACACTTCTCAGGGCTTGGCATTCCGGTTTGGCTCTAAAGTAGTTTCCTACTTACGGTGTATAGCCCCATTCTTTTTCAGCTTGTTGAGCGCGTCGATGACAGTGGCCCGAGAAGCCAGGTCAGCTCGTTGACTCGTTGAACGGATGGGTACAATTCCCCGGGTGGTGTGCAGGGCTTCCCCGTCGGACACCTGAAGAACCAGCACATCAGGGTGGCTCATATCGTAATGAGTACCATCCGAGCCCCCGAACCGGCACACCCCCCCAACCGGCACAGCCAAACCCCACAATCACCACCAAAAGTCCCCTTACTCACTTACACGGATTACAGCCCTTTTTGAGGGTATCTAGACTTTCTTTAGATGGTTAGATAGCCCTTTTCTTGGTATTTAGCGGAATGTAGATTATTTAATTGCTGGGCCATCGGCATCGGCATTTAACAGCCTCCGTGCCCCGCCCTTAAATGCAAATTTGCTGTAGAATTCTCTCTGTGAGCCCCTGTCCCTCATGCACCACAGCATCCTGAAGCCAGCCACGATGCCTCCGCCCACGTATACAGAGGATGATGTGGTGGATGCCTACCTAGACGTCACAGATAATGGCATGTCCGTGAGAAAATCCAGCCAAAAATACGGCGTCCCGGCCAGCACGCTGTCAGCACGCATAAGGGGGAGAGGGACTAAAACGGAGGCTCACACCACCGAGCAGAGAATTTCTCCCGAGCAAGAAAGCAAGGTAGCAGCCTCGATATTGCGCCAGGAGACTTTGGGGCTTGCCCCTTCTCACTCAGCCGTCAGGGAAATTGTGGTAGAACTCCTAAAAAGAAAGGGGGATTTCGCACCACTTGGGAACCACTATATGGACAGCTTTAAACGACGCAACCCTACTATTCAGACTAAAATCGGCAAGCGAATGGAATCCGCTCGGTTTAAGGGGTTTACCCCTAAGTCTGTGAACTGGTTCTTCAACATCTTGGAGGACTACGGCTGGGTGAAGCCAGAAAATACGTACAATGTCGATAAGGGCGGCATCATGTCGGGTTTTGGTAACTCTTTCGAGCCCCCTATCCTCACAGTCAACTAACTACCCTTATAGGCATCGATTCCCTAGTTCTGGGAAGTTCTGAGACGAGGAAAGCTTTCCTAAAGAGCCCTCAGGGCCGCTCGTGGACATCTTTCATCGAGACCATTTCAGCTACCGGTAGAGTACTCAAACCAGGCTTGATTTTCAAGGGAAAAGATCTTCAAGCGCAGTGGTTCCTCGAGGAATTCCAGAAGATAGCTGACTGGTACTATATAACGTCGGAAAACGGCTGGACCAGTAACGATATCGCCTGCCAGTGGCTTGAGCACGTTTTCATACCACAAGTAGATGAAATTCGTGGCCAGGAGCAGTGGGAACCAGTCCTTTTGATCCTAGATAGCCATGGTAGCCATACCTCCGTACGTACACCAATTTTTTCTATTTTATTTACTGGTTATTTAATTTATTCCGATTTAAATAGCAACTGACTGTAGAAAGGACGAATTTATGATGCGGTGTTATTTTGCCAACATCTTGTTATGCTTTTTCCCAGCACATACCAGCCATGGAATGCAACCACTGGATAACGGCCCCTATAACGCCCTCAAGTCCTACTACCAGAGATTCCTCACCCAGTTAAATTCTCTGACTGATTCCTCTCCTGTTAACAAGATCAACTTTATCCGTTGTTATAGCAAGGCAAGGGACATGGCGTTTACGCCAAAAAACATCCGCTCGGGCTTCCGAGTAACGGGGTGCTACCCAATTAGCCGCAAAAAGTGTCTAGACCATCCAGAAATCCAAGAAGACAAGCGGAAGACCCCCGAGCCGGAAGAACAGGAAGACTCGGAGCCAGAGGACCAACAGACCCCTACCACGAGCCGGCAAATCCGGGATTTCGGGAAGAACCGATCCCCAGCCACTCGGCTGAAGTTCCGGAAGATCTCCCATGCCTTTGAGAACCAGGAGACGGAGCTGGCCATAAAAGACCAGAAGATCAGGGCCCTGGAGGCTGAACTGGAGCGGCTACGGCCCAAGAAGAGGAAGAAGATATTAAATCCCAACAAAAAGTTCATGACAATGGTAGAAATACTAGCCCAGGGTGGTAATCCGTTAGTTCCGGTTGCTGTAGAGTCTTCTTCTTCTTCTTCAGAGTCGGAGGTTGTTGAAGACGGGGTGGAGGAGGACGAGGAGGTTGCGGACGCTGAGGAGGCTGTAGAAGCCCCTGTTGCAGAAGCCCAGATGACTAGATCTGGGCGGTCAATCCGGGCGCCGGCTAGATACGTTGATTGAGCAGCCAAAACACCACAGAATGATAATTTTTCTGATTTTTTCGACCCTATACAGCCTCAAATGCGTGTAAGTGAGTAGGGGGGTCTTTTGGTGGTGGTGGCGGGGTTTGGCTGTGCCGGTAGTGGGGGTGTGCCGGTTCGGGGGGTCGGATGGTATCCTTCAAGAATCCTCTCGTACGAGCTCCTGCTCCCGGTTGTGAGGATCGCCTATGGTCACATCGATAGTCTTCTACAAAGCGTGGCATTACTTAATAAGTTCATTGCGCTCTCTCCCATATGTACTACGTGTTTCCAGAACCTGCCTGTGAACCTGGTGCTCATCATCAAGCTTCATTTTCTAGCATGTGAAGTTCGTGTACATTCCCATGTTCATCACGGAGGCGACCGGGTCGTCATGGTTACCTTCAATACTGAAGTGAGCGTTTTCACCCCCCATGCTGCACTTTGCAGCTCAGTCTCTTCTTAACGCCGTCAATGGAATGTTTATGTCGCTGGAGAACGACGTGATGTCGTGTTCCAGCGTCCTCGTTGGTTATGCTTGGATTCGAGAGCTTAAAATTGCTGAAATTGTCTACGTCTACTCAACTTAGCAACCTCGGCGAGGATACGTGCTGCATCCGCTGATGGCAGGGGAACCTCCATGCCTCATCGTTGAGTAGCGGTGTCATATCAGGACGGGCATGTCGTTCTGGTCCATAGTGTTATGTGTAGTCGATGTCCTGAGCGATGGCCTGGCACTTTTCCAGGTCGTCGGCAAACTTGGCGCCGGCCCTCCTAACGACGTCAAGATGACGTTGTTAAGAGGTTCACCATAAGGCGCCGGATGTCGCGATGCCCGAGATAAACATAGCTCGTAAGGACTTGGCCAAGTCCGAGGGGGTTCTTCGCGGCAGTGGGAGCACGTCTCAAGACCTGGCACTTTTTGGAGGGAGTTTCAGAAGACGCTAATTATCTGAAGGCTCCGGGAGACCTTGCTGGCAGTGGCGATCCAGTAAGCCACCGCTTCTTTGATCTGCTGCACACAGCTTTCAGACGACTCAGACGCGTCGAATAAGCCCATGACGCCATGACGGATCGCATACCGATTCCTACCTCTCGTGCTGACAGTCAGCTCCCATCCTGTCGACACGTCGTGCCCTAACTTTTTGATGCGAACGACGCCGGCACCCATGCGATCGACATACATAACAGCAGTCTGCTTAATGGCCAATCTATACGAGGGGGGCTAATCAGGAATTCGCTTACTTAAGGGCTGTAAAACTAAACGAACAGGCCGCTTTCAGCTAAATATAACGCGTGCATCTAGCAGCCGGACCCACCAATTCTCACTACTACCACTACTATTACTACTATTACTACTATCACCACTTACCACGGCATTTAAAGGACACATTTACAGTCGGAAGGCTCGCACTGCCTCTTAAACCCCCGGCTAACCCTACCCACTAACCTCAATCCTAACTTACGTCGTGACCCGGTAAAATCATAGTAGGTACTTCTGGATTGGTGAGAAACGCATGCAAACTAAAGTACTTGCGATGTATACTTGCAATGTATACTTGCAATCTAGTGGGCAATGCGTAGCTAGTTAAACGTGTGGATGGCTTCCAGATCGGGCTTAGCGACCTGTTCGTTCATTGCGATTGGCCTACTCGGTTAGTCCCCACTGACTTAACGGTCGACGGGTCAGCCGGATTTCTCGTAGGGGGGTAAGCCTTATTAGCAGCAAGGGTAACGGGACAGGGGTGCAGGCTCCTTGGGAACCTGGGAAGCTCACTCATCCTAGAAATGTATGTCTCTAAAGCAAGTGTGAATATGGGCAGGCCACACGTTAACACGGCCTCCGTCTCAGAACTATGTCGCGGGCAAAGGGTGTGCGCTTACGAGTTTATACCAATATGCGAACTCATTAAAACCGCGTAACTACCTAACTACGCAAGTTCGACCCCGTCAAGACATTCCTTGCCAGGACGTCGATAATTACGACGAGCACACAGGTACAAGCAAGGACTTGCTCGTACGTGATTGCATCTTTTCCATCCTAGTTAAGCAGGTTGTTATTTGCTGAGTATTAGAATAGATATCGTTAAAACAGGAACAAGAGTACCCCCCCTCACTCTGGGCTTCGCTGTCAGCCATGTTCTACCTACCTACAACTCATCCACTTACTAAATCTATCAACCACCCATTCACAACTTCCCTCAAGCCCTCCGCTCCTCTTCTACTTCATCGCCCCCGGGTCCCAACCCAAGCCGAGTGCACCCAGCAAGCGCCCACGATCTCCCAGCTGCTCTGGTACCGGATAACGACTGTTTCCCGACCTACCGGCGGGCAACGAGGGTTTGGACGATCCGAAGATGGGCTGAGCCCTCGCACTACAAAGGATCAGAAAGAAGGAAGATAGGCTTGTATTATGACTTACCCAACGGGCACTCCGCTCCAATGTTGGACCTAAAATTCCGACGTTGATCATTTAAGCTGGGAAGTTGAGCCTTACAAAAGTGGCCCTAGGTTCAATTCCTATATGGCTGACAGGTCGCCAGCTTTGGAAGTAGTAGCGTGAACGCTAGGCTGGGGACCCGGAAGGGCGGGTATGCCAGATCCGGTGTAGATATACCGTTAATCATAGGTTGATCACGGTTCCGCTTGACGTCACATGTATCTCCACGAGTAAATTAGAAAGGGGTATACACAGCCAGGCTCCCTAGCCTTGCGTTCGTGCGGCTACTCCTAATGCTAGCGACCTGCACGTGGCATTTTGATGTTGGCATCGTATCTAGATCCTTAGCTGTGGCAACATGGAGACAAGGTTGGCGGAGCACAGAGGGAACGAAAATAGAATGGAAGGGATTGAAGCAGGCTGGAGACTTCCATGCGCATGGGAGCTTTGGGAAAAGACTGGGATTGTGCAAGTGGATAGACAGTTGCCTCTCTCTCCAAGAGATCCAAGGCGAGAAACCTACACCGCAGGCGTTGGTGGCGGCATGCTGATCAGACTACCTGGGTTGTACGCTATGCTGTCTTAGAGCCCCGGACACGGCGGCAAGAACTTCGTCGATCTTAGACTTCTCTTGAAATGGAATACCGAAGGCATGTATGCTATCCAATTATAGACATTGAGTTGACAACAAGTTCCAAGGCACCCTTTGTGCCGTGCCATGGATACGGCTATAAAGGGCCCCTTCATCGCGCTTGATAATGGCTACCTCGACACACACGCACACACACAAACACACAAACACACAAACGCACACACACACACCCACACCCACACACCCAACTCAACACATCGGTATATCACTCATCCATAGCACCTTCAAGAATCTTCCACTTTCTACTCTAACTTCATCATCAAAACACCAACTATCCATCATGAGATTCACCGTCGCCGCCGTCGCATTCTTCCTAGGTGTTGCGCTTGCAACTCCCGCTCAGGTGAAAGACAGAAGCCCGATGGTAAGAAAGCCTCCCCCGAGTTGACTGGCTACCTACTTGAAGCATAGCTAACAAGCCCGCCGCAGTTCCACAAGGACGTTGACTGGAGCGATGTGGACGACGAGATCAAGGATGAGCGTGACCCCGACGGCACAGTCGTCTACGACGGCAAGCACATCATCAGCTACAAGGCCGACGGCAAGGAGCTCGCGAAGATCGACGTCAAGGACGGCCCGAAGGTGGACAAGTTCAAGCGCGCATCCGCCGCCGCCGCGCTGGTGGATGGCCTGCCGACGCTCGACAAGAGATCGGGTTGCGGGGGGGAATGCATAGCCAACAATAACTGCACCGACGCGGCGTGCCCCAACTGCGGCCTCAATGGCCAGCCCAACCCCTACGTATACCCGTCCATGTACTGCTGGTAAACACGGGAAATACCAGGAAACATCGGCAGGGGGACAAGGCCTTCAATCTGTATCCAGCCATGGAGTGGACTTGTAGGATATACGTCATGTACTAGGCCGGGCGGTGGGAGGGGAGGTTGTTGGGAGTTATCGGGGTATGTTATCTTTTAGCAGTCGAGGAGATGAAGGCTCTACTACACTCGTTTATATAGAATAGCACAGGATAGAATAGCACAATCGTTTAGATAGAATACTACAATCTTTATCATTAGTATCGTCCCCTCACAATTATTTATGTCGAATACTGCAACCTTTATACTTAATACGGTCCCCTCCTTGATGACGAGGCGACCTTTACCATATTGGTCTGCTGTTAGTTAGGCCATGGCCACCCGCCACCTGGACAATAAGCACATGAGATGGATCTCCGATCCAAGCCGGTCCTCCTCCGTTTTCATGTCCGGAAAGGGGCAATCTGGTCCCAAGGTGCCTGGTGGGCATGGCTGCAAGCCACCGAATCTCCCTGCCAGGCGAGCGTGGTGAATCACCGCTTACTGTAACCAGGTCTAATACGGCTGGCTACTAGTCGTCAGATGATCCCGTCCATCTCAGGGAGATGGTCCAACTTTGAAAGCAACGCGATGTAATGGAAAGACCGCGATAGTCTGAAGACATGCCACCCACCCCGGCCCCTTTCGGCATGTCACTAACATCAGGAGGACTTAGATAATAGTCTACGCTTCGTAACAGTTTACGTTCCATTAGGCTTACATGTTGATGGTGCTCGCGGCTTGTAGTGCATCCATGCGAATGTCGTTGATCAGTAGCCTCGCGCCGGGCGGCAGGGCAGGGATCGGGCTTTACATAATGTCCAGAGCGTGGTGGTGAGGCGAAGGGTGAAGGACTGCCAAAAAAATATAAACTTTGGCACCTTTGACCCCCTGGTCTGTGAAGAAGTTACATGCTTGGTATTAGAGGCGTCCAGCGAGCTCGCTGGAAACAGGCCCCTCCATGTTTGTCATCGTGACCTCGGGTAGATCCTGGACGATGACTCTCTCGATACCCGGATATTTATGTAGAAGTGCCTGGCACAAGTCGCCGCGGCAGCCGCCCGCGTCGACGACTACTATTGGGCAGGTCGGAGAGGGAGCATTCAGTATTTGGATCCTTCCTTACTTTCCTGAACTTTCCGGAACTTTTCCATTTTTGGTGCCTGGCCAAGCCCACGATCATCCTTAAATCGCATTCCTCGCCTTCCTTTGGTGAACGAGCGCCCACGAAAGTACGTAAATTGGTACTTTCGTGCTCGCTCACTGACTATAGCTTTGGCGGATTGACCGATCGATTAACCATCGTCATGACTTGTTATCTATTTTTCGCCGTCGACGTATGGATCGCATATCAAGACATCAACTATGCCCCTGTCTGCGCTTGGCTGGCATCTAGCATAGGTAATGGGACATACATGTACCAATTGACCATTTCTCCTCTGGCCAACGGGCTTCCCGAACATACTCGAAGGCTAGAGGCAAGAAGAAGCCGGCGACCGTGACTTTGACGAGTTTTGTCCACGATATCCAAGCTTCCAGGCTCATACTCCGTCGATTCTTCCAAGCTACCCTTACTAATTCCATCACAGCCACAGCGCTGTGATTTGGAACACCCCACAGACCCTACTCAAAACCAGCCGTGTTGATGGCGACAATCTTGGCGGGCTCCGTGATCGTCCCATTTACCGGCGACGCAAGCCCACCACCGGTAACCACATACAGCACGTGGAAATCATCCTGCGTCCTACCAAAAGCATCGGCAGTGTCCCCCGCAACAGTGAGTTCAGTAAGACCTCCCGCAACAACCACACTAGAGCCATCGGGCCTGATGGCGACCACCTTGTTATCGAAATTGGTAGCGGCCCACAAGTAGCCCTTCCTGTCGATTGTGAAGTCGTCGACAGGGACAGCATCTATGGTAGCCACGATGTCGACCGTCGCGTTCGGCGCCGGGTATCCCTGCTGATCGAAACGGACGCGATAGATCGTGAGCAGGTCCGAGTTGCTGAAGTACAGGTACCCGTCGCGGAAGTGCACCCCATTGATGCCGAGCGATATGGTTGTCGCATTCGGCACGGGCGCCATCTCCTCGGTATGGAGGACGACCTCGTGCGCGCCGGTGTTGAAATCGAACCGCCAGACGGACCCTGCAACACTGTCGGCAACAAGGACGATGTTTGAGTCGTCGTCAGTCGGAACTTTCGTCAGTCCGTTCGCAAGCTCGATATCGGCAAATGAGACGATCTCGCGCACAGTCGGCTCGGGGTCCACGAGGGACAACTCCCAGGCGACGAGCGATCCAGGCACGGGGACGGCGAGGGAGCTGAACTGGCCGCTTACGACGAGGAAGACGTCCGGACTCGTCTCCACGATGCCCAGAGTGCCGTTCGCGTTGTCGAAGGTGTGGACGATCGAGAACTCCGGCGATGAGGAGTACGGCTGCTTCAGGGTGTAGACTGTCGCGGCCGGCTGTAGCATGGTCACGAGGAGGTCTCCGTTTGCGCGCACCGCGATGTTCTCAAACCATGTGTCCGTCTCGTTGAGCTGGAAGATCGTGCGGGATGGAAGAGGTAAGGACGCAGCTCGCACAGCGTGCAGCGGGCTCGCCATGGCCAGCGAGAGGCCGAATACGAGAGCCAGGATGCTCTGAGGCTTGGGGAAGATCATGGCTGTATGTTGGTGACGACTGTGGTATTGACACTGCCAACTGTGGACGAACATGAGAAGGTCGACGGAGACGCGCACACTTTATAGCCATGCCATGTACGGCTGAGGTTGGCGGAAAGCCGTTAAGACGATGGCAATATTGTTCTCCCAGATGCGAATACGACATCGCGTATGCATTAAGACGGTGATGAGTCAGGAGGCCCTGACCTGACTGAGCGCCCCTGTTGACAATGATTATCAAGCACCAACATTTCAGATGCGTACATCAAGGCTGTATCGGCTATCGGAGATGCAGGGGCTGGATAGATATTGTCGATGTCTGTTTGTTAATAAGCGGAGTCGCGATGCCAGCCGTACCCAGGGGGGCATGGAGATATGGTCTGTGTTGCGCAAAGAGTTCGCTTTCGTAATTGAGGACTTAACTTGTTAAGACCGAATCTTTGCCCGTTCAGGGAACAATTTCCCCTTAAGGAGCGAATCGGCCCCTGGTCCCTGGACAGCTTATTCAGCCCAGGCGCAGGGATAAGGATGGAGGCGGGCTTCTAGACGACGGGTATTGCCCGTCAGGCAGTGTCTTGGGACGTAGATGGAGACCCGAACGGGTGCTGTTCAATCTAAACGTACTGCTGGTTGAATAAACCCAGCCTCCCCAATAAGGCACGCAATTGAGGATAATCTACATGGGGATTCTCATTCCTCCAGTGGTAACCCCCTCTCAGTGAGTGTACCATCTGGGAACATCCCAGCCTTTGATATGGTCGCGTACTATGAACCCTTATGACGGCAGATACCCAGGGGAGGGCCGTATGGCAACGTGGAAGCCCGAGTTATACAATCAAGTGCAGGTCACTTTCGGAATACCCTCGCACTACCTCCAACTGCTCATTTAGAATAGGTCTTAAGCATCTCGACTGTGCAAGTCTTTCTTGTCACGAGATCGACTCAATTAACCCAACGTCGCTTGGTTCTCTGATGCACTTACCAAATCTGTAGCTGTCACCAAGACTCGACAATCCGATCAGCAAAACGGTGGGATAAGGGGCTTCGATCCGTATCACCTTTCCTTAGTGACGGACATGCCCATTCGCTTAACCGCATGCACGGATCTTGATAGAACGACTCCACGAATGGGTGGGCCATGAGAACATCGAAGTCTCTTACTCGGACAAGCAGAGAACACGGGAGGATTTGCTGTCAGAGGTTTCTAACCGCATCCACTCATTGACAAGGTTTAACGTGGGATGAGCTATCTGTAGCAACCGTGCTCATGATATCGGCTTGAACATGGCATGACGCGGTTGGCCTGGAGGTAACCTCGCAGCAGCACCGTGATATATGCTGATGTCAGGCAGCGACGAACTTACAGGAAATTAGACAATAATCAGGCCTTGCAGAGGCGTCTACTACAACGCTATTGTCTGACATGGTACTGGAGCACTGGGATGAGGCCTTGGGGAGTGGCAGTGACAGAACAGCATCGCAGGGTGAGGTCCTCGGCGCCAAAGAGGTTCCACGGATTGGGCCGTGACCCTTGGACTCAGCGACAAGTTACCGGATTTACCTGGCGGCGCGTTGGAAGGATGCGAGATGGAGTCCATTATACCCCAGATCGGCGTGTGTGTGACGCGGCGCATTAGATTAGCACATGTGCCGCACTGACTGTGGCACTATTCGTCAGAAGCCAGCCCTCACCCTCTGTGCCACTTTGAACCTTGACGGGGTAGGCGACCGTCTTCCAGATATTACGCATCTGCCAGTGTGGTCGGTCGTCTATTAATTATTCAGACTAATATTTGAACGTTGCGCGTTCCGACACTCTTGTGCCCAGAAGCCCCATTCATGGGTCATTTGATACGTAGCCAGTTCAAAATAAGTTAAGTGGCGCGTCACAATCTATGTTCCACGCGTTTGCCCTGATGTCCAGGTGGCAGTAGACCAAGAAGCGGACAGGTAAGTTTTATCTCTGGCGATCCACAATCCTATGGCTCAAACCGTCAAAGTGACCAGCATGCTCACTCTATGTGACTGGGGCTCGGCAGAGCTGAACTTCAGGTCGAATTCTATATCCAGGAATAAGCATACAGGAACAAGCAGCTCTAGTTCGATACATCACTCTCAACGCTTTTTGCAGTATGCTTATTCCGATTCGACTTCGTGTTCCCAACCTAGCAGATTAAGAGATGGTATCGATGTTGTGGAATCAATCCAGGCTCTGCCGTAACCTATTATAATTCGAATAATATACCGTTGTATGCTGGACGCATGGTGTACGGAGACTTATGAGGGTTCACTGCAGCTCTATAAATCAGTGATTCGTCTATATATTTTACCATCTCGATAAATACATATGTAGAAAATACTTTTTACCAACCAATAGTATACGTACGTCAGTTGGCTTTACCATCTTCAGATGCCTCCTGATAAGCGATCATGGAACCGCGTCACTTTTCCGTCTATCACTGCCTGCAACACACACACATCATGCGGACGGGCCCTGGCTATATGCTCTTGTTACAGTCAGGCCAAGCCAAGAATGTGTCTAGTATTCCCGCCCGGTCTCCCAAGTTCTTCCAGTCGTTCACTATAGGTATTGGCTGCTGCTTTTCGGAGCATTGAGATGGACAGCCGTCGCGCACACCGGGAAAAGAATTATAACACATCAAGCCCAAAGTAGAACTAATGACACACGAACAACCCTTTACTACCAAGAAGCGGATGAGTCATGGTACGATCAGTCAACAGATTCAACCATTGATTCTGGTACCTAGTCTAAGCTATGTACGTTGATTCCCAGTCGCTATCTTAACGACAGCCCTCTACGGTTGCCCTTGTCCATTCTACGCAAGTAACACAAGACTTGGAAATCCCGGCGTGCCTCACACGAGCCACGTCCTGAGAAACATCTCAGCTCACACGCATCCCAGCCATTACTTCATTGTTGAAGCCTGTGAAACACGGTGCGGCTTTTGAGGGATGGGCAAGTAATGACCAGCTACCCCATGCCTGGTAGTAACCACTTCACAGCTTTAATGGCAAAGCTGCCGCCCGTCCACAGCCGCCAATTTACTCAGCCATCGCCCGACCCTCGACCTGCAACACAGTCTGCAAGTGCTCAAAGCCCAACCTCTCATCCTTGTGCGACGCAAGCAGCGTGCCGGTCTTTAGCACATTCTTGATAATGCGCCCATTGATATCCAGCCGTGCCAGCTTCTTAACCTCTTGCTCGCCGACCTCATGGCCGCCCTGGCGGTCCAGGAACCCCCTCCACACAGCGCGGCGCGCCTGCTCGTCGAGCGGCGGGTACTCCAAGCTAAAATGGATGCGCGAGTGGAAGGCCTCGTCCATGTTGCGGACGCGGTTGGTGGTCAAAAACAAGATGCCCTCGTAGTACTCGAGGGTGCGCAGAAAAATAGAAACGATCCGGTTGCGGTCGAGGTCGTGCGGGCTGCGCGCCTCGAGGAAGACGTCGCACTCGTCGAGCAGTAGGACGGCGTCCCACTTGGCGACCATGTCGAGCACCTTGGTCAGGTTCGCCTCGACCTCGCGCGAGTTGATGCCCAGGTCGCCCACGCTCATCATGTACAGCGGCGCGCGCATGTCCTCGGCCACCGACTCGGCCGTCAGCGTCTTGCCGATGCCGGGCCCGCCCGACAGCAGCATGATGATGCCCCGGCCCTTGCCCGAGATGACGTCGTCGAACGCCGTCTTGTTCTTGACCTGGCTCTGCGCGAACGCGAGGATCAGCGACTTGTGGCCCGCCGGCAGCACGAGCGAGTCGAAGGCCTTCGAGTTGAAGGCGATATCGCAGACCGACTCGACGAAGAACTCGAGCCACAGCTTCGGCTTCAGAGCGTATCCGCGGATAACCGGCGTGCAGAGGAGCAGCTCCTCCTCCGTGAGCGGCACGGTCTTCTTCGAGTGGTCCAGAAATGCATCCTCTTCTCCATAGGAGGGGTATTCATCGTAGAACTCGTAGTCGGACTCGTCGTCAGAGCCATAACCTGGGTCTCGATTGCTTCGTGTCGGCTCAACGCGGTTAAGCGGCTTAAGGTACAATTGCTGATTGGGGTTAGCGTTACTGTGGGCGTCGCCATCGACAACAATACGACCATCGACGGTGATCAACGAAGGGCCGTATTGGGTGGTCTGAATGGCAACACCTTTGTATTCTCTATAGTGATAGCCTGCCAGTCCTTCGAAGAGACGGCCGCGGGCGGTCAGCTTCGCAGTGATGGCACCCTCGTCAGAATGGTAAGACAGAGGGTAACTGTCCAGATCAGTAACTGGAGTGGTGCCGACGAAGGGGAGGATGAAGTGAGATGATGTGGTGTAGCCGAACTTGGAGCCGTCCCAATCCACTCTCTCGCACTTGAGGTGGAAACAAGGGCCGAGTTTCGCGTGCTGAATGAATTGGCCGTCAGCCAGACGGACAACAACCGGCTTTCCTCCTCGACTGGCGTAAATGTTGCATCCAGGTTGAAATATTGTCCAAATGTGGTCGTAGGTGACGACTTTGTTCTTGATGTAGTCCTCGGTGGCAGCAATGACGTCCCTCAGTTCCTCGTAAAGGACGTCGCGCAGAAGCTTCAAATGCGTCTTGGTATCCTCGTCGTAGTCACCCTCGCCCTCCAACGCAGCGACCAGCCGGTACCAGCGGTGGACGAATGGTTGGAAAGGGGCGGAGAAGGTGAGTCGTGAAAGAGTAGTGGTGACACCGGGGTAATCATTCAGAACATCACGCATGACCGTCTTCAAGAGGGGGCTCTGTATGACGATGCTGTCAATCTCAAGCTTCTTGCGGGAATCATAGCTCTTCTCTAGGTGGGGTGTCAGTATGGCTTGTGTTTAGGGGTCGGCGGTGGAAAGAGACTTACTGTTGCGAATCAAGAGCGCGTACTTCTCGGTCTCTTCATTTTCGGCAGCTTCCTCCAAGTCCTCGGGGTACTTGTCGGTCCAGGTGGCCTTGTTATGCTGGTCGATCTTCTCGTAGAGGCCCTTTTTGTCGCAGATCATGCCGACCATGACCTTGTCTTTCTTCTCATCGTCCTCCGAACCGGCCAAGCTCGAGCTGCTTTCATCGCTCATCTCGCCATCCGCTAGCGTCACCGTTTTAGTTTCCTTTGCACTCCCAATGAGGTCCGCTGCCTTGTCAATGACCATCCCCGCGATGACAGCCGGCGTCACCCGAGGAGCCATATGCTCGTCGGACGCCATGATCTCGTAAGCTCACTGCTGAGAGAAGAGTAACAAGTCAAGAACTGTTTGGCAGAGGAATGTGCTGGTGTCAAATGGAATATTGCAATGTCTCCAGGACGGTAGCTTGCGGTGTGAAGTAGTGGTTGAGGGAGAGAGTGTGACAAGGGGATGCAGAGTAGTACCTTAGGTAGGCAAGGCAGAGAGAGGTGAGAACTGGATGTGGAAATACTCTGTCCCAGGTCTTATAGAGATCTCAAAGGCAGTCACACGTGCATCAGGCAGCCTGCATACCTAGCGCGAGGTACTCTCAATGATCGAATTTGGAGGTGTTGCCTACCTTACCTACCATTGAAGTTTGAGCCCCTGCTGGATGACTCAACCGCCACCACCTGCAGCACCAACAGCAGCAGCAGCAGCAGTCTGAAGAACCCCATGGCTTCCTATACTCAATTCTGCAACACCAACACCCATCAGACAAAGAGGCACATGTCTTCAGGCAACTGCAGGCAGCAGGCAGCAGGCCACACTGGAGGTGCCTGGCCGTTTCCGAGACATCTGTTGGGAATGCGCCTACCCAGTAGGTAAGGTAAGGTAGGTTTGGCGGTCGTACGGTACCTGCACCTGGGTTTACTGCCACGTACAGTGCTACTGCATGTACTTGGCGGCATCAGGAGGAGACTGCCGTTGGAAGGACATCGGTGGATGGCATCGAGACACGAGGCGACCGAGCTCTTAATAAAGGTGTTTCTTCAGCCACAGTTTGGATGTAGCTAATGCACGCGCCAAGGTGGCTACTGTGGCTTATCACCCTGGATTTAGTGGGGCTTTGCGGGCAGGGCATGGAGCTGAACGCGGTGCCCAACATACTTAATTAAACCTTTGTCGCGTCTTTTGCAAATACTTTCTTTGTCAACGCTGCCGGCTAGCGAAGTGCGATGTAACCCATGTCTCAACCCCGAGGTGGTTTCCCACCATCCATCGAATCCATTGACCTCAAACGCCATTTCCAGTCTTCCTGGACGATGAACCGAGTAACAAGGCACCACAATAGCAGGCCAACTCCATCATAACCCTGGGTATCTTCGGAAATCCTTCTCGACGACTTGTCTCGAGACCTGACTTCTCTGCGGAACTCCATCTCACCATTCCCGATCCCTGTCGTAACATGCGACCATCATGCTGCGGCATCATCCGATTATGATGTCTTTAGGGAGGCCTGTTTTGCGATCGTCTACAGATTTGTACCGATCTTTGGCCTTCTTGTCCCCGTCCTTCTCGTTCTTCATCTGAGGTTCTTGGTCGACGACCTTGACAAACTGCAGCGAAGCAACCTTCTCGTACTTCCCGGCATTCTTCTTCCATTCGTCGAACGCCTTGCGCAGGTTGGAGTCGTGGTTGTCTTCTTTGACCCGAATCATGGCCTTCTCTTGTTTTTCCGGCCGCTTGACGCCACCCTTGATGAAGTACAGTGTCTCAACGTTCGGCCACGATCTTCCCACTGACACCCAACCGGGCTCAGCAGCCGCCACCAGATTGGGGGAATCGATCTGTACAGCCAGAAAACGCACCTGGCTACGATCCTGTTCGCTGTATTGGGCTCTGGCACAGTACATTGCTCGGCAGCCGCTATGGCAAGGCTCGAATACGACGATGTCGGCGTTGATATTGACGTCTTGGCATGTGGTGAGATCGATGGAGGGCGGCTGGAAATGGTGGAGGCTGAACAGCTTGGTGTAGTTTTTTTCGGCGACCCAGGTCGACAGGCCGCACGCCGCAAACCAGGTGGGCAGGCTGTTCTGGATGCCAGGCGTGGTAGGGATATGAACAGCAGTCGGCAGGCTGATGTTTAATCGGTTACACAGATACACCAGTCGTGGGCTAATGGCAGCTTCCCAGATCATGATCTTCATTTCCTCCGGCAAGTCGGGGTATTTGTGGAATACCGAAAGCGGCTTGGCGAGCCGTGCCGATCGTCGAACAATCCCCGCGGTCCCCGTGAGACGACTCGTGGACTTCACCCGCCTCTGCTTCTTGCGAACTCGATTGTCATGGCTGACTGAGGTAGAGCCATCGCTCAGTGAGCCACAGAGAGCATCTGATGGCCCCGAACCACGTGCCAACAGCGTTTTGGCACCAATGCGCGCAGAACGACGCGTCGGCACGCGAAGCTGGCCAGTCTCTGGGTGATTTCGCGCCGACTTCCCTCCACGCGAGCTCGCATGTGGCTGGTAGCCCTCGCCGATTTCCGTACCGTCATCATCTCCGCCGATTTCGTCGTCCTCTCTGTCCTCATACGGCCGTTCTGGCTCGACATGTCGAATGTCCCGGGAATCTTCAAGGTTGGAGGTGGTGGTGCTGGGCGTGGTCTTGGTTGATGAACTTAGCAATATATGCCGAAGCCGCTTTCCTCCGGACGAGGGAGTGGTGGTAAGGAATGCTGAAGAGTTCAATCCCGACGTTGAGTGCGTCAAGTGGGCAGAAGATGCGGAATCTTGTACTGATGGGTTAGAAGCGATCTTGGGCTGTGGCGTTGACACGATAGCAGCGTCAGCCATCGCAATGTCCTCTTGGTCCGGATCCTCAAGAGTAATGGAATTGGTGCCATCTCCGGGATCATCAGCACCATGGCCAACAAGTCCCAGGACTGTGTCCCGTGCAGCCTGTTCTCTGCCGCCATTTGCCATCTTGCCGCGTCGTGAAGACCGCAATGTGCCAGACATTCTTGGGGCAGCAATCACTCAGACCTTACTGAACAGGCCTGTGGAACGAGATCGCAGGCACAGACGGGCAGTTGCGCACTCGATGAACAGGTGCAGAGGGAAGACGCAACCCAGGAAAGGGCAACACTGTGCGATGCTGGTGGGATGCGAAATGACTGGCAGGAGCCAAGGGCCAAGGGGATGTTGGACAAGATCAGGAATGGATGGCGGCAATGTGAGAATGGAGTGTGCAGCTGCAGTGAAGATCAAGAAGGCTGACAACTCGGAAGGCAAGGTCACCTCAGGCAAGGTACTTCCAGGTTGTCACAGCGGGACGGACCTAATCCAGCTGCAGCAATGCCACTGTACGATAAGGTGATAGGGAGTGGAGGTGCGAGGTGCGCGTGACACCAGTAGCGCCTGGAGGCCGGAGGCTGGAGGCTGGAGTTGCAGTCGGTAATCTGATGGGCTGGAGGTCCGCCTGGTGCCTGCCTAAGGAACCTTAGTTTGGTGGTCAGTCTTTCCCGTCGCTGTCGACAAGACGGGTACTGGCAGTGCAGAAGTCGAAGTCTCGGCTTCTTCCTAAAGGCTTTGGGGATGCAGTGATTCTGTCGAAGCGACATTCAGAGCGCCGGTCTGCCTGCACGACAACGACAGTCAGTACCTTTAGGTACGTCGCGGCGTTGAGAGGTGAGAGGTGAGAGGTTAGGCGTGCAGGTGGTGTGACGGCCAAGAAAGCACGACGTCACTGGGACGGAGCCTACCTTGGTGAATGATTCGGTTTTGTGAATGTGTGAATGGGGGACCCGGTCGAGAATGGCCATGTGGGAAGGATATGGACCATTCAGATATCAGCCACGAGGGACCTGAATAACAGTAGAACTTGAAGCGCGTACGCCGTTTCTCAGTGCCTGATTGTTGCCTGCCTGTGTCTGTCTGTCGCTCTCAGCTGACGATGCGGGGCTCGCAGATAGATGGGTGTTGTAGCTGGCAAGAAGCGCTTAGAGCAGGCATTCCAATTAGTAAAGCTTAGTGGGGTTGGTTGCAGCGCTGAGTTCGTGGCTGCCCGGCGTACCTATCCATAAGGTAAGCTTCAATCAGATCCCTTCGCTACTGCATTCAATCTTCGACAAGCCACGGGCACCAAACTTATTTAGAATTAGCCATTGTAGGCGTACCCATTATTTTTGTTATCGTCTCAGATCGGATACAGTCGCCAGTTGGCCACGGTGCAGGTCACCTCTTGAGCCGCTCGATATCTAGCATTCATGGTTCATCCCAAGGACCAAACCAGACCCTCCCACTACGAATGAATACCGTACGGCAGTCAACACGCCGTCCTAGCTACCGCCTACCTATCCAGGTCCGAAGACTTGACGAAGCAAGTTATCACTCGTTGCATCTACCCAGGAACGGGCAGGGCGAGCAACGGCCGCTGTCCGCCGTACATGATACTGATCCAATCCTCCCTCGGCTTCCCACGGACCCAAGGTTGAGTATCTCGATTCAGATCTCCTTCACTCATTCGTGACATCCGACATGGTATCAGAAAACCGAAGCAAAAAAATAACCTATCCCTGCTATCCGTATTGGCGGAGTCCCGTTTCCTGGACGGCCAGGGTGACTACGTACGGGACGGGCCCAACCTGGAATTCAAGACATGACGTTGACGTTGACGTTGACGTTGACGTCGGCGACGGCAACGGCGACGGCGGCTCCGACTGACGATCTGGGCCGACTACAGAGCCTTTGTTTATACCTCTCCAACTCCGGCGGCTCACGTGGTACGGCGGGAGACTTTAACGGTGCACAGAATAAGGTTGGCAAAGGTGTGCCCACGCAGCCCCCTTGGAACAACAACTCGCTCAAGGGCGCAGAGCGCGGCTCAAGGGCTAAATTATATACCTCCCTACGATGAGGTTTGGTATCATACGGTCTACCAGCATTCACTGCTCGGCATTGGATGGTCCGCCGGAGGCCTCCGATTTAGAAGCTCACCGAACACGGCAACCCGTGTGAAGCCGCTTCCCATTCGCACCACGGTGAATCAAATGACAACAGCTATATCCAAGCCAAAGAAAGCACCTTGCCTGGCCTGCAGGTGGCGTCACACATTCTTGCAACCCTCTTGGCATGCTCAAGTGCCATCCGTGATACTTCGATCCCTGCTCTCCGCAAATCCAAGTCCTGTAAGTGAGGGGATGAGGGAATCGTGGAGGGAGGGGCACTTGCCTATACCGACGCCAGCCACTGTCTATAGAAACCTGTATTTTCAGATTTTGGAAGAGGCATAGGATACTAGACCGTCATTTATGCACCCTTACACCTTCCAGAGGTATTCAACATGGTCGAGTCCTGTCTTCCTGCAACTACTCGACACTTGAGAATCGCTACTTTTATATCACCAATCAGAGATTGATGCAACGATCATCCAAGATTCCAACGAAGACGTCTTGTCGATTATTTTTAATCCTTCAGTTAACTTGAGCTCCTCGACCGCAAGGGAAGAGCCAAACCCAATGACCAAAAAAAAACCAAATGTCCTAAAATAGAACAGCAAGCAGAGTGCCCCCGTGCCGTACGCAAAGTCTAACATAATAAAACGCCGCAAATCATCCCAAACCATAAAAACTAACGACCGTCCATAGATTCCAAGAAGACGTCTTGTCCGAACCATACTTGGTGACCATGGTAAGTGCAGTGCCCGGGAGTCTCTGGTCAAGGCCACTCCTGACACACAAGCAGACACACAAGCAGACACACGATCTCGGCCAGACACGCCACCGAGACACTTCCAGCTCGTCGGGGCATCGCAGGCTTAATCACAAGCTTCACCCATCGTACACTTTCTCGCAAGAGGACATCTGAACCATCATGTGTCATGCCTGGCGGTGGTGGTACTATTGTTTGGAGTGTGGCCGAGGGCCCCTGAATGGGGAGCCCGTATATTCCTGGACGACCACTGTGAGTACCACGCAAGAAAACCGTACACGGCCCCCTTTCACATTCGTCCCATACTGTCTTGAAACGACGCATTTTATCACTTCAGATTTCACCGAGAATCGACGCGTGACACTGACCATGGGTACTGCAGTGCGATTCGGACTACGTCCACACCCCTTACTGTCCCAACTTCACCTACGAAGACCACGACTCTCACGGGGCCGACTGCATCGAGTATGGGATGTATCACAGGCAAGGGTGACGAGGAAGAGAGGCGGGCGAACTTTGGTTTGAAACCTCTGAACACATGCAACACGTCGGTATCTACTGCCAGACTCAGCGCAACTTATGAGTAGGAGGAGTTGCTGAAAAGGGGTACATCGCGAGCTCCATCTTGCATACGATCTATCTTCGATCCTACAACCCACTATCTAATAGGTAGCGTGGCGTTTCGCAGCATTCTGGTCTTTTGTTTGAGGTTCTTTTTTGAGAGGCCTCCATTACCATCCTTGATTGAGGGTTAGGGTTAGAGCCTATCATTATCTTGAACAAGATTTGCCAAGATAGCAAGTTCGATCCACTCAAGCCTATGGCTTGAAACTTTGGATGCCGCTGGGCCTTGTGGGTGAACCTTCCGGATGGCGGTACATGTACATGGGATGGCGCGGAAGAGGCAGAAACCTTCAGTCATTTCGCACGTTTGACATCCATTTTCAACCCTCCATCTTGCACAGTTTAACGTCGAAATCTTCGATGCTAATACCCCACTTTTCTATACTGAGTTTTTCCGGGGTTTTCTGTCTTTAAGCCCATGAGCTGCACGGCCAGGGCTGAGGCTGAGATCGAGCAGTCCGCACGTATCTAAGGGAGGACTTCCTATCGTGGCTTTTTCAGCTTTCTTCACTCTTCATTCACGTCTTCACAAATCTTCACTCTACGTGGCGGTTTCCTGACTTGACCTCGGATGGTTCAGGATGCATCTCAGAGCCTTCAAGTCCAATCGTTCGCGTCGTCTCTTGAATTGGTTCAAACTTGGAGAACATACTTGAGACGGCGTCTTCCAAAAGAGCACTTATTCGGTGAACACGTGATCCTGGTAACTTCCTCATTAATGGGAATATTTAAACCTTCTCCTTCAATCAGCGTGGCCTCACATTTACCTGACGGTACAATACAGGGCTGTTGTCGCTCGTTACCCAGCGAGGTTCATCCTGGTTGTAGGACTAGGACTCGAACTTACTCAATAGCATATCATCTGTAAAGTTACAAGAGCTTTGCGTGAGAAAGGGTGTGACTTTACAACGTTGGTCTTGACAGTTGAGCGCAGTCACCTCGAGTTCAGAGTGGCGCTTATGCTCAGTAATGAATCATGATCTCAACCGACCTAACAGCAGACTGCGAGAATCAGCAAAATGTCAATGAGGAGGTTGCAGTATGAGTGAGATGTCGAGCAAGTGAGGTATCTACATTGTCTCATAGAATCCGTTCTATACCAGACCAGTATCTTACCAAAACCTTCACCTTTGAGCCTAGGGTGCAATGTCATGATGAAGTGTTACGGTCGTGTATCGATCTCCCAACTCACTGATCATCGTAAGAAGGCTGGTGCAACCATTGCGACACCTTACCCTTCGCGTCGACCCTATCGTGTTTCTTTCGACCGGCATGCTCCTTTTTGCCGTGCACATGCCCAGGGTCTCTGTCCCGACGATGCTTCCCGCTATGACTACCATGTCTCCTTTCATGTCTCCTTTCATCTTGTCTTCTGCCTGTAGTCTCAGGACCGTTCTTCTTCGCTGCGTGCTTTTTTTCCGCGGCTGCCGCCGTTTGACCAACTTTTCCCTCAGCCGGGATGGGTAACTTTATGGCGGGTTTCGCGATTTCAACGTGGGGAGCTATAGCGCTCTGGAGAGTACTCCCGCTATCTTGGGGGGATATCTGATTGGGCTGCTGATATGGTTGCTGGCTCTGCAAGGGGTACTCCGCGCTGTTGTCTGCTATGCAGGGTGTCGTCGTCCCAACTTTTGTATAGACCATGGGCATGGAGGTCCCAAGATCAAAGTACTGCGAATGCGTACCCGAGCTCAGACCCGAGATCGTCCACTGCCATCGTCCTTGCTACCCGTCAGTAATGCAGTTAGAAAAAGCCAGAAGACACGAACGACGCACCATCAGGCGTCTGTCGCGCTTGATAGTTGAAGCGCCCGCTCTCGGGATCGGGCACCGAATTGGACCACGCCGAGGTCGCAGTTCGAGCTTTCTCGTTGATGTCACCCTTAGCTGCTACGTCCGGCTTCTTCGGGCTGTCCTTGAGCCTTTCTTCGCGCTGCTTCGGTTTGTGGCGATGTCCACGTTGGGCTTTAGACGAGTGATGCGTGTTCTCACGAGCCATTGCGCTTATTCTCTGTCTTCTTAGCCCACTTTGGCGGCGATTGGACCCTATGAGAATCTGTAGGGCAGAACGACAGTATCTGGTCTTGCCGAAAGTGATGACGGCAAGGGCGTTCTTCAGGGCTAACGATCCCAACGGAGACATGGGCTTTGATGTGCGTCTTGTCTGCCTTGGGTTTGGCTTCAGGGAATCCCGAATCGGTAGGAGGTGAAACTGCAATTGCCTAGGAGGCTGGGCATTATATAGCTCATGCGCTGGCCACTAGGCCAGTGCGATGTGCTGACGGGAAGAGGGAAGAGAGAAGTGGGCGGGTCGCTATCAAGGATAGATTCCAATAGGCACGTCGAGGCGTACAGCCAGGCAATACCGGTATTGCACCTGCATACATACCTAAAGCCATCATCTGTGGGATCCGAGATATGACAGCCAGCTGCTGTGAGCCGGCGTCAGCGCGAGTAAGATTCGTGCTCTCTTTCAGGCTCGCTCGTTTGCATATACCAGGTTGTACTTCCCCGCGTACTCCGGGGCGCTGCCATTTGCTGGTCTCTTTCGGAAGTCCAGGCTTCAGATCACCGTAAAACAATAGATTAGCAAGCAAAATGCAGGCTACAACCGAATTGTGCCAGGTATCAATTGTGAGTCCATTCCGAATCAAGAGCGTGACTGCATGCAGAGTCACGCCATGCTGTGTTCGTATCACGCAGATGAATCAGAGCGGTTCAAAAAGTGAGGCTGACGATGCATCTCTCCCCTGCTTCGTCCGGCCGGTCAGTTCCGGGACTGGGGTACGAACCGAGGGACTTCAAGCACTTCGAAATGCAAGTTGAGGGATCTCAGTCAAACAAGTCGCTCGCTGTCTTTGACAGTTGGTGCTTTCATCCACATTGTCACACAAGGACTTGAGTGCGAGGCTGTCATTGATGCGGGATCCAGCTTGCAGCCACCTTCGTCTTCCGCCCCTCAGCCCTTGGCAGCCGTCGTGAGTTTGCCTCCGGTGAAGATATTCCGCCCAAACGAATTCCACAAATACCAATGCCCACCGAGGCGACCTGTTGAGTATGATATACATCAGCTCAAGGCGTCATATTCGAGAAGTTGTTCCCGTGCCCTCTTGAGAATCCAGGTACTACAGTTTTAATAGCTTCCACGCTCTACATCTATAGATGCACAATATAACTGTGTCAAAAAGCTGCTTCCATGTCACTCAGTCAAGAAGTCTGAAGGCTGTTATTATCCTGTTCAGAAACTTCATAGTGGTCGAATGCCCATCGATTCAATATTTGTGTTCAGCATCATTGCTGCGCATCTTCACTGGCAGGCAACGAATCGAGCCGACAGGTGGCCCGTTCATCTCTCATCATCAAGTCCCGGACACCATAGCCCCTGTTCCTTCCTCAAGTCGCCAAACGTAGGAAGCGTACGGGCTTCCTTTCATTTGACTTCAGGACGTTCGAGGTCCGTGGCCCCTTCAGCCGGAGAAGTTATATGTGTCGTCATCAAGCCGAACCTCACCCTGCTCTCCCACCAAGTCATCCCAGAGCGTGCTCAAGTCGCTCGGCACTTGCCAGTTCGCGTGGTACGAGCCGACTTATATCAGTGTTTCTTCGTCGTTGGCCTTACCGTCCTTACGGCCGGGATTGCGGTACCGAAGTCGAACGGTGAAAGAACCGATGGAGAAATCGGCTTTCTCGAGTCGCGGCATGCGAAAAATTGCAGTTGTTACGGCTCTCATCATCGGTTTGACTTTCTCGTGGTCGATCTCGTTACGCCAAGGGTTATACGGCTCCTGTCCGTTCTGTAGGCGACGAACGCGGCCGGGTCGGCCATGGGTGCGGTAGCGCGGGCGACCCCGAGGCTTCGTACCTGTAAGAAAGTAACCTCCGTCAGGTGCGATCACACTAGCCATGATCGTGACAACCTCCATCGAAGGCCAGAGTTCTCCGACTTCGAGTCGGTCGTTTCGGCCGAAGAATAGCTCGCGAGACACGTTGAAATCTCGACCCAGTACAAGTTGGCGGATCGGAGACTGTTGGCAAATAGTGTGGATCGCAAGCGAAAGCCGATCTTGCCCATTAGGATCACATAGTGATCCGGGAACGAAGTCATGGTTGGACACGTAGTCCTGGGGATAGTCAAGTGTCAAATGCGTCAGGTGAGCAAGGCTCAACGATACTAGAGATGATGCGAGTGCTGTCAACACGAAGAGGTTAGTTGAGACCGTGGGAAAATAGAGTAGTCAGAGTACCGACCTTGGCGGTGCTGAAGCTTTTCAACCTTCAGTCGGTTGGCCGGTTGGGTGAGATACATGAAGGCGTCCTTGAGTTGAGGCAACGCCTTCAAAATCGAGCCAACTGCTGTTGGATGGAGCGGTCGACCGTCCCATTCCAGCTCAGTGACAGATTTGGCCTCCAGAAGACGCGCGCCTGGGTTCCGGAGGAACTCACAGAGGGCGAGGTGTAGGAATTTGCCGTCTAAGCGTGGATAAACCCATCCTTGAGTAATCTGCATTCCGAAACATCGAACGTAATCAGAGGGTGAGTATACATTCAGGCAGAGGCGCAGATCGTTTCCTTGAGCCGGGAGTTCGTGGTTCCAGCTCCCCAGAGTGGTGAACAGACGGTGAATCGCTGACGTGAAGGCGGTTCTGTTGAGTCTGATCTCATGAACAGTCTCCGCCTGATGACGACGATACTTCGGGTAGGTTGGCAAGATGATATCAAAGTTGATGACCTTCACAATGGTCTGCCGGCTCTTGTCCGTGTTGAACGCGGCGTGGAACTGTTGAATATCCTGGTATCTGTTGGTGATCTTTATCTCCTGGAATGTGCGAGCTTCGACAGCGAACTTCCACTTCGCTCCGAAGATTGCACACCGGGAAAGGCGAGGGGCAGCAGGCTCGTTCTCGATAATGTCGTCGAGAATCTGGTCAATGACCTCGACTGGTAGCTCCATTGTTGTTGAATGCAGCAGCAACGTAAAAGGTATGTATGATTGACTGAAGCAATGTGTAGAATTGTGACGCCAGCAGTCGTTGTTGCTTGGTGAAAGAAAGCACAAGTAGTAGGGTCGACCTGTGAGCAGAGGCGGAAGAAATAGCTGGTAGCCCAGTTGTCAAGACGGCGAGTAAAGGTTTGTCGGCCCTGGTAACACCAAGGGAACAAACACATTTCATCTCCTTGGTCAATTCTCCGCCTCAGTGCATGCAGTCATTGGTTCCATCTAACATGTCCGAAATTGATGGCATGCTTTGTGGTCAAGGCTTTGTACGTATGCCGCTCCGCATATGACGCATCGGCCCGAGCCTGTGGAAGCCATGGTGCAAGCTATCGTGGTGTGAGTGGCTATCTCGTTGCTGGTGCGTCTCCCGGTCCTAGACAGTCTAGACTTCTCGCCCCCGATCGTAGACTTCTCATCCTCGGTTGTAAACTTTTCTCCCTTGGTTGTAGCGGTCGTGAATTTCTCACAAGGCCTAGCAAGGGACAGCACGCGTTGTTGTGACTCTGTCGTGATATAGCCCACATCCACGTTGCGTGCCACTAAGCATGTTCTTTAACAATAGTAATCCAAATGAAGTCCCCGATACCATCTGGCGGTCTGGCCAAGAAGATCGGCGATATGATTTCGATAGAATCGGCAATACGATCTCAACGGAATGGGCGAACCTGGTCTGGCCGAATCTTGTCAGGTCCGTAGATGCCCTTGAAGCGCCCAAGGACTGGGAAAAGTACTCGAGGTTGCTGTCAGACAGCGTGAATGATGGTTTATAGAAGTGAGGTTCCAGAACGAAATGGCACCCATCTCTCTTCCTGCGTTAAGCCCTGCGATCTGATTGGTACGGAGGCTCTTGATCCCGATCCAGCGCTAGGCCCTTGACGGGACTGGGGCTCCTGCTGTTAGATACTACCCGTGCCACGCCCCACTTTATTCAGGATTTGCCCGGGCTCACCAGCTAAAGCTGGTGCTTGGACACCAAAACACCCAGATCACCAAAACACCCAGGTTTTCGATCTATCTAACTAGAAACGCCTCAACCACCTGCAACTGTGGCCAGATTCGTAGATTTCCGCCGGTGCCAGTCTCCCAGAAGCCTCTGTTTGCGTGACTCCTTTGTTGCTTCAGAAAAACAGCGTTTCGCAGCATTGCGAGCCCTTAGATCTGCTGCTTCAACCATCTTCCTCGCCTTGACTATCTGGTCTTCTTCCTTCTGCTGGACCATCCGCCGGCCATCAGCTACTGTCAACACCCTTCCTGACTTTAATGGAGTATCTTGGTAGCCCGGCGTTGTTTTTGAACGCGCTCAGCATATTTAGTCCTCCCCAAGTCTCTTTTAGTCTTGTTGAATGGGAGCCGGAAATAGACACCGGAAGATCTCCAGTGGGGCAGAGACGCACAGGGCATCTGACCCACCAAGAAGACAGATGACCAATCTCTGCACGCAGAGCAGAACAATCAATAGAATCAATCAACATCCGTGTATTCAACACCTGCCTCCAGGTAGGGCATCCGCAGGTCCCGTGACCCGTGACCCGTCTTGCGTCGGGAACTTCACTTCTATCCCCTGGGTGCGGCGCCTTATAGCTTGCGTAGGGCCGCGGCGTGTGACGGCCTGCACAGAGCTTCCCACATGACAAGCGGATACTTCCCAATAGGGGAAGGATCTGACCAGAGGATCCCCTTAAAGGGGCAACCTCCCACTGTACCTATCTCTCTCTCTCTCTTCCTTTCCTCTCTAGTCTTGGTATTCTCGTCAATAGAGTAATAGCTGCTTGCTGCCGGCCATGTCCCAGCTCCTCAGTACGCTCGCCGTGACACGGCGTAGCTTCGATTTAATATCATAGGCTAAGCAGTTTAAAATTGCCTTTAAGGCCTTATTAATATACTGTCACGTCTTTAAACGCTATTATAGCCTGCGTGATATATAATAGTTGTTTATAAATAGGGATAGATTTTTATTTCATATTTTATAATACTTAAAGTTGAGTATAAAAACCTATTATATGATATATTTAAAGCATTTAAGTTTAAGTTTACTTAAAAGAAGTTTAATATAAGTTGTTATAACGTAGCTGACAAGCGAGTTGACATTACAAGCGAGTTGGCACTCGTCATGAACTCTCCAACTGCCATGTCAAATAACTTCACCACAATGCATTCAGTTCAATTCAATTAATCAGATTCCTTTTCCTCAGAGGTTTCTATCTCTATTGTACAAGTTCGCGCATTATGGCCAGTATTGCCGCAAACGCCACACCGTCGCCCACGCGCTGCCGCCCGCCTCGGACGACGACTACCTTCACCCATTTCCTGTTTTGCCAGCTCAGTACCATCCTTTGCAGCCTGAAGATCTACTGCATCTTCAACAAAAAGTATTCCTCCTTTCATTAGACGTTTGTTTTTTGTTCTCCGGCGTTTACTTAGTAAGTGATTGGCCTCTTCTAGTTCGCGGACCCGGGAATCAGCCAAAGCGACCTTATGCATAAGACCATATGTAGCCTTCAAAAACGAGCTCAACGCATCAATTATTGATATAGGTGAGCTTCCCTGGTGGTTTCTGACTCGGTTTCGGATATAAACCGATTGGTTTACCGCTTCGTTAATGGTGATAGGCGTCTTCAAAGTCCAAGTAGTGGGTGGCAGATTGAGGTCTGGCGACGGTGTTCGTATGACAGCGACAGCATCCAGCTTTAAAATGACACTTTCTGGGTCAAAAGGAACAAGCCCAGTGGCACTGAAACCTGCTCGAATGTTTCCTAGCGTCATAGCAGCGTTGTGTGCTTCACAAAACGCTGCAAGGAAGTCCTCCTTCGAAACGTGGGTTATATGACGCCGGATGAGATCCTCAATCATGCGGCCGTAAGCTCGTTTGAGCGGGCTAAAACAGCCGACATCTAGAGGCTGGAGCCTGTGTGATGAGTGGGCAGGCATACAAAGGGTGATAATGCCATTGTTCTGACAATAATCCTCAAAGACCTGGGAATGGTGGCTTTCGTGACCATCTAGGATGAGGAGGCGTTTACCGGCAGTCATACACGGTCTGGTATACTTGTCGAAATGCTGAATCCATTCCAAACCAATCTCATTCGTGGTCCACCCGTTGTCGGACACGGCCACCTTCCAATCGCGTGGTAATATTGTGTCGCGATACCATGACGCGAGGTGGGTTTTGCCCTGTAGAATGATGAACGGCGGGACCACCCAACCATCAGCATTAACAACAGAGATTGCTGTAGACCATTCCCTGTTGCCTTGCTGAGCTTGTCTAGGCCTGCCACGTCTTTTGGCGCTTGTAACGACCATGCCGGACCCAATAATGCCCATCATAAACCCAGTCTCGTCGAAATTGTAAATATCCGCGTCTTGGATACCATGTTTTGCGACTGCCGCTGCAACTTGGCGAAATCACGCGCGATACGTGTCTGGATCCTCGTTCAAGACCCTCTGGTAGTCTATCTTCCGATGAAAACGCGTCCGGAGGCCTGGTGTACGTTTGATGAAGTTCCGCGTCCAGTTCTTTCCAACGCGTCCAGCCCCACACGCCGCCAACAATTGATTCGCCATATCTTCAACATAACTGTACCGGGGCGGAAATGCTCGCGCATCCAGGTCAAGAATGAAGGAACAAATGGCATTCTCTTCGGAAACCATAAGTTTCAAAGTATTGGGCATGCTGTCGCGTCGTGATGACATTCCTTTGACTCTATTGCTCAAAGTGGAACGAGGGATATTAAAGAGTTTCGCAAGCTGAAATATAGGAATATGAGGGTCACGTCGTTTAGCTTGAACAGCTAGCTGCAAGTCTGATTCGTTATAACGCGGTGCCATTGTTGTTGGTGGAGATATGATGGTTTGAATCGTATTGGTTGGAAAGTTCATGACGAGTGCCAACTCGCTTGTAATGTCAACTCGCTTGTCAGCTACGTTATATTATAATATAGAAATTATAATAAGAGTTGTACCATTAGCTTATTTCTTTGTTTTATATAAACATTTAAAAAGTAGTCATTATAATAAACTAGCTAGTTTTAAGTTACAAGGTAGAAAAATCCTTATCTAACTTTAAGTAAGTTTTAGAAAAACTATAACATAAAGTTATAGATTTGCGGCTTTTTAATGTACTATCATTATGTTTCTTAATATGTTTATAGTTTAAAAAGTGGCTTTATAAGTAGTATATAATAATTAACTACGTTATTGGGTTATATAAGAACCTATAAAAGATTTAAATATATTTTATTACTAATGAATAAATAATAAACCATTTTGAAATATAATAACGCTACTACATTTATATTATACTTATTTAATTATGTGTTAGAACAGGCTTGAACAATCAATCATAATACTCGAGTATGGGTCAAAGTCATGATGTTGCTGATGGTTGGATTGGGAGGTCTAGCTGGACCTGAAGGTCTGGCTAAATAACCTCGCAATCCGGTATCTATCTCTTATCTAATCATATATGTGGGTCTTGGTATAGATGGTTTGCAGGCTGGAATTGCATAGATCCAACATTATGTATAATATTTTTATAATAACATTTTTACAGTTTAAATATTAATGTATAATAAAAGTATTTTTAACCGACTATTAATCGAACTGTTGGAACAGGCTTGGCCGATCAATCATAATACTCGAGTATGGGTCAAAGTCATGATGTTGCTGATGTGTTGGATTGTGAGGTCTAACTGGACTTGCAGGTCTGGCTAAGTGTCCTCACAATCCGGTATCTAATCTCTTATCTAATCGTTCGTGTTGTATCCATGCGATTCCAGCCTGCAAACCATCCATACCAGATCCACATGTATGATTAGATAAGAGATTAGATACCGGATTGTGAGGACATGTTGGATTAAAGGTGAGCCCAGAGGGCACCTTGATAGGTAGACACCGGAACCTAGTTGTTCCGTCCCGATCCAGCCCCCTCTGGCACAAAACTGCCACGGTCGCACGAGGACACTCTAGAGAGACAGAATACACAGACACACTTCAACCTCACGATTGGCTCAAATCTGACAGGACACTTAGCCAGACCTGCAAGTCCAGCTAGACCTCCCAATCCAACACATCAGCAACATCATGACTTTGACCCATACTCGAGTATTATGATTGATCGGCCAAGCCTGTTCCAACATAAAGCTTAATTAGTTTTAATATTTTATAAAAGTATTTAAGTTTATTAAATATTAAGAAGTACGCGCTTTTTTATTATATTTCAAACTTATTAGCTTTAAATACGCTGTTTTTTATAACTTTTAAAATCGAATAATTAACAAAGAAACGTTTAAATACGCCTTTATACTCGGCAAGTTTAAATCTTTTACCTAAATTTTTAGAATTGATTTTTTAACGTTGATTTAAGCTGGTTTTATAAATAATCTTACTTTTAAATATATAAAAATACTTAAACAAATAATTAAATACATAAAAACTATTATTAAGTCTAATATATAATATTATAAGCTTATTATATAATATTCTTATTATTTATACAACGATTTAAAACTGTTCAACACCTGTAATATTAAGCTTTTTAATAAATAAAATAACGTTAAATTAATTATTGAATACATATATTTTATAAAAAAGTTTTAATTTTTAAAACACAATCATTTAAAAGGTCGCTATTATAAGATTAATTGAATTAAAACACGTAGCGCTTAATAAAGATATTCAAAATGCTGCTTTTATTTATAACATTTTTTATAAAATCAAGTTTAGTATCAAAAAGAGTTATTACGTTTATATAAGATAATACTAGCGATACGTTTATGTAAGAAATTTTAAAATGTTTTGAAAAAGATATTACGTTCAATTAATATATAACTATATTTATTAAGTAAACGAAGGGATAAATAAGTTAAAACACGTTAAGAGTAGTAATAACCTAGGTAATAGATTTATGAAGCTATTAAAAAACTTGAAGTTTAAATACTTGGTCGCCTAGTTATAAATAGAGGATTTTTAAAATTAATTAATTTGTTAAGCGTATATTTATATATAAGTAAATATGTTATAATACGCTTAACTTATTAACACATCGATTATATATTAATTAATGTGTTATAGTATGTCTTAATAGTTAAGAAGGTAATAAAAATTAGCGGTTTTAATTTATTAATCTGATTTAAAGGATAGTTAGTTATATATAGCTTTTAGTTATAGTTAAAAAAAAGGCTTGTAAGCAGTATTTACTTATTTATATAAGTAGTATATAAGAATTAGCTACGCTATCAAGTCGTATAAAGACTTATAAAAAACTTAAGTGTATTTTATTACTAATAAATAGTCAAGAAACCTTTTTAAAATATAATATTATTACTACGTTTATATTATATTTTCCGGTTTATAAATAATATTTTAAGCTTTAATTCAAACTTGAAAAAAGAAAAAAGAAAAGTTATTAAAGATATAATATAGCGCTATTTATTATAAAGCTGCAAATTAAAGTTATTAAAGATTCTTAAAGACGCGGTTAAAAGACCCCGTTAGTAGATAAAAAGACTATTAATTACTTTTTTAAAAGTATAATAAAGTATATGTGAGCAGTATGTGGGAATCAGCCACGCTGTTGGGTCATACAGGGACCCACACGGCATCTAAGTGTATTCTACCACCAACAAACAGTACATAGACCTTTTCTTGAATACAACAACGCTGTCACGCTCATACTACACTTATCGTTTCACGGATAATGCTCTTAGAATATTTAAAAAGACTTCGTATTCGGATTAATTTGAGCTCTGCCATAACTTTAAGCAAATTAACAAACAAACAAATGTAGTAGCTTATAGCTAAACTCTTTTTATTTTTTCTTTAACCTTAACGCTAATATGACCCTAGTAAAACCTTCGTATACCTTTTTACTATAAGTTTCAAGAGCCTTATATAAGGACGGACCCTCGTACGGGAATCTCGCAAAGATGTACTTTACGAACCTTAACTGCTTCTAGAAAATCAAGATGAAGAGTACTCTGGAAGAACAAGTATTCGTTTCTTAGTACGCCCGACTTTTTGAATGCCATTTTCTGGTAGACAAGGAAAACTCCAATGTCTGAGGACACAATGCCATTCTTCCACCCCATCCCCAGCACAAAGGCACCACCCGCTCAAAGAAACGCCACAGCCGCAAGACAAGTAGATTGTTCAAGTATACCTCGAACCCCAACCCAGCAAGAGAGGCATCGTCGAGCCGATATAAAGCCCAATTCTTCGAAAGTTTTCCCACTTTGAAATCTCCCTAGCAACATGCCCAAGTCGAAACTATGTGCAGGCAGGAAAGGCGCAGGCTCCACTGCCACTGCTGCAACAAGACCAAGGGGCTCGGCTACCTCCCTGCCGAGACCTCACACTGCAGCGCATATCATTCAACAGGCAAGTGCTCGATGCTGGTCATCGACACCGGCCCCCGGTTCATAACGCTGTGCAGATCCTGCCAGGCGTACCACGGCGATCCGAAGTCGTTGCGTGGGAGAATGTTAGGGGTTAAGAGGGACACGAAATCAATGTTGTCCTCTTTCGAAAGCAAGCTCAAGCGCTGGATTTCCGAGAGGGGTCTCAGGGATCGCAGAGATCCGTATGCTACGAAATGGGCGCCTATGGACGCCGTCATCGCGAGCGGAGGTGTCGGCACGTCTGGCATACCTCAACCTTACAACCCGGGGATTGGCCGGGATTGCCAGACGTGGTGGACCTGGCCAGAGATGGACAGCTATATATTTCATGAACTGACAACGTTACCGTACAGGTGAGTGCCATTTGGAAAAGAATGACCAACACGTATCGACAACCACGCCCCGGCACACTGAAATTCATCAGATAAAGGAGCCCCAACGACGACCTGGGGACGGTCTGGCGGATCTGTTGGGTCTGCCTGAGACCATTCGGTAGAACATGCATGATGAGGTGATAGCGATTGCTTCGAGAATTCGCAACCGTCGCTAAGCGCTTTACCCCTAAGCACCACCCACCGTACTGTAACCAGATATCGAATACAGTAACATTTCAAGCTCTCTACTTTCAATTTGCATCCTCTTCTATGATTAGACCTTCTATGCCTGTATGTGACTCCCTAAACCCAAATGAAAAAGAGTGATCGAAGCCCGATCGCAACCAACGCCTCCCAAGACCCAACACAGAGCAGTAGCGACGCCAGCGCCCCTTGCAAGAAACCCCATACAAACACCCTCCCCTAACCACACCACCACATCCTCCAACCTAGAGCTCCCGGCCCCCCGCCTTCGCTTGCGCTTTCGCCTTCGCTCCCCCCTTCGCCGTCGTCTTGGCCGTCGCCTGAGTCGCCATAGTCGGCCGCGTAGCCTGCATCGCAGCAGTAGCCCCCTGCACACCCCTGAGTTTCCTCGCCGCAGCAGCAGCTTCCTCCTGGTTCTTCCTGAGGCGGTGAGCAGCGGCCTCGTACTCCAACTTGGACATCTTCGCCTGGGCGCGTCTGTCCTCGGCCCTCTCCTCCTCCTTGGCCTTCTTCTCGGCGTCGGCGTCGGCGGCGCGCTCCTTGCGCACGGCGGCGCAGACTTCGCGGAGGCGGCTGAGGGAGGCTGGGTGGGTGATGAGGTTAGGTTAGCTGGGTGGTCAAGACCATGCGCCCCTCGAAGAAGGTGAACCAAAAGGACATCTGAAGGGAGACATAGAAAAGAGACACAGAAAAAAGACACCAAAAGTAGAAGATAACTCACTCAGATGACCCGCGACGCCACACTCGCCGTCCCAGACCATGTTGCCGCCCAGGGCCCTACCGAAGTCGTCCTCGCGGTCGCACAGGCACTTGATGTTGAGGAAGTGGCAGTTGATACTCGCAGCGGCGCGCTCGTATCGCCACGGCGTCACGCAGGTGGGCGTGTTGGCGAACAGCCAACATCCACCTCGATTGTAGATGCCCGTCACTTCGCCGTCGACGACGCGGTCCGGCATCGGCGGCGGGCGGACTGAAAAATATATATACATAACTAAAACAGGTATTGACACCGTCATAAAGAGGGCACGCTTGCTGAGCTGCATGGTGTGTTTTAGTTCGGTTTGATGGTTTTAAAAAGAAATAGTGTTCGTTGGATTATTTCGGGTTGTGTTTGTTCGATGACTTGGGGTGGTGAGTTCGCGGGTTATCAAATCTTGTCAGCCAGGAGGCATGTGTTCATACTTATAGACGCGATTAAAAACAGACAAAGGCGGAAAGAAACGTGTTGGAGTTTCAGATAGTTCATGAATGTGTCTCTACATGAATCAATGTTTCTCTTGTAGGGGACGGTAGCCTCTAGAATCTGTCGTTCCTAACTCAGACCTCATGCAGACTCCAGAACCGGTCTATCCTCAATTAATCATCATTTGAATCATCGGAGTCCTCCGAGCCTTCCGAACCTTCTTCGTCGTCATTGTCGTCCACGTCCTCGCCATCTTCCTCTCCAGCAGGAGCCTCAAGTCCGTAATCGTCGTTGAAGTCTGATAGCTGCTTGATGTGGGTATTATACCCCATGTCCTGGAGTTCCTTCTCCATTTTCTAATAGGCCATGTTAGTACTCGCAACCATGAGTCGTGGTATATTGGAACGGGATGGCTTACCTCAACCATGACGTGTGCACAGCAGACGATTACATTGCTCTTTCCGGGCTCGAACATTGGGAGCAGCCAAGTCTTCATCGCCTCTTTGAGTTCGTCTACTGTCACGGCTCTGACCTTCGCCAGCATCTTCGTACTGTAGTCGGATTCTAGGCCCCTTACAGCACCGATGATGTAGTTCTGCACCGCTGCCGTTGCCATCGTGGCCTGCTCGTCGGCCATCGCCATAACGAGCTGGCTAATGGCGCCCTCGATCATCGGCTTCTCGAAGGCAACGGTCCCGTTCGCTAAGGCTGCGATAGCATCGCGGGCTGCCGCAATGGCCTTGGAGGCTAGCGGTGAGCGGTACACCTTAAAGTGCAAGTATCCGCCATCCAACTCCTTTGCAAAGTAGACACCGTACGCTAGCCCATTGCCACGAACTGCATTCCAAAGTGTCCCCTCGACAGTCTCCAAATATTGCATGGCGACAAGTAGTGCCGGTACTGCCGGGTCGGAGAAAGATGTGAGGCCCTTGCCCGAGCTGATGGAGTATGAGCTATCGATGGTAGTCATCGGAATGATAGTCGCGCCGATAGAACCAGGGTTGCGGCCTTCACTATTGAGGAGAGTGTACGGCTTAACAATTGGTCGGATCGTCTCGGAGCTCACGTTGAGAGACTTGGATAATATGTCCCAAGTCTTGACCGGGTCAGGAAGTTTGGAGTTGGAAATGTCAGCTGTGACAAGAACGCGGAGATTATCGAAGGTGAAAAGTGACTTCCGGACTTCCTCTAGCCATGATAACGCGGTCTCTGGTTCTTTCTCGAGAATCTTCTTGAGTCGACGGAGGTATACAGCCTTGACCAGTGTACGCTTCGCTGCCATAAGCGACGAAGCCTCGTTGTGGAGCGCCATTTCCACCTCATTGGACATAACTCGACCGTCACGCTTGTACTCCGGGATATCGGCAAGCTGTTTGGCAACGGCCGCCTTTAAGCGGGTGACATCAAAGATGCTATCGAACATCATGGTCCTTATCCACTCGATGGCGGTGGCATACTTGTCAGGCTCAACCTGCATACGAATGAGGAAGCTTTCAGTGTCGCCAACCCGGCTGCCACCTTCGAACCCGTAGCTCACTGTGTCCCGTTCAAGCTCCGTTACCACCTGCTCGAAATCGATGCGCTCGCCCTTCCGCGTGATGGGGGTGTTGAAGAAGTTGTCGTTGAAGATGGGCATAAGAGGCTTGTACTTGACAGGCACATTCGAGGTTCCGACATGAACTGTGATGTGCACAAAATTTGTCGGCACATCCTCGAACTGAATGAACAATGGCTCGCCTGATGATGCGTTGTTGATCGCCGTTTGCGCTGAGTTTTCGTAGGTACCAAGCTTCTTGGCCAGACCAGATCGTGCGGTTTGCGACTGGATGAAGTGGATTGAATCGGTTGCCGGTACTTGCCACTGCTCGAGCACCGAGTCAGGGATCTCAATATCGCATTGCTTTTTGGCATAGTCAAGCTTCTTTTGAAGCTTTTCAAGTCCTTCCGAACCTAACTCTTGCTTTCTCTTCTCTATCCTGGCGACTTCGTCCTCTTTCAGCTTGTTCGCCAGTTTCAAGGACGGCTTTCCAAGAATCGAGACATGGTGAGCGTCAACAATCCACTTTCTGAGAAAACTGCGCCATTGGTCGTCTGTCCATTGCTCCAGGGTATCGTATTCACCGAGGCTCGCCAGCTCTCTCAACGTTGAGCCATCTCTCTTGCCGAAGAGGTAGTCGGTAATGATGTTCGTGGAGTAGTAGGACTCCGACTCCTCGGCCTGTGCCTTCACCTGTCGCCGCTCTCGTTGGATGCATTCGTTCATGTAAGACATATCCAGGGGCTTGAATGCAACCTCCCTGAGGAGGGAAATTAGGCGATTCTCCACAAACTCCAACTTGTCAGTAGCGACTCCTGTTGGTTGAAGCCAGATGACAGAATCAGGTCGCGCATCCCACCAGTAAGAGACGGAGCTAGCAAGCTCCTCTTTCTCTACAATGACGTTTTCTAGCACTGCAACGGATGATCCACAGAGATATGTCAGGAGGATATTCAAGGCCGTCGCCTGGACAACATCGGTGCAGCTGGGGCCGAAGAAGCCGACGACGATGTCACCGGTAGATTCATCTTCTTCGGGGAACTCGACCGTCTCAATGGTCGTCTGTTTGAGCGCAGGAGGCTGTGCAGATTCGATCCATGGTCGGCGGAATGGCGCATCGACTGGCGGGATATCATCCTTAATGCTATCCTCAAACTTGTCCAAGATATTCAGCAGGTCAGCATGATCGACCTCACCCACGATAATGACACACATGTTCCGCGGCTGGTACATGGTCCTGTGGAAGTCACGAATCTTCTTGGGAGTCAGCACTCGCAACGCGTCCATCATGCCTCCAGTCTCATATCGGAACCCAACGTCTTCTGGATAGAGTAGGCGGCGCGCCTTGAGGTCCATGAGCTCTGGGCTCGTGTATTGTACCGCTTGCATCTCGGAATAAACAACACCAGCGTCATTGCCTTCGCCGTTGACATGATGTACCTCAGTCAAGCATGCGGCATCCGTTATGGTAGGGACGACGAGGTGCTCGAGGTAGACAGGGAGGGTTTGGGCAAACCCTTCCCATCCGGCGGTTTCCAGAGTATAAGCTGTGTGGTCCGTTGCGGTCCATGCGTTGGTTGACCCGTAGGCCCTCGACGCCAGCTTATCTAGCAAGCCTTTGTACCGGTAGCTCTTGGAACCCATGAAAACCAAATGCTCAAGGGTGTGAGGTGCGCCCGAGTCATCGAAGATCTCCGTGGCCAAGGTGAAATATCCGTTCACCTTGGGCCCCTTCCGATCGGCCACAATGACCTGCATGCCACTTCTGTTCGACTCATACTGGGTGATGGTCGCCGGTGCATATTCAGTCTCGAAACTCTGGATCTTGCGAAAACGCACGCTGGAGTCTTGTGAGCCCATCGTGGTATGGAGTAATGTAGTTAAGGCCGTGCCAGAAGAGCTATCCATCTTGTCAGCTATCTGTTGAGGGGTTTGTCATGATACGCAAAGCCGACTCAGATGCAAAGGGCCCTGGTGGAATGCATGGGAGATGGCACATTTTGTGAAAGACATCGGAGCAGAGATGCATGCGAGGATAATGTCTCAAACAGGGTTCGGGGTACATTGGGAGATGGGCTCATCTTCATGTTGTCAGACGGCGCGTGACCCAGAGGGCGGGATGCAGCTAACCGCCAGCGTCAGGGCTGGATTTTCACGGACCTCTGCATGGTAATCCGCGCCCAGTCTCGGGTAGAAGATGAGAAAGTGCGTACCCAATATCGTAACCCAACTCCCTGTACAAAATGGCACCGAAAGCAACGAGACCAGCCAAGACGAAAGTCCGAGGTGACGAGAAACCACGCATGGTGCGTGAACTTGGTGCCGACTCAGATATTGGCCAGGCCCATTTTCATGTGCATGTGTGGAGGGCCGGTTGTCACGAGACTAGAGCGTTCGGAAGGGGGTGAAGGGGGTGGTGGGGGTGTCGGGATATAGGAAAAAACAGGGATACATGTAGGTGTCAAGGGTAGATCCGGGGAATGCGAGACTGACGAGACCCGGATCTGGTGAATGATTCGTACGACTCGCCGACTTGCACTGGCTGTGTCTGACACGCTGACATACCTAAGCTGATGCAGGTGATGCTGCCTGTGTAGATGTGGTGGCACGGCAGGAGGCCAATGAGACGTCGACGAAAACCGGCACCTGGTGAGTGGGAGCCGGGTCGAAGTCCAGATGCTCGCCCTCCTCTTCGCAATGACCCGACAGGAAGACAGCTTGCTTGGCCTGCTGGTGACTGGAGTTGGATGGTGCCCTAGTTGTGCAGCGCGAATGTATGCTTTGAGCTATCCCAAGAGGTAGAGAATATGGCGAATAGGTAGCTCCGACTTGATATCGACGCGGCCTGATGAAGTCCTGGGATCCGCACGATGAAGCAATCTCACAATGCAAGGACAAAACGGGACCTGAGGAATCGTGCGAAGGTTGGAGCTCTGGAGTTGGAGGCGTTGGATGGGAGATGAATATTCTGTGTCGGCTTCTATACACCTGCACCAAAGGGATGCGCCCCGCGTCGGAGGTAGTGACGCTTCACCAGACAGACCCCCGCCGTCATCCACTGAATATTGTGCCTGTAGCCCTGTGCAGATACCACCACAGGGAGTCACGGCCCGGACCTGTGGCGCTCCGGTCAAGGCGCTAATTGGAAGGGTAAGCGCGACCCGACACATGCAGCCGCGCGCCCGCTGAATATTCTGAGACATCAGCCACATTTGAGTAGGTATGGAGCGTGGCCCAAGCTTGTAGCTTCGTTCGCGATGATGATGTGGCTGTTTGCTTGGCTGGCCAATGTTTCCGGCTCGAATAGCTTCGGCTTGTTTGTTCGTCCACGACCAGTAGGTACGGTATCATGGTGGCATACAGCTCAATCGGGTTACCTACATCGTCCTGAACCACAAACCCAACAACCCAATCCGCGAAGACTACCGCGTCATCCCGTTTGCGACCCGATCGAGATCATTGAGATCAGGCACGCCGCCATATACACAGCTACATTGTTCTGGCTTTGAAACCTGAAGCTCCGAGACCCAAGCACGACAACACGTCCTACGCCTCCCTGCCACCATGACAAGCGTCGAGGCTGGTCAGATTGGCCATGCTTTGGTGGAGTTCTCGTTGTATGGCACGTTCCCCGAAGAGGACATATCCTCCCAGCAGGTTGCAGGCCGCGATCTCGGCCCAGCTCTCGAATCCTTAGATGCGGCCCGAACAAAGCTCGAGGTATGCCAGTTGACCACGACAAGATCAACCCCGGTGCTGATGGCTATGATGGTAGGCAGAAGTACACCAAATCAACCAAGAGACGGCCGACGATGTGAACCAATGGGTTGCCACCGCGAAGTCCCTCGAAGACGACATCAACAAGACAAGGAGTTGGGCCAACGAGATCGTGCGGAGGTCCGAGGCTCCAGACGTATCGGGCAAGACAATACAGGAGGCCGAAGATAAGGTCAATTTCCTGCGTCGCGAGGCCACCTACAACCAACAAGTTCACCATGCAATGACGAGCATCAAACACGTAAATGAGCTTCTGGACCAGGTAGAACAAGCACGTGACGAGAGACGTATATTGGACTCACTTCATCTACTTGAGGGTAAGGCGTGGAAAACTGTGCGGTCGTGGCCTACAACTGACCGTCATCTAGAGTCTTGGGCTGCGCTTGACGGCATACCTGTTAGCAAGTCCTGCCGTGTTATGAAACTCCTCGATATTCGGGCCTTCGAGCTGAAATCGGCTGTGCATGATGTATTCGACCATATTTGGAACTCGCTTGTGCAGATAGACACAGAGGCTGGCAAGGTTACTGTGTTTGAGGGTAGAGAAGGTAAAGACACACCTCTCGTCCAGGTTGTTCAATCCCGGCCTTGCTGACCTCTTCCAGATGAACAGATGAACCTCGCTGAAGCCGTCATTGGATTGAAAGCCTACAAAGAGGTTGACCAGAGAATGGCCTTGCTCTGGCACAGTGTTGATCAGGCACTGGTTGGTCCACGTACGAAGCTCGAGAGCCAGGAAATGCCAGGCGTCAAGGTCGAAGGTGTAGGTGTCTCATTCGCTTCGATCAAGAAGGCCCGTGCTGACGAGTTCTAGTCGACTTTGAACCTAAGCGGAAAAGCAGACAAAACCGTAGTCTCTCTATTCTCCGACTTGGAACATATCATGACGTATCTATCAGAGCGTTTGCCGCCAGAGCTCGTCCATTCTCTATCAAACGTGATGATGCCTAATCTCATTCCCCGGATTATTAGCCTATGGTTAGACTCTGCCGTTCCAGCTACCTTGAAAGAGATGAACGAATTTCAAGATATCGTCGATGCTACCAGAAGCTTCTGTAACGCATTGGGAAATCTGCAGTTTTCCGGACACGAAGAGCTACAAGAGTGGGTTGACAATGTACCGCGAGTCTGGCTCGCCAAATGTAGGGAGACGGCCTTGGACTCAGTTCGCCTCCAACTTGGACAAGGTCTTGGAGTTGCCAAGGAGATAGAACGTGTCGAGACACAGACAGTTTCTCAATCTGAGGGCCGAGAGCTGGCTGCTAACGGTGCAACACCATCTGGGGATGACGATGACTGGGGTGCAGCATGGTCCGACGGGGGTGCGGACGCTGGTGTTGATACGCAAGCAGATCACCACATGACTGAAGATGATGGCGCCGATGCTTGGGGTTGGGGCGGAGAGGACGACACAACTACGCAACCGAACATGCCAAAGGACGAGCCTGTAGCCGAAGAGCAGGATCCTACTGAAGCATGGGGATGGGGAGAGGAGGAAACCGCAGAGACGGCTCACGAGAAGCGAGCACCGAACGCGAAGGCGCCGATGCCAAAAACACAAACACGTGAGGTAACACTCAAAGAAACATACAACATTTCCTCAATGCCGGAACCTGTACTCGCGCTCATCTCGACTATTCTGGAGGATGGAGCATCTTTAGTTGGGCAAGTCTTCCGGACATATATTCTTTTGGCCCGCTTTGAACTGACTGATCTTAGGAGCGATGGTAATCCGATGGCTGCAGCTGCAGCAGGCCTCTTCTCCCTCCCAACACTGGTTCTTGCCATGTTTCGTGCTGTATCGACGTACTATTATGCTTTAGAAGATGGCGGAAACATGTCAGTTGTACCCGTCTGTGCAGAGTGTTATTGCTAACATTATCAAGGTTCCTTTACAACGACGCAACGTACCTTGCTGAACAACTGGCTGAGCTCGCGAGCAAATGGAAGGCTCGAGATGATCTCGCGCCGCGAGCAATTGCCATGCTCCGTCTTGACAATGACATCAAAACGCTGCATTCATTTGCGGCTCGAGCATACGCATCCGAGATGTCCACTCGGCGTACTGTTTTACGTGACCTGCTCAGTGGATCACAGAACCTACTCCAGCAAGACGACCTAGATTCCTCGGACCTGGAAGCACAAGTTGATAACGCCACTGGACACGTCCGAGCTCTAGCTGCCACGTGGTCCAAGATTCTCTCCAAGTCCGCCTGGAGCCAAGCCGTAGGCTCACTGGTCGACACAGTTGCATCCAAGCTCGTAACCGACGTGATGGATCTGCCGGGCATCGGACAAGACGAGGCTTACAACATCGCCAACCTTATCGCGCGGCTTACGAAGCTCGATGATCTGTTTCTCCCTCCGGGCGCGGGCGAGGACGCCATGGCGGCCACAGCCGAATACGCCAGCAGTTGGCTGCGCCTCAAGTATCTGAGCTTATTCCTGCAAAGCAACCTGCCGGATGTGAGATATCTTTGGGTCGAAAGCGAGCTCAGCCTGTACTTCACCGTCGACGAGGTGGTCGAGCTGATCGGGCTGAGCTTTGTGGATAATGCGCGCACGAGGGAGGTCGTTCGCGAGATTGAGGGCAAGCCGCACCCTCTGGGCCAGTGATTATGGGGTATGGAGGCGCGCTAGGTTTTAAATATTGGAGAGCTCGAAACAAACATTTGCTATGAGAACATAATACAGAGATCCATTCAGAATGGAAATACAGTTGACCGTTCAAAAGCAAGTGCGCTTGATGGCTTACTTCGTGAACCACTACCTCACACCTTCTAGTCAACTGTGTTGGGTCCTCCCCGTCCTGTCCCCGTGTCAATGTGGACCAAATAACTTCAAGATTACTCATTCAAAGGTGCTTATTTCAGGTGTAATACTTACCTGTTGACGACTGATAAGTGTCTATCAAGCGTAAGTGACCAAGAACTTCGAGCAGAAAGTAGGTTAACATAGAGAAAACCCGGACCTACCTCAGTATATCTCTCAGTCTCTCTTGCTCAATGCCAGCCTGTATTCCTAAAAGCCCCTTGCGCATGCCACCAGTCAATAAGCCCCCTCCGCGCCATCTCCTCGCCAAAGTCCTGCATCCTCTCAACCAGGACGACCCGCTAACCCGGCGCCTTAACCTCCCTATCCCCCCCCCGGCAGTTCTACCGCCCCGACCGGCACCACACACCGATACACCCCGCGCTGTATCGACCGCACGAACTCCTCGTATTTCTCGATGGCCGCGCTGTCGCGGGACTCGCCGTAGATGAACCCCGGGCAGCTGTTAACCTTGAGCAGCAGGTAGGGCACGTCGCACTTCCGGGCGTGGTTCTTCATGCTCGTGACCGCCCTTGCAACCTGCGCGTTTTTGAGCTTGAGAATCCCGCTTTTGAACATGGTGTGGTATATTTGGTTCGTCATGGTTGATAAGGCTCCGGAGGGATAGTAGGTAACTTAGGTAGTAGTTGGTAGTGTGGTTCGCGACGTAGGTCAAGACTGGTCACTGCAAGCCGCAAGCAATCAAGGCCAAGCGCGTGTCAGTGTTGCACCAAGGGTCTGAGAGACTCCCAATGCGAGCGGGAACTCATACGACTTATACTGCTGCAATCCTAACAGTTGTTGGAAGTTGGAACACCGCGGCTTACCTCAATTTGGACGCATGCATGTCGTGGTCCACCCTTGGTGCAACACTGATGTGATATCACCCTTGTGATGCGGGGATCTATCTGCTAGTCGGCGCATCTGTGGTCTCAGGTGCCTAATCCAGGCACCAGAGGGAGCAAGGAGGAGGGCTAGAGACACATCCAAGGGACGGATTCTTCCTTTTAACAATACGACTATTGGCTACAATCATCTCTCATAAATCGCTGGTCATCGCCGACCCAAACTACTCATTTGGCGCTCACTGTTTCGGAGAGCGGACAGGATCCGGAGGAGTCCAGTGGCTATGCTCGTACGTGGAAGTATGCCTGTGTCTTGGTTCATATTGTCACCCGGGCAGGACGGGGTGGGTTCACCGCGGGTTGACATTAGGAGATGCATGATAGTGAGTGGCTCACGAAGTAAACAACCATCAAATATATACTTACAATTAAGAAGCGAAAGATGCCATACGAATCGATATGAGCAGTGAGATATCGGGGTGCATAGCAGAGGTAGGCAGTCCAAATGGACCTCCGCTATGGGTAGAAAGGTGCCAGAGCAATAACCACATGTAGAAAGGAAATCACAGTGAACGTGCTGCAATCGTGGAGTTAGCCATGTAAATAGATGCACGCACCTGGGGCGGGCGGGTGTTGCTCATATATCAGAATACGGGCAAAATTTTCCATCGCACCAAAAAGTCTTAAATGGCCCAATGGCCGATTTGGAGTGATGGTCTGACCAGCGTGCTTGAGGAAAACCCAATGGTTTTTCGGAGGTCGCGTATTGCGTAAGTAGATTACTTTCTTTTTATCGAAATATACCCCTACAGAGGGGGCGGGTTCGGGGCTGGTAGGTGTCGTCTAATTAAATTTTGATATTTTTAATCTTTTTATTTATCCTCTGCTCCCGTGGCTATCAGCTGCCTCCCGCCGAGTACCTAGGAATGTGGTTGGGACTTAGAACTGGGAGCGCAGGGATAGAAGGTCGGCCGACCGCTCCAGAGGTTATGAACCGATATAAAACGGCCAAAGGTTATCAAGTTACCGGCAGTCGTGTTTGTGCTGTTGGCATATCATGAGCGGTCATGAGCGCTTCCCCTCGGGCATTCCATGGCGAAGAGAGCCAACTGGTAATGTGCCGCATGGATGAAAGGATGCAATGTAGAAACACTTCGCTTTTTCTGCTAACTTCGAAGTACACTGAACCTGAATAGTCTGCCCACAGCTCCTACGATTCTAGGTGTCACTCCATGACCCCTAAAGCATGTAGGTATCCAGTGACCTAATCACTGGTCATTTCATGTGCTACGTAATGTGACAATCAGGCTTGCAGCTGCGCTGGTCAGGGCTAATGGGATGGAATATTTAGATTCAACGATATCGAAGGAAGAAGAGGCAAGGTCGGAAGAGAACGGGGAAGCTAGGGGTATATATGTACATAAATATGTGGAAGTATTATGTAATACCGTAACACGTAAGAAGCCAGCTTCTGGTGAGGCAACCAGCCGCGTTAGCGATGCACGGCGCGCAATGGAACCATGGTGTCTCTCGATGGTGCCTGTTTCTTAGACAGAACTCAGGCCACGCCAGAGTGTGCTCAGGCTCTAAGCAACGAGAGTGTTTTTATACTCGATTGCTCCACCGCTGAGATCCTTACTTTTCTTCTATTCAACTTTCACTTCATCTGCGGCTCTCGAGTTATGCGGCTCTCGAGTTATGGCGCAACCTTCGATGTGCACCACCTCTTCGAGTGGTACCGAAGCGGCAATGTCGGCCTCACCCACATTCCCTTACTTCCCTCACCTCCCCACCGAGTTGCAGATCCAGGTCTGGGAGATTGCTATTGCCCATGCCAACCGTAACCGCTTCGTGTTGGTAGACGCCGGTTGTAAGCAGATTATGCCCACCCGGTTCCTGTGGTCACCATTCCTCTCTGTCACCATCTTGAGTCGCAACACATACAAGCGTCTCTACCCGGTAGAATTCCGAGTGAAGTGTCGCAAATATTACGAGCAGAGAGACTACGCTCGCACATTCGACAAGCAGCAACAAGCGCCCAACAAGACCTATGATTGCGGTACATTGTACATCAGCTTCCGACTCGCCACATTTCTGCCGTACGGGTTCAAACCCGCCGGTCAACGGTATGCGTCATCTTCGTCAGAGACAGAGACATGGCCGTGCTCCGTGGTGCGCACGACGTATTGAGCAAGTATCATCAAGCCGAACGATTTTCGCCACCGGGTGAATCAAGTCGCCGCACTTGGTCGGAACCACGTGTTTTCGCACCCAACAAGAAGGATGAATGGTTCAAGACGGAAGTGGGAAAAGTCTACAGGTCCCGAGTTCCCGTTGGACAAATTCCCCACTATCAACGTGTACACGTCCATGTCCCTCTCTTACAAACTTCTCAGGGAGCTGGTTCCGAGATCCGGATCGGATTTTTTGAAGAAGTGGCTTAAGATGTCTCCCAGTCGCATTCGGCGTGTCGAGAAACTCAACGGCGTGTGGCAGCAGCGGAACTACTGAGTCCACATCATCTTCACAGCCCCCCGGAGGAGGAGACAAGCAAGGGATCAAGGAGTTCTCTTCGCCTCACAGGATCGTTCAGCAAGCCAGTTACGGATAGGAATCGCCACGTATGCTTGGGATGGGCGTGCTATGTTTTCTCTCTTCGAGAAGAAGGGGTTACAGTCATGCCGTATTCACCTTTCTCATTGACTGATGATGGTACCAGCTACTTGTCTTCGTCTAAACCTCTGGAGCTGAGTCTACTGTCAGGGCCATACCTGCAATAAATTACCGTGACTTTCTCCCGATTACTCCCAGAACCATCATAACCCCGCTGATTGCCTGTTCATGTCATGATTTGACACAGCCGATCCGCCTCGACCTGTGAAACAGCACCAAGGGATGGAAAGTGACCCGTAAGTTGACAAATTTCCCACGATTAATCTGGCTTCGTGGCAAGTGGATGGCGGAACCAGGTCTACCAAGAATAGCATCATTTTCTTTGGAGGCAGGACGTTATGCCTTCCTCGCTGGAATTACCAGGTAATCCTCACCAGCTTGGGTTTCCAGGATGGTAGAGGAGGTTGAATGGCAATGGTGAAGGTAGAGAGCGACGATGAATACCGGTAGTCCGGGTGAAGTAACAACTTGTTAATGAGGGGCCACACAGATCCAACAAACCTGATTGTGAATCTTTCTCCGAGGGCCCCCGTTTTGAGAATACAGAAGTCTTCGTCACGTTGCCCGGGCTTCCCTCCTGGCCGGGTCAATCCTAATGAGTTAGGTACCGGAATCCAGATGACTCTGCAAGTCTTCTGGTCGTGTTAGGCTGAGCTCAGAGTGTCGGACTTTCATTCACAACGACGACCACGAACCTGTTCACCTTGATCCGGTGGCCTATTTCCCCTTGTTCATGACAACGTCGGAACCAGCAGGCTAATTGAATGTATTTCTGACCCTTGAGCGTCTTGCATTCATCAGCTGTGGAAACATTGATGGCATGGACGACGCTCAGCATATAAGTCATATCGACTATATTCACCTCCTGTATGGTAATGCCGTACCCTCTAGGTTTCCGTTGAGGCATTCACTGACCTTATTTTCTGCTGGCTATGTCCATATAAGCTGGTCGAACCATGGCAGATCATCCTGCTCTTTCAACACCAAGTCACCAACGCAACACCTCTCACACGATACACCAAAGAAACGATCATTTTGCGACAAGACCCACCCACCATATTCACACAATACACCTCCAGCCATGCCCGAAGACAACCGGAGAAGGCACATCTCACATGGGACACCGAAACCCGCCATCCTGGTACGGTCTGCCACAGTGGAACCTACCACCGGGTTTCCTCCCGAGCAGCACATGTCAACCTGCAGCAACATCCGAACCCACAAACTCGGAAGCGGAAGAGAGCCCTGGGGTCGCGATCTGCTGGCGTTGCACGACACGCTCAGCGGCATCCCCGGATGCTACCATCCCCCCCCCTACATCTCGGACACCCCCACATCTCGTACAGCAAAACCCCACCACCACCACCTAAACCCTATATGTTCACTTATACGCTTTCAGCCCAATATTGAAGGTGCTCAGAATGTATTTAGTGCTCTAGATAGCCCTGATCTTAAGGTTTAATCCAATGCAGAATTTACCCCACGCAGCGTACGTGATTGACTGTCTATTACCCCGCGTTTCTTACCCCGAATAGAGATTTTCGGGTGCTGGAGCCTCGTCTGAAGCCTTATTCTGTATGTACCGCAGTATCGTATAGCCGCCTAGAATGCCTCCCAAACCGTATACAGAGGATCAGATGGCGAATGCTATCTTAGATATCACGGATGAGGGCCTTTCGTTGCAAAAAAGCGCTCAAAAACACGGCGTCCCTGTTACAACGCTCTCTAACCGATTTAATGGCAAGTCCTCAAAAGGCGAAGGCCATATGTACCAACAAAGACTCTCTCTTGCTCAAGAAAGCACTATAATTAACTGGATTTTGCATCAAGAGAAGCTAGGACTAGCCCCTTCGCACTCCCTGGTGTGTGAGATTATCGTGAAGGTGTTAAGAAAGAACGGAGATTCAGGCCCCCTTAGAGACCACTTCATGACCGGCTTCAAACGCCGCAACCCACAAATAAAGACCAAAGTTGGCAAAAGGATGGAATCAGCGCGCTTTAAAGGCTTCACGCCGAAGGCAGTTAACTGGTTTTTGGAAATCCTAGAGGATTACGGCTGGGTCAAGCCAGAAAACACGTATAATGTCGATAAGGGCGGCATTATGGCGGGTTTTGGTGACTATAACTACCCCTTTAAATCCATAGAAATTCTAATTAGCTTTATAAGCATTGATTCTCTGGTTTTAGGTAGTTCTGTTACTAAAAAGGCCTTCTTGAAGAGCCCCCAGAGCCGTAGCTGGACCTCCTTTATCGAGGCCATCTCTGCAACTGGAAAAATCCTCAAACCAGGTATTATCTTCAAGGGGAAGGACCTCCAGGCCCAGTGGTTCATTGAGGAGTTTCGAAAGACCGCCGATTGGCATTACATATGCTCAGAAAACGGCTGGACTTCGAATAACATAGCCTGCCAGTGGCTAGAAGATGTCTTCATCCCGCAGGTAGACAAGATACAAAGAGAAGATCAGGCTGAGCCTGTTCTTTTGATAATAAATGGTCATGGTAGCCACACCTCTGTAAGTATATGATTTTTCCTTATTTTATATAGACTTCCTTTATTTTTTCCTGATTTAGTAAGGGCTAATGTGTGTTGTAAGGACAAATTCATGACTATTTGTTATTTCGCCAATATATTGCTCTGTTTCTTCCCTGCACACACTAGTCGTGGCATGCAACCCCTAGATAACGGGCCCTATAACGCCTTAAAGGCTCACTACTAGAAATTCCTCTCAGCTAAATTCTCTGACGGATGCCTCGCCTGTTAATAAGATCAACTTTATTCGGTGCTATAGCCAGGCCAGAACTGCTGCTTTTACTAAGGCAAACATCCTCTCTGGCTTCAGAACGACTGGATGTTATCCTATCAGCCGCAGGAAGTACTTAGCGCATCCAGAAATCCAGGAAGAGAAGCAGAAGACCCCTGAGCCTGAGACTCCTGAAAGCTCTGAACCAAAGGACCAACGGACCCCTACTACAAGCCGCCAGATCATGAATTTCGGCAAAAATAAGTCTCCTGGCACCCGACTGAAGTACAGGAAGATAGCCACTGCATTCAAGGCTAAGGAGACCGACCTTGTTATTAAGGACAGGAAGATCAAGGCCCTGGAGGCTGAACTGGAACGGCTACGGCCAAAAAAGCGCCAAAAGATCCCTAATCCTAACAAGAAGTTCAGAACAGTCACAGAGGTACTAAGTACGGGTGGTAACATTACCCCTGGTGCCTCTGCGAATGTACCAGACGTTGTGGTTGATGATGACGAGGAAGAAGAAGAAGAAGACGAAGACTCGACTGAAAAGGCCGCTTTGGAGGCCATACAGGAGCCTAGGCAGACCCGTTCGGGGCGATCTATTCGGGCGCCCACTAGATATTACGAATGAACAGCTTCTGCGCTCTCCAATGATAATTTTGCTGAATTTCTTTGACCTGAATGACTTCTTTTACATGTGGGTGAATAAGGGGGTGTTTTGGTGGTGTTGGTGGGGTTTGGCTGTACGAGATGTGTGGGGGGGGGGGGGGGGGGTATGCTCTCCCCAAGATGGAGGGTGCCGATACGGACTGGGCGTATATGGATGGCAATCTCAACCGGCGCGGTTCCTCTTACGTGTTTATCGGCGTCCCTGATGGTGAAGGGGAGAGAGTCAGGTAAGTCAAAAGCCCTGAGACCATTCAGCCCGCAGCCGCTTGCACTCCAATCCGGCGGTTCCATGTCTACCTTAGAAAGCGTCGATCTAACTCATTGCAGGGTCGGTAGCCAGGATATCCTCGATTTCTTGGGCATAGCGATCAATGAGGCCCGGAACGGGGGTCTTACATGCCACACGATCCTTGGGCAAGCTTGTACGACGTGGAACTCTTGGAGCGTTGAGGTCGAGTTTAGGCTCGCACCTTACGAACCGAGGCAGTGAATTGGAGACGGGCGGGGAGTTTCTTGGATCTGTATAGTATATCGTTCGAGGGGGGCTTGGATTGGGGACAGGCTATACTATATGTTCTATCTTGATACGTATGGGGAACACTCAATGAATGGGGATTTTCGGAGCACTATTCTGGACATATTCATTAGACCTTTGCCTGCTGTGCTGGCGAATACCATCCCGTTGATGCCCTGGTATGCGGTTTTCTTGTTCCTTCCACGCACGGCTTGATAGTGTGCACCTGTAAGTTTACGGTCGCTTTCCATCCCTCGGTGTTGCTTCACGATTCGAGGCGGATCGGGTCGCAAAATATGACATGAACCTGGGCTCCTCGCAGCGCGCGCCGCAGCCTTCGAGCAGAATATTTTTGCGCAGAAGAGGGAATTTGGTTGGGGCAAGGCCTCACAGGGGTTGATTATCTGAGTGCAATACAAGACTTTAGACTGCAGAGATTCATTCGCAGAGCTCAATCAACTTTCAGAAACTCATTGCAAAGCCAAGCTAGCTACCATATGTTCCGTGGAGCTTACACTTTCAGTCATCAACCGCGATTTTTGCAGACCCAAGCCCTCCTCAGGAGGGTAATACAACGTGACAGGAATCTCCACTCGTGCACCGCAGAACTCAAGCCACTCTCGGCAGTCCAATATATCGCTTCTCCAGGTCCGCAATCGGGACCTCTTCACCGTTCACCAAGACAGATTGTCCGGACGTCGAGGTGTATCCCGAAGTCGGCGGGCTCTCCTCCCGATTTCCACTTCCCCCAAGAAGGACGTTTCCGGAGGGGGATTGGGCGGCGGCTCGTTCGTTGCGTCGTCTGTTGGCCAGCCAGGCCGCGAAATGGTTGTTCGGCTTCCACTGGAGCATGTCGACGATGATCTTGCGGAGCACGGGCATGCAGCAGGCGAAGATTGTATCAGCTGGTTCGACCAGGTTCCATACGAAGGACACGACGATGTAGACTAATGGGGTGGTTAGAGCAATGACACACAATCGGGTTTGGTATGGGTTTCGAGGTTGTGATGGATAGGGGCTTACATGGTGTTAACGCCCCGGGGCCTGCGGTAAGTCGCACCAAGTCCACGATCCGCATAAGACCGGAAGCAAGGGACCTAGCCAGAGTCAGCATCCCAATCATATGGTCAAGCAGTATCGTTTGGACTCGAACTGACATTACTCCGAGACTCATTGCAACAGCGAGGCCAATCTTCTCGTAGCGTCTGAGGTCGAGTCCCTGCACGATCTTCCAAGGGACCACGGAGAAGAATGCATCAGTCGCGCAGGAGGCAGCTGGGAAATGTTAGCTCTTGTATACGTGTAGTCCGGCGGAGAGACGGGTAATGCTGCATACCTTGGATGATGATCCGGGCGAACTTGACGACGTTGAACTGCATGCAATCGGTGGCGGGAAGTCGGAGAGGCTCGGGGATCTGGTTCTTGCAGTCGCGCAACCAGAAGCTTATGGCCTGGATGAGGTACAGCATGTTCATCTGTACAACTATTAGTGATACTCCTAGAACACAATTAGCCCGTCTCCAACAACAGGCAGCTGGAGATTTGGAGCTCGACTTGAATGATCGGGCTTCGGGTCCTGCTTGAGGAGAGAGGTACGTACCAGGAGAATGATGTACCAGAGACAGGTCCTCCACCATCCGTCGGTGAGCCGGATAAGCGTGAGCGCCAGCGAGGTCTTGCCGAATGCCAAAGACATCGAGTTGAAGGTGCCCATCAGGCTGCCTGTCAAGACGACGTCGTAGGGAGGGGCATTCTCGTCCCAGCTAAGCTGCACCCACTCGGTTACCATGACAGCATTCGCCACGAGACATGCCTATTGCAGTGGTCAGCAAGGAATCGCTTTTCAAGGAGGTCAGTGGCATGGAGGGTTCCCACCAGAGCAAGCACCAGATACGAGTCGTCCACCCATAGTTTTCGCGGGCCCCAGCTGCGGTACCAGATGCGCAGGGCAACGAACACGACAGCGATGCCGACGTGAGCCCATGCCGCCTGGTAGGTACGGCTGCGGTAGATATTGTCGTAATGGACCAACTCAGGTGCAGTCGTTTCGGTGACGTTGTAATCTGTCCACATTGCAGCGTCGAGATCGGAGTCGCAGATTTGCGAGAAAGCGTGTGTGTAGATGGCAGGTTTGGCTGGGGTCGGCGACGGACAGATGTTGCAAGTTGAAGAGGTGCGAGGGGCAACTGAAGGGGTGCCTGATGAATGCAGAGCGAAGAGTGAATGGGATCAGAGGCTTGGGTGCTACACTGTGGCCGGACGACGAGTTCGGATGATATGGGTGTGTTTGCCGCACTGGCTGGTGCGTTCAACACTGGTCCAGGCTGCTCATGTAGGAGCTACACTTGCTGGATTGAAAAACGGCAGTCTGATTAATCTGTTGTCGGGTGCAAATGCAGCCAGACATGCTAGACTATGATTAACGAGAAGCCTGGCAAAACAATACTTGCAGACCACGGCTGATTTCACTAACTTACCACGATGGCCATGTCAACTGCCAACATGTCGGGACACCGCGGCATGGTCTTTCAGAATCCCAAAGACCCTCCTCTACCTACCTTTTCAGATATCCATTATCAGGCGTGATATTTCCTCGCACGTAGATGGGCGGCCCATCTTTCATCGGAAGTGCAGGTTGTTTGTGTTGCTAAGGGGGTTTCAGCTTCGTGTTCTTCTGATCTTCGAGGACTCACAAACATCAGAGCCTAGATGAGTACCGCCTTGGTCCTATAATCGGTAGTCCGGTGGAAATTATTGACCATGTTATCCTCTGTATTTATCGTGTTGTTGACTGTCCACGTACTGTTAAGAGAAGCGGTAAAGAACCCAAGTCTTTCACAGAGGACGACATATCACCAGTCAAGTATTCTAGTCACAAATAACCTGAACGGCCAATGCTGGCTTTTGTTGGTCATGAAAAGACACCCAAGTCGTTCGAGTCGCCTCAGGCATGCCAAGTGCGAATAACCACCTGTTTGACTGTAGGATTGATGTTGGTGGTCAAGATCAAGGGCATGACATCTCCACTATTTGTAAGAGCCGCAGTTTCCCCAGGGTGTTGCCAAGACCCGCTGCCTGCAGCCTGCAGAGACCCCATTGCCAAGCCGATGGTGCTTGTCCTAATGAGGTTAGCAAGAAAACCTTAAGTCGCGTCATATGATTCCGCGTTCGTCTCGCGCCGGGAGTGACGCCGGCCGCGCCGTGGCACCTTCTTTGTTCCTTTTTGCCAGTTGAGCAGATTTTGAGGGCCAAAGAGACCTGGATTGGACCCTGCATCTCGTCTCTTTCACTTCCTCTCAACTCCAAGAGTTCCAAGGAGATGCAGCCTCACCAAGTCCCACCATGACTCGCAAGCCAGCGAAGTCGGTCCAAACTGCCGAGAGAAGGGCCCTCGAGGGCAGTTATGAGAGCCAAGACAGCCAGCTCGTATTCCAACAGGCCCTGCTCGAACATGCAGTTGGAATGGTAAGTATCTGTTGAGATCAATCACTACTGGGCAATGATGAAGCCTGTAGCCGGCCTGCATTAGCTGACAACCGCCTGCCTGCAGTGCAGCAGCTCGCCCGCACCAGACAATCCGCCGATCCCAGCCAAAGGTAACCGTTGCTGCCCCCTCGAGACGATGCTCAGCTTGTATTCACACGATTGCATATAGAATTCGCAAAACCTAACACATCACATCCTGCGAACGATTCCGAGGCACATTTACTGTCAATCCAGGTAAGTGCATATGCGTGGGCTGATCGGCGCTGTTCCGCGGCTGCCTGCATGCAAGGCGCCCGCCACCAGATCTACAAGGATGGCACTGATACTGATGGCAAACGTCACAATGCTAGTATCCGAAAGACGCGTCGACCAAGAACGCGCCCCCAGGCGCCAGTCGCCCGTCCAATTCAACGAACTCCTCTGCGCAACAAGCAAAATCACAGCCCCGGCGACCGCATTCCTCGGCGCCACGGTCCCTGTGCTCTTCGTTGACTTGGGAACCGAAAGAAATCGTCGTCCCGGTTGCCGTCGTCCCTTCAATTCAACAGGATGCCGTGCCAGCCATCGAACCGCCCAGCCCGCTGATCAAGAGCGATGTGTTGCCTCAACTTCCGTCCTCGAGTGAACCACTGCAAGAGAAGAAGAAGAAGGCTCGCGACATGTCCTCGCAATCTCCCACACAATCGAACGAGGGCCGGAGTTACGAACAGTATGACCAAGATGGATCACAACCACAGTCCACCCAAGGCAGCAGTGCGCACCGCACTCTGCACGAAGGGGACACTGGCTTCGTCAACTTGGTGTCCGACGACATTGATCTGCCCGACTCGGCGCCCGATGACTCCAATGTGAACCTCTTTCCAGAGCCGGAACCGAAATCGCAATACACCTCCCAACCGTCGACGAACGGTATTCGCAACAGTGCCCCCGAGACACCTGCCGTACGACACATGTTTCCACCGGGATGCGACGGACATGTGATGCCAGCGTCGCAGATGTTCCGCCAGACACAGTCAACAGCCGTGAAACCCAGTCCAACGTCGTCACGCCCTTCGCCTGACTTATTCAACCACAATACCATCTCTCCGAACCCTCTTGTATCGTCACCCTTGAAAGACAGGGGCTTGAGAACGTCACCTATCCAAGCCTACGTGTCGAGTCCTCCAGCATTCGTAGAGGCTTCGTCTCGGCCATCAGTCAAATTGCCCTCTCAAACGCCGATCCGCAATCACACGGATACAGCCGAAACTCCAAGAGATCAGTCGGAAACCCCGTTGCCCCAATCTGATGTTCGTAAGGCCAGCAGGGCTCCCGAGCCAAACGCTGAATATCATCCATTCCGAAGGCGCGGCTCCGGCAGTGATGTTACCAAGTCTCCCAGCCAAGGCAGCGAGGATTCTGACTTTGGGGACGATCAAGCACAGAGGCGCAGTCGATTGGCGAAATCGAGAAGGGAGAAAGCTTCCGAGTCGCTCTCCCTTCCCCCTGCTCGACCAAGCTCAAATAAGGCCACCATTGAGGTGCCGTCAACGAATGGTACAAAGCCTAAGGAACCACGCATACGCACCCCATCTGATGAGTATCGAGCACAATGTACGTGGATATATGATATTGGTAAGGACAGTTCACAAGAAACCGTGGCTGACTCGCAAGATGCTCCGGTACCACAAGAAACGGCCAAGGCCAACAAGGATGTCGCGCAGCCTTCGAACGATGCAAAGGCAAAGTCTGACACGGAAGGCGACAATGTGGCTTCGAGTGCTCCGATCGATCGTACCGAGTACAGGGAGACGATACCTGAAACTAGCCCGCCGGGCACATCTGCAGAACCTCCCAGATTGGTTGGCGATATCATGAAGCAATACTCTAGCGGTACCTCCAGTGCAGTCACGATGTCCCTTCCAGTAATCTCTAGCGGCGCAGACGTCGAAGAGCAAGAAGAGCAGCCAGATCTACCCAGACGATCAAGCCTGCCGGAACCAGAGTCTTCGGGCCGGATCTCTTCAGGGCGTAACAAGGCATCTCGCCCCGAGCCGATCAACGCAAACTCGTCGCCCTCTGTCATCAATGCAAACTCATCGCCCTCTGTCATCATGGCATCGTCGCAACGGAGCATCCCGCGCCAATCAACTAGACTCAAGATCATGACCACACCATCCTCGACCGCGCCTGAGTTGCATCTTCCGTCTGAGCCTGGCACGGGAACTTCGACACTCACGACGCTCTCTATGACGCCAAACATGACTTCCAGTACAACGCCGAATACTGAGAACGACATGGACGATGAACACGGAGATAAAGACGGGCACACTTCGTCTCCAGCATTGGCCAAGGTTAAACGTCGAGGGCGCCCACCATCATCGCTGTCTAAACCCTCTCCGTCGTTGCCCAAAGTTATCAAGACGTACTCCCGCTCCAGCGTCAGAAAAGGAATACGCCAGTCGTCGCGTCATAGTTCCGTTTCGATCGACGAGCTGGCAAGGTCCCCATCAGCCTCTGGCCCTAAGGATCGAAAGGTCTTACCTCGAAAGAGACAATCAACTGCTAATCAGCTCATGATTCGCGAGTCTAGTGCAAAAGATGGGATCTTCGAGGGCATGGTTTTCGCTATTTCCTTCCAGGAGCGAGGGCGGACTCAGAAGAGTAAAGAAAAGCATGCGGATAGAACCGCTGTTGAGCGTATGATTCGGTCAAATGGAGGGACGATTCTCGCCGATGGGTTTAACGAACTTTTCAAATTCGACTCCCTCCAGACCTCGCCCAATGCGCCTTCGACGCCGGTGCTGTCCAGCTCACTGAAACTTATTGAACAAGGAACTGGTTTCACCGCGTTGATCGCAGATGGTCACTCACGAAAGGTGAAATACATGCAAGCACTGGCGTTAGGTATACCTTGCTTAGCACCTAAGTGGGTGACGACATGCGTATCGAAGCAAGAGGTGGTCGACTGGTCCTCGTATTTGCTGTGCGCAGGATCCAGCTCCTTACTGGGAGATGCTATTCGTTCACGGAGCCTCCAGCCACACGATGCATCCACGGCGAAGCTGGCGGAGGTCATCAGTCATAGGTCGAAGTTGTTGGATGAGAGCAAGATCCTCTTAGTGATGAAGAGGACGAAGAATGAGGAGAAGAGACTGCCTTACGTCTTCCTCGCACAAGTCCTCGGCGCATCATTGGTGCGCGTTCACACACTCGAGGACGCCAGAGCGAAACTCCAGGAAAAGGAGGCTCAGGATGAGGAGTTTGACTGGGTGTATGTTGACGACCACCTACAAGATGCCCGGGATGCTTTGTTTGGCACGGCAGCAGGAGGTGGATCATCCAAGAAGCGCAAGCGCCAGAGCACGGGTGTTGGAGATGGCGACCGGCCTCCGAAGAGGATTAGGACTCTCAACGATGAGCTGGTAATCCAGAGTCTGATCCTGGGTAGGCTCATCGAGGACGGGGAGATGGAGGAATAAAGACCACATCTGTTACTCCGCGAACCCTGGAGCGAAGGTGTTTCTGGCATGGCATTCCATCGCATTGCCAGATGTATTTACATGCATTTACGGAGTAACAATGCTGCATTTTCTGGGGCATGGGCCGTGGCCAAGAGGCATCATGCAATCATTAATGGAATGCCCATGTATTATGGACTGGGACAGTCCGCGGCGTTGAGGGCGGACCCCACGATTGTTATTATTATACTGAGTCGAGTCGCTATACCATTGAGCGATAAATTGTACATCGTAGGTAATACATACTACACTGAAGAGTCACCACTGTCGTGTGCTTTCTTGAAAGTGATTCGCGTGCTTCCTTGAAAGCGATTCCTGTTGGTGATGATTACCTGGTTGACTCAAACCAGCCGGACACATGCCTCCAGCTCGTGAATAGGGGTCGACTTCTAAGCAGGCCAAGCCTTTTAAGCTGGCCAATATACCAAATGCCGTCATGACGGACCAGGGGTCCACACCGTCTCGTACACCCCGGCACAGATCACCTTGGCTGCTTGGTTTCTGCCGCGCCTCTGACACCGTCAACGGGCATACCGACCGGTACTGGCTGGCAGAAGCAGCTCAACTGCACATATACCGTATACGTCAACGAGAGCAAACGTCGACCATTGGGTCTGGACGGCTCGCAAGCTGTGCTATTTTGGGAAACCAAACCGTTGGGGATCTTACTAGTAACTACTCAAGCGCAGCCGACGGGAAGACGATGAACGAATGTGCTAGAAAAACCAGGAACGAATCTTCTGTAGATAGTACCTGCCTACAATAATGTGTTTCGGCAAGGCAAGAGGAACGGTCGGCCGGAAAGAGAGGGTTCCGGACGGGCTGGCGCGGCGGGATCGAGATCGAGATATTTGAGGCTCCATCGGGAGGGACGGTTTGCGGCGAGGAAGCCGGTTTTGGTATGCTGTTGTTTAGTATACATCTACCTGACTCGGCTGGAGCTTCTTTTCCTTCCCTATTAGCAGTAGGTATTCGTGCCAGCGTTATGGGGAACAGATTCAACAAGGTTCGTGGCCAAGCCGAACGAACGAGCGAGCGAAACGGCAGAACGGCCTACAAAGGTTTTCGGCCTGGCGGCAGGCAAGCAGGGGTTGCGCCTTGGTTCGGGCCCTGCTGCCTGCTGCAGTTCCTCATCAATGATCATTGAAGTCAAGTCCCGATACTACTGTGTATGTACAGTCAAGTCTCGATGCTACTGTACCAAACAAAACCAGATAAGCGCCGGGACCGAGCGATTGGGCGAATCCAATGGAGATCCATCCCGTCTCGAGGCAAGTTGCAACGAGCACGAGTCGTGCAGCCCACGTTTTCCCGGAACTTATTATTATCAGAGCGGAGCTCCAACTGTGGATCTTGGTTGAAGAACGAGGGCCCGGGCGCCCGCCTCGGAGCTTTCTGTGTCTTTTCTTTCGTTTTCTACTGCTGCCACCCGGGTCCCCATCATTGATTGCCCACATGCGCCACCCACATCCCGTCGGATTCGAATTCACGAGCAGGACAATTGGAACTGGAAGCGGGAGCTGACATCAGCTTGACGACAACAAGACGGGACCCGCCCGACTCGGATTTGCGATGGAGTCGGCTCGGGCGCGAAAATCGTGCTATGAGCGGGTATTGGGCTGATTTCTCGGGTCCTTCTTTGAAAGACTTCGCTCTCCTATCTGCGGGACGAGGACTATTCTCTTGTTTATCGCAGTTTAGCAAACGGGATGCGGATAGGTCGGTAGGTCGGTAGGTAGGTAGGCAGGTATGCAGCGAGGTAGTCAAGACAGGGCCACTCATACGCGAGTGGACGGATGGGTGGTAGTTCCAGCCTCCTCCTCATGCACGCTGGTATCGCGGCGCATACATACCGGTATCAATATCTCACGAGGCAAAGCGGGGGTCGTGGGAACTTGTACGGCCGTAGATATGTAGTCAACATGCCACTTTGAGCCTCTCTCGCAGGCTACTACTGTCGAGGGCTATCTACAGACTACAGGACCGTTGATGCGGTCCACAGTGGATTCGAAGCTCAGCCAGTTGGACTCCGTAGTCGTCGCATCAGATAGAGGAAAGGCTGCGAGATTTCACGTGCATGCATCGCGCATGAGAACGGTGCCATGCGTGCATATAAGCGATAGAGGTGCATATTTGACTGACCGCCTGGAAGACAGTGTCGCGTTGAAGCTGCGGGGTGGCCATGGCATCTTACTATGTGCCGTGTGTTGGTACAGTCTTCGTCACAGTTGCACCATGCCATGATGGGCCGCGGTTATGGGTGAGTTGCATGAGGTGTAGGCGACCTACGTCAGCAATATCGAGCACATGTATTGGTTGAGCTTCAAGAGTGAGAGGGTGGGTATGATAGAGCCGTCTGCCGGAGCCCATGTTCACTTACACCGCGATTACAAGCATGCATCAGCCCTTGCTTGCGAAAGCAAATGCTGCTCTGACCGGCTCTATGAGGGATCGAAAAGGTTGTCTCGACCCGCCTCAACGGCCGGTAGCAGCGGGTTGAAGCGAACAATCCTGGCAAATGCGAAATTCGGCTTATCTGGCGACAAGCTTGCCAATTTGGGTTGCCAAACCCAGTTGGCGGAGGTTATAGCAAGCGTTTGATATAGAACTCAAAGTTTGGTTCCGATCATAGCGGCCAAGGCTGGAAACGCCAGCAATGACGTGTGGTTTCGCTCTTGGGTGATAGATAGCTCCCGTGCTGTCGAGTGTTAACCTGGTGACATGTCTGGCACAGTACGGATCCTTGCCATTAACTGATTCCAAGGTTCCTGGGTATGAGGAGGCTGAATGTATCATGCTAGGGTTGATCATGTTGTTGTTGGCGCAGGAATGGGATCGTGAGGGGGAACAGGAACAGGAACAGGACGGGAACGGGATCTTGAGCGAGGCTAATTACGGGATCGTAAGAGGAGCATGCCTCGCACACACCTTATTAGAACGCCGTAAATAGTCGTGGGATGAATAGCATGCAGGCTCCACACGTGAGAAGGATTTAAGGATGTCGCCCATTTGGGAGTGTCAGGAGTGTCAGGTGAGGCTTGAGACAGATTGGACCTCACTTCGGCAGATCCTTTTCAGCCTCCTCCATCGGAAGCTGTCAGATTCTGAATCAGCGACTTCACGACAGCCGCATGCTTTGGCGAGTACCGTTAATTGGGCAATTTCCCGAGGTTGGCTGGGCTTCTTCTTCATTAGCCTCGTCAGAAGCGCGAGTCGTTTCCCGTCAAATGCGGCCAGAACGATCCAAAAGGCGTTGACCAGCGGTCTGTTGCGCATGCCGCTACACCTGTTTCGACGCTCTTCGATATCAAAAGGACTATCTTGAGTCTGCTAGCAATCGCAAGTGAGAACCCGGGCGACACTTGTAGCGGTAATAACCCTTGCGTTAGGTACTTCTCGATAGCCTTGCGCGACCTTCACACGTGTCTCGCACGAGATAACCACGCGTCGCGACAGGTCGACCCCATCGTGTAGCGTGTAGCGGAGCGGCCTCCTTGCAGCTTCTCATTTGCTCAATCGCCGTGCGTACCGACTGGGCAATTTGGGCCCTTCCGTCTTGGCTTTTGTCATTCCTCCCGGGTGGGACTCGGTGGCCCGTTCAAATCATCATCTCGGTTCTCGGAGACGACCCATGTTGTCGCCCTGCCTGCCAGTCTGAAGTCGGGCCTTGGACAGGATCGCGATCATAGCTCTCGGGCCAGCCCAGCAGTTCGACGTTTTACCAGCGAAATGCGGCCCTCGAAATACCGGTACTTTGGCTACCTTAGCTGGGCTAATGTGTGGTTAGTGGTTAGTGGGCTGTAGCAAAACCGCGGACGAGCCGAAGGAGCTGACGGGCTGACGGGCTGTCTCCTTCCGGGTCCGAGAATCGTGACCTTGATTTCAATGCAACTTTTCAAGCTTCGACAAGTGTTGTTTGCAATTGATGGATCATGGCACGGGATGATTAAAAAAGAGAGTTGGTGATTCACTGCATTGATGATGAGCAGCCTGAGTGCATGACTAGCGCTTGCGAATCAAGCTGGACGGGAGTTCATCTCATCACCTACAGACGGCAAAGTAACAGCATGAGATTTGATGACGACAAGGTAGCACAGTGCGAATGAAGCTTGGACCTCGGGGCTGATTGATATAGCAAATGTTCCAATTCCCAAAGAGGAAAGCAGGTCACTGCCAGTCACTGCCGAGGAAGGCTCAGGCAAGCAAGCAATTGAAAGTTCCGACGCGTGGGGAGTTTTAATAAGGTAGATTCCCATGTTCCCATGCTCGGGAGCCAACAATCCCATCATCCAGATTTGATCCTCCTCCTCTGTTTCGCCAAGAATAACCACCGTTCCTGCCGGCCTTGGCTATCTCCCATCTTCCCATGCGGTGCTCGAGCTATCCCTTTGCAGACCGATGTGGCTTGGGTGGACAGAAATAGGGCAGAGAATACCACTGCGTTCTTTTACCCTGAATCCCGACGGAGGCAGTCCAGATTCCCTCAGATCTGAACTCGCACCGACTTTGAAATAATAAGGAGGCCATTGAACATTCCTCAAAATCCAGGGTCCTTTTGCACACGCCACCTGCGCTTACAGGACGCTTATTATTGATTTCAATTCATATCCGTACGGGTACCAGAGCTAAGAGGTAGCCGACATTCAGCACACTCACGAGTCACCACGCATTACACCTCAGCAGTCACACAGTGCTGTCCCCGACATCTCTCCAGGCAAGCTTGTTGCTTTCGAGCTTGAGCTTGTTTCTGCAGCTCGATTGCCTCTTTTTCCACTTTGGTCAACCTCCAGCTGGGTTCCCGAAACGTCATTCGCCTAGTCTGCCAAGTCTGCCAGTCTGCCAGTCTGCGTGCCATTGCGACCTTCAGGGGGAAAGTAGACCAAGTAGGGGTCCCAGGGGAGATCGACTTCGTATTGACAACGGCCATTGGACAATCCCTCCTTCAAACGTCACAGCTCTCTGCAAGGAGATTCCACTACGTCAACAGCCAGAAGACGAATAGTCGAAGACATCAACAACAAGGCCTCGGGGGTGTTAATACAATATAATTATTACACGGCAACGAGGCCGCCGGCTGCATCGCGCAACGCAACGCAACGCAACACAACCTCCGTCGAGTGTAAATTCCTGATTGGCTGTGAATGCGGGCAGTTCCTCGGCGAGTCGGTGGTTCAACAGCAGACGGTTCCTTTCCCAGCTGGGATTGCCCTCCACCAACACACCCGCTTTTTCCTCACGACTTCAAGCGCCCACCACGCTACCCATAGCGGCTATCGCAGCCCGTGAGAGATATTCTTTTTTCGTCTGTCGCGCTTGTTCCTCGGATACGAACGAGCGATCGAACGAACGAACAGACGGAGAATTAAAGGGGACCAACGACGATCACGACGGCGATATATCGCAGTTCATTCCTCGGAAGCTCTGTAACTTATGCTCATGGCGCTGATGTGATCTCGTTGATAAATGAACACGGAGCAGCATTCACTCCCTACATTCCATAGCTTGCCTCAAAGCTGGCACACTTCTGCGCACACAGCGCACTGTGCCACCACTATAGCGGGTCCACCAGTAAGTACCAGCTTCAGGGATTCAGGGATCAGGCTCAGTTGGCCTTCTGTCGTCTTCCTGCCGCTATCCATCCAGCTTTCCCAGCTTTCCCCACCTCATTCACAATCGTCACCACCACCACCAGCCCGCTACGAAAACGCTACGGAGGTATGAATCAACTACACTTCTAGTAACTACATCCGTCGGTCCCTCATTCCCACCATCGTGTATCTTTCTACGCGTGCAAGTGGAAGTAGCAGGCAAGACGCAGCTCTCGGCCGCTAGCTGCACGTACATATGTATATGTAGCAGCGCAGCGCAGTGATCAGTGATAGATCAGCGCCCGTCCCGTCGTATGCAACGTTCACTTGTTGCGGACTGGCAGACCGGCAGACTGGGCTAGCACCGCCGATTACATATTTTCCCTCAGCTCGCTTTCTTTCCCCAAGAGGCCGGACACGGCCACATCCACATCCACCAAAGACATCCACATCCATCCACATTCATCCACATCACACTCATCAATCAATACATCCACTTCAGCCTCCACCTCCACCACCACCGACCACCGACCACCGACGCCGTTACGCTCCTCCTCCTTCTACGAGCTGCCCCCCCATACGAAGTCGTCAATGAGACCTTTTCAACTCTAACAACCACCTCCAGTCACACCAATACCGAACTGCCTGACTATCCTCAGTCATTAAGACGCCACCTGTGCCGGCAGACGTCTCTACGTATCATTGACACGAACCCAAATTCCAACGCTATCTCTGGCCCGCCCGCCCGTCCAGCACCAAGCGGACCTAACAAAGCGGACCAACACCAAAGCAAACAACTAGCACCCATACGCGACTCGTAACGATTCGTCACTGTGAACAAAAAGAGTCAAAGAAACAAAAAAAAACACTCATTTGCCATGTTGGGGCAGGACCATAACATGCGGCGGAGACCGCTCGACCCTGCTCCTCAGATCTACTCTCACTCGAGAACGAGGACAACATCATCCAACATCTTCCCAATACACCACTCGAATCCCATGCATCTACAACAACCCCAGCCCATGACGGGCCACACGCGACGCTCGCCCTCTGTGAACACCTTCAGCACCACCTCGAGCGCTCCGCCGCCCGCCTCCTTCCGAACCTCGCCCACATCCGACATCCGGCGTAGCACTTCCTCACGGTCCGGCGGTGGCCAGCCGACAAGCTATGTCGCCCTGCTTCGGAAACAGAAGGCCACGGTATGGTGCGACCGATCGCAGACTGAAGATCCTCAAAGAGCCGCCCGCCAACGGGCTGCCAAACAAAGAGCCGCCCAGGAGGTTGTCGGTCGCCCAGCGCAGGCCCGTACCTCGACGGGTATTGGCAGCGCTGGCAAGGTAGCTGCCAAGATTCGGCACCACGGCAAACCAGGCGTTGTCGGTTACGCACCCGACAACAACTACATCGGCGTTGGCGGTGTGCCACTGCGACTGAGCGCCACCGAGGTGGAAGGAGAGGATAGCGACGATGACGACGTTTCGATGCAACGCTTGCACCACCGTAGGACGGGGAGCAGCGGGCGAAGCAGCACTGCTAGTGGTCGTCGCGGCGTCGCCTACCGCAACTCTTCAGGGCTTACGCAAGGCGGCAAGAAATGGAGTCCCAGTGATACCCCCGAGCGTGGCAGCATGGTCATGGAGGATCCCGAATTCCTGCCTGGGGATGACAAGCTCTCGCGTGCGCAGAGTACTGCAAGCGGCAGCAGCGGAGAGAGAGCGGACGCTCTGCCTGAGCTCGTCAAGCCCAGCGCCGCCAAGCTGGCGAGTAATAGCCTCTTGAACGCGGCGCTCACACGCGAGAAGAGCGTGAAGAATCCCGAGGAGCTGAGGAGACGAGGCAGTGTCGACGAGCGGACTATGACCCTCAACACCTCCGGCCGACTCTTCATCGCCAACCCCGACTTATAGGCCCGACATGGGACTGGCGATCTACACACGAACTCAAGGCCGGTCAAGGGGGATACTATGCATTGCAATGGCGTTTTTTGTTACTGTTTTGGCTCAAAGACTCGGACTAGTGGTGTTCAGGGACACAAAGAATACAGAACCACAAGGTCATTTACGGGTTGTCATTTCCATTTCCTTTTGGGTTTGGTTTCACGTTCGGAGCAGATACCCTCGCTACGGCTTCGACTTGGTCGTTTTCCTCATTGCGTCGACAGCGCGCGCCAGGGACGCTCGCTGGGCGAGCTGGCATGATGGAATTTGGAGGAGGGTGTATGGTCGATCTATCTGAGTTGCACTGTAATGTGGATGCTGTCTACGAGACGGGATGAGGCCGGCTGGGTGGAGATGGATGGCATCAGGGCACATCATCATGGTGCCCCGGGTTCGCATTGCTTGAGATACCAATTATCATCAATATCACACCATTACAGCGCTCTGATACCGATTTTGTCTACTGCTACCCCTTGACAGACTTGTGTCTACCGCCCGTTGTCATACATGTGAATGTGATAGCGCCTAGCGTTGTCTACCCCCTTTTTCGTCATCTTCTCCACCCATGACAGCCAGAGGGCCAGCAGAGTTTGAGCTTCCTCGTCTTTTACACTTTCGTCGTCTCATTCAGATGACGCCTCTCCCACGCATTCACGTCCATCCTTCCCCGCAGAGGCGAAATTGGTTGCGGTACTAACGCGCGTCGAGTGTGGTGAGCCATTGGACCCTTGACGAGACGCATACGCATACTGAGGCATGAAATGGGTACGTGTGTATGTAGCTGGAGAGCCGGCTATATATATCATGGGTTTCTACAAGTCTTTGAGGCTATACAGCTTTTGTGGCTGCCTGTGTTTCCCTGTCGGTATTCGACAACCTCCTACCTTGACTCGCAACGCCACCCCGCTCACCTATATCTCTTCCGCGGCGTGCCCTGCCATCTCATCTCATACTGGTGGCAATATATATCGCGGGAGCCCACCCCGCCGCGGAGGCGCAGTGTGAAGGTCATCTGGTCTTGGGGAAAGCTTGTTGTTCGGACGTTATACCTTGTGAGTCAGGGTTTGGAGATGGGACGGAGCTGGGACTCGGGTGGGGGCTAGATGTGAGTTTGGGTGTGGTGTGGGGGATGGGGAGTGAGAGGGGAGGAGGTGCGGTGTAGAGGGGGAGGTTCCCGCCTGCTGGGTAAGTTCAGATGAAGTCGAAGTTTATATGTTGGAGGGAGGGGTGTGGTGTGTGTGTCTAGGTGAGCTTAGATGTATCATGCGGTTGGTTAGTGACGCGAGCTAGCGTTTGATGGAATATATTCCTGTGCGGTGGTGTCGTGCCTCTATACCAAGGTGGCGACGTTAGAAGGGATGCATGCCATCTTATAACGTTATGGTTTTCTAGGTGTTTTATAGAGTAGCTAGGTACACGTTCATTCAGCTCAGACGCACGGCATGTCAGTCTCTCCTCGTCATATCTCATTGCGTACCTCTTGACGCGGACCGTCGCAGATAATCTTTTCACATACTACATATCTAGCTTTAGGGGATTGCGTCTAACTTGCCTGCTCTTCGGCCCGGGAGGTGCGTCGGCCGCGTAATGCTCGGATGACAGCGGCAAGTGTGTATGACTTGTATCAATGTCATCCACGTAGTTAGCTTCTGGACTTGCAAGGCCTTTTTGACGTGTTAGGTGGGTATTCTTGTTTTACTCTTGCTGTCGGCGATGTGGGAAGGGGGAGTCGTCCCATGTGTCCCTCAAAGCTAGATAATGAGCAGAGCCCCTGTTGCATCATGTAGACGTGCTGTATCTGACGTTGTGTGAGTGCATGGATGAGGCAACATGGATATGTCTTCGAGAGGTCATCATATATCCAGTACCGGTGCCACTGTGAGTGAGTGCGTTGCATGAGAGCAGATTATGGCACGCCCCTTTTGGATGAACAGGGTGCTGAGGCCGGAAGTGGAAGCGGTGAATCCAGAGCTTTCTGGGGTGTTTCGGCCACGTTCACGATAGCCTCGTTTCGGCTGGTCCAGGGCCAGCGTTCCTTGACGTCGGGATAATGCAACCAGACGCAAATCAGGAATGACATTCTCGCCGAAAAAGTGAACACTATGAATTGCTATTTCAGAACCCTATAGCTCCAGGCCAATGCAGTTCTACAACAAGTCATCATCAGCAAATAACGGCACTAAAGGACGAGCGAAAGGTACCTACAGTACGCGATATTGAGCGATGGTGTGATAGTAGTCTCGGTAAGATGCAACTGTGATCACATCATCGGCTACACGCATAAGGTACAACTGTGCCTTGTGGGTAGCGGTTCCAGAATCAGGACCAAGGTCACGAATGGTGGCTACTGGTCTGGATTCTGGAAGTTGCTTGATTGAAAGGAAGGATGGGTGGTGCTCCCATCCCAGAGGTAGCTATCATCCCAGTTGGGTACAAATCAGGTACAAACGGGTACCCGTTGGGCTCCAAGGTACCTTGTATCCTGGTCCGTGACCCATCCGTCATTGTGGCTGGAAAATGGGTTGAGGAGCCACACAATGAAGGATGCTTGAATGTAACCCTGGCTGCATAACAGGCCACTGCCAGGCAGACGCCGTCGTGATCAGACTCGATAGGGGTAAATGCCTCAAGGTCGCATCCTGTGTTCCGACGACCTCACTTCGGTCACTGCGTGATCTCTTCATGACCCCGATCACGTTTTTCCAACCATTATGTATACATCTAGTCATTGAGAGTCTCGAATCGAAACGCCCACGTCAATCACCATACAAGACGAGGTACGTCCGCCATGGATCCATTCACAGCAATCGGGCTAGCCAGCAACATCCTGCAGTTCGTCGAGTTCGGTACGAAGCTCGTCACCAAGGCTAAAGATGTCCACGTTTCTGGCACCGGCATGGCAGCCGAAGACGAGAGCCTAGCCCACGCCACTCATGCTCTGGAGCATCTGGCAGTACAGTTGATCGAGTCGACTAATGCAAAGAGCACGAGTCACGAGGAAGATATGCCGCGAAAGACTAGTCTAGACTGCAAAGCTTTGGCTGATGAATTGCTGGCTTTGCTCAAGGAGTTGCAAGCCCATGACCCAAACTCTAAGCGGCAGAGCGTCCGGGTTGCTTGGAAAAGCACCTGGAAGGCCAAGGAGAAGGCTGCACTTGAAGAGAGGCTCTCACGATGCGGGCGGTTGTTGGAATAACAGGTGTCCAGTCTGGCCATGTAAGACATCGCACTTGACTCCTCGCGGTATCTGAGGGCCGCACAGTCCACAAATACGATACACAATGAGTTACTTACACTGATCAAGATCGAAAACCATGAAAAGACTTGAGAAGATAGCGAAGACTGGCACTGCACAATCATCGGTGATCGCGCCTTTGCAGAAGAATGTCACTGCCCTTCGGAGCGGTATGGAGGTCTGCTCTTTGAGTCCTGCAACTCTCGAGCAGCTCAGAGACGTACTAAGACTTTCGGACCAAGCCATGGATAAATTGCGCCAGAAGCGAATCTTAGCCGCACTTGCATTCGATTCAATAGCCTCGAGGTATAACAGTGTCGAAAGAGCACACAAGGAAACTTATGAATGGATGTTCCAACAGAGCGGAGCTTGCCAGTCCGATGATCACCGCAAGGCCAGCGCAGATTTCATTTCGTGGCTAAGGGAAGGAAGTGGTATTTTCCACGTAGAGGGAAGCCTGGTTGTGGAAAGTCAACATTGATGAAGTTCCTTTCGGCACATGATATGACGCAGGAATATCTCCAGCAATGGAGTGGTCCCTCAGACTTGATACGTGGCCATTTCTTCTTCTGGAGACCCGGAGAAAAGCTTCAGAGCTCGTTTCAAGGTTTGCTTCGGGGACTCTTACACGCAATCCTTGGTAGTTCGCCCAACCTCATTCAACAATCTTTCCCGTCTACCTGGCAAGACATAGGCGAGGATGGGGACACGACCGTCCGAACAGAAATCGACGACGAAGACATCGAGCTTGCTTTCGAAAGTCTAATCCAGTGCAGAGACACATACACAGACAACAAGTTCGTCTTCTTTATTGATGGCTTAGACGAACTTAATGACACTCGTCGCGGTCTCAACGACAGCCATAGCCAGTTAGTCAAGCGTTTGAAAAGCTGGTGTACAGATTCCGAAGGTCGTGTCAAGATGTGTGTAGCATCTCGAGAGTGGCCCGTCTTTCAAAGAGGATTCGGGAACTGTCCCAAGATTCGGTTACAGGACCTTACCCGTACCGACATGATTCATTACACTCATGATTTCCTGTCCCAAAACGATCCGTATCAAGACCTTGGCATATCGCCAGAGAGGACAGAACGGTTCGTCTATGACATTGTCAACAAATCAGCCGGGGTCTTTCTATGGCTAGCACTCGTACTGCGAGACTTCGATGACGGCCTCGAAAACGGCGATGAGATTGAGCACCTGAGGGAAAAGTTGGACCAGCTCCCGGAAGAGGTCGAGGAGCTCTTTTCACACCTGTTGCGATCTATCAGTCCGGGAGACAAATCGTATGCCATGGCCATGCTCCAATTCGTCAACAGTACTGGGAGCTGTGACCTCATCCGTTTGGCATTCCTTGACTCGTGGCTTCATCAACCCAACGAGTGGGAACAGAGATCGGGATCGTTCATCAAGGGTTTTGATGGCCTCTCAGACCATGAAGCAAAAGAAAAAATGAGTCTCCTGACGGCCAGCCTACGTTTGCGTTTGATTGGTCGTACAAAAGGGTTGCTTGAAGTCAGCCTTAACCCTTTTCGTTCAACCAGACCACCTGACCAGCCGTGGACAATATTTCTTGACGCTCGCGCGACACTCGTACACCGGACGGTTGGTGATTTTCTGACCAAGCCAGAAGTGACCGCGACGACGTCTGATACCCCTGAACATCATTGGTTCGAATTCGATCGTCGGATTGACATGTGCCAAGTCAGGCTCGTAATACTCGAAGGCAATCGGCAGTTTTTTCATCCAGCCTCTCATGGGACACCAGTAGAGTGGGTCAACGGTATTGTTTCGAGGTGGTGCTTCAAAGCACTGCGATATGGACCAGATGAATTGCCGGCATTCTTGATACAGTTCTTCCAGGATTTTGATCACGCCCTTTCCACAGCGCCTGATAGGTCTGGATGGGTTGACACGATATCACTGGGTAATGACTTCGACCTTGTACCCTACCTGGTGAATCTTCCATCATCAGGCTACCTACACTTTTCACTGATTCACATACTCGCTGCCCACGGTATCTACGAATATTTCCAGCTGCGGCGAGATGAGCCGCACTTTTCCTTGCAGTACATGGCAGGCCCGATGGGCCTCCTCGAAAGTATCATTTTTGCCCCCATCAATCGAGGAAAACCACCAAGCGAACATCGCCGACGAAAAACGTTGAATCTGTGCCTTGACCTTGGAGCCAGCTTCGGATCATGGCCTCCATCGAACCCATCAGTAACGCCGGAGCTGGCTAGTTTGGCTGGTTATTCTAAGACACCATGGCAAGCGTTATCAGTCGAAATTCTCGTTGAAAGTTTCTTGCGCCACGGCGCCGATTCAACCTTTCTCCTTACCTTCGAAGGACAGTTCCCCTTCTCGAAACATCATCTAGATTTTCGTTACCATGGAGGAATCAAAGGTGGAACGGTGACCATGGTGCGTTTCTAGTTTGAGAAGGGGCGTACCGAGTCGGGAAAACCAATGCTCCTGCACGACAATTCCAGTCTGTCACAGATGGGTTATGAAAGAGGGGGCATTCTAACCTTATGCGACCTGATTGAGTACTGGGGATTGAATATTGAACCTGCCGTGTTATCGAAGATCGAGCCGCCTCTTGTTCCCCAACAACGCCCGGAGGGCTATTCCTGGCTAAAGGAAGATTTACAGGGATACCTTTGGGCATATACGGATTGCCAAATTCGGCGTTCTTTAACGAAGCTGGCCACTATGAAGCCAGATTGGGATCTCTTCACAGAGTTCAAGCGTGAGAACACTTCCTCTCTGCGACGCGATTCTGGGCTTGATCTTCATCTGATAGGAAGTTTGGTATGAGGAGGGACGGTGTTACGGCAATAAGTAGCCCCACAAGGTCAACACCCATCTATATGCCTGACCATGTTTTCGAGCTAGTTTCATTGTTTCTTTTTCTCTTTACGTATAGCAACGGAGTCATTTTCAATTCACCGACAGCCGAACTGTGACAGACGGCGTTCACAAATTCTGCCTCTCCGTTGTATACCGCAACGACGGTGTTGTATTTCACGTAGCCTGAGGATTGACATATAAAGCTACTGCGACTCGGTAATAGCTCTGGCTGTGATGGTTCAAATTCGACTGAACGGCAAGTTTGACGCTCTCTACCAATCTACTCCTCTCAACTAGCACACATAGGTACACTGAACCCTCATAAGTCTCCGTATCCCCTTAAGACCGGAATGTGCCCCAGGTCCAAGCTGTTCCATCGAAGCCAGTTATATAAAAGACCGACATACCCTTGCCAATTGCGTGGCGGTATACTTTTAATCAAACAAGTAATCCCTCATGCAATTTTAGTTAGAACTCGTTATCGGTACACGAGAATGCGCGGTCAGATGATGATGATGATGATGATGATCCGCAACAGATTGAGGTCACTGCAGCCACTGGATGAGATGATTGAAGGCGTCATATCCCGTCTCGAAGATGCAGGCGTCCTGGATCAGACCTACATATTTTACACCACTGATAATGGCTACCACATTGGGCAGCATCGCTTTCAGCCAGGCAAGCAGAGCGCTTTCGAGGAAGACATCAATATCCCACTCATTGTCCGTGGACCGGGCATTGCGGAGGGTATGGTGACGGATGTAGTCACTACGCATACTGATCTGGCGCCGACATTGTTGAAGCTTGCTGGTGCAGAACTGAGAAGTGACTTCGATGGTGCTGCCATCCCGTTGGCATCATCCGACATCTTCCTCCCATCGAGCCGGAGACCGGACACGATCGCTCAGACATGGCTACTTCGTAAGTAAATCGAATCAGGTAATAAGGCCGCCAGGGCAGATAGCAAAAGCACCGCCAGGGTTGAGTGAAAAGAACGGCCTATTAACCTCCCGTAGGAAACAAAGAACTGAAGCGAACCGAAATCGACGAGTTGAAGCAGGATAGAGCCATAAGACTGGGTGGCTGCATGCTGATAACATGAGCCAGTCTCTAGGTAAGATGGCCAGTGCCAAGGAATCGACGAGCCCCATAGGCACCAAACAAAACACAACACATCGAGGTGGACCTTGACGCCAACGCGCCGCTGTCATCGTGATGAGCCGAGTACTGTGATCAGATCATGGTTGTTTTGACCGTGTTCCACAGTCAGCCACCCACGGTCATGGGAGGTTGACAGTGCCACAGGTCAAATTCCAATGGAACATGCCAAGAACATGTCAGTCACTTGGGTAGCTGGTCCGGGCTGGTCCACGTAAGGATGGAGTGACTCTATCCACAGGCATGCTGAGGTACCCTCAAACGAGCACCTAAACCTTTGCGCGGCCGCCGGCCGAAAAGTGACGATTGTGACATCGCTTTCATGAGTTGACCTGGAAGTAGTCATACTCTAGGACCTTGCTGGCACGAGCTTGAACCCTAGGATCGCGACTTGGCAAGTGGCAGGCCCCAAGGTTCTTCCAAGGCCACAAGCCTGTGCCAGAGATATACGTCTGGATTACTTCCCCCAGTACTTGCTCTCTGGGACCTCAGAGAAGGAGGGCAGGATGGCGCAACAGGCGAACACACACGTGGATCTCCCTCGAAATAGACGGCGTCGATCTTGCTTCGCGGAAGTTGGGGACGCACGCAGATACTGTGAGATTTCAAAGTGTTCTATTAAGGAGAGGAATTCCAGCTACTCTGGAGCGGCCAGAGTGGCCCTATATATATCCAAGATACTAAAGGAAAGGATACGTGGCCTTATATTGGCCACGTATGTGACAGAGTAACGAATGGGGATGGTGATCCTGAAGGATGACTATGGATGGGCTAACATAGCCCAGAATCCAACAGATACCCATCCCGTCTGATCCCGTCGATTTTTGATGGCTACTAGGTAATATGTAGCGGGCTGTTTCGAGACTGGGACTGGGCTCGGGGCAGAAGTGTTTTGTGTTCACGTCGAGTCGCGCCGCCAAGCTGGGTCCAGCGGCGGAGACGACCTTGGCAGCTACATGGTTTTCGAGAACAGTACTCGTCAGGGCTATAAGCGCCTTGACCCACATTTACGGTCGTTCCTCCTTGTAGGTCAAGTCGCTTAGAGGCCTGACGAGTATGCGTTGTCCGCTATGGTGGTGACAATATGAATAGGGGAAGCAGGACACGCGGCCGCCAAGGCCTTCGACGTGAGGCTCCAATAATACCTTCTCCATACGCATCGACGGTCGGGATGAACGTTGTTGCAGCGGAACGAACCCCGGCTGCCCGGGCCCTGACAGGACGCCGGGAAGCGGGTGGCATCCCCGTCGCGGGCTAGTTGTCCCAACTGCGGGCGATCGAGACGCTTCTGGCTTCAAATATTTGGGGCATGCCTTGTGCACTTTGACGTGACAGGCTGACAGGTTGACGGCAGGTTTCTGATCAGATGACAGTCATGGCCAAGGCTGCCAAGATCGGCGTGAAACATGATATCAAGTCGAGACTCAAAAAGGAAGGCGCCGGCCGCTCTCTTTCTTGGCCTTTCTCCCACTTATTGTTGGCACGGGTCCTCCCACCGCTGCAACCACGAATCGCATCATGATCTTCAGAGTATGTGCAACCAGCTCCATGTTTCGATCACCACAGATCTTTCGCTCGTTCATTCTCAGGTAAATCAGCAACACAAACGGTTGGCTTCGCACGAGCTGAGTCTGGCGAGGAACTCACATCACAAAGGCCACTCTGGCGTTTTCATTTAATCTCGAACAAGCCTTGCCTCTCATCGAGAGCTTCACATCGTGGCATTAGTTCAAGACAACAATTCAGTTCACAGGCCATCCTGAGCGACACCAAGACTTTCCCTGAAGCATATCTGCCCCTCGAACAAGGTCCTGCAATAGGAGTCGATGATTCCCCACAACGCGAAGACCAGAGGGGTTTGAAGTTGCCGTCCTCGACTAGGTACCGTATAAGGCATGACAAAGACTGAAGTCACGAAACTTTCTCGTGGTTGCTATATTTAGGTCCGAAAGTAGTGACACGGAGCTCTGAGATCCCCATTCCGGGGCCCCCCAGCCAATCCGGCCGCTGCATTTCTGATGTCTAGTTGAGTTCTGTTTGTTGGCCACGGTCAACGTAGCCCGCGCCCCGTTTGGCGGTGGCGTCAAGAGATTGAGAATGATGGTGATGGAATGGTCAAGGTTATGGCCCGTGGTGGACCGGGTATCAAATGCTTTCTGTTCTTCTCAAGCCCAGGTCATGTTGCCTTGCTCCTCTTCAGTGCAGGACCTGCTCCAGCATCTTCGGCGTCGGCTGAGGCATCGTTCTGCGGCTTCTTTCGCTTCTTTCCCTGAAGCATTTCTCGTTTCTCCTGTTTCCGTGCTTCCTTGTCTAAGCTGCCAATGACCTTGTTTTCCTTGCCACATGGCCATTTCTCAAATGCAGCCGCTTCTTGCTCCTCCGACCACTCCTGTGGCAAGATGGCAAAGGTGAGGTACGAGGTATGTGTCTTAAGCTCAGCCTCCGTCCGATGTACCAGTCGTCCCGCCGTCCAGGGCTTGGCCATTGGCGCATCTTCTGTGCCTTGGCCAGCTTCGTTTAGGGCTTCCTCATCCTCGTTAATTTTGGTATCGGTATCGGTATCTTGATCTTGAGAATGGAACTCCTTGGATCGACACTCAACCTCTTTCAGTTTTCTGAGGGCCTCTGCTACACTTCCCGGAACCTGGTTTACGCCCCGCTCCGTGGGCATATTTAGGCCAATCTTTTCGCGAACGACGTTGATCCTCCGGTGTGCTACTTCAACTGTCTCGATGTCCATCCAACCAAGGCGGCGCATGATCTCGACGGTCTTCGTGACTTGTTCGATGCACGGTGAGAATGTACAGAGGTACACAGTTCGATCTGCGCGTAGGGGGGACTTCCATTCGGAATCGCTGCCACCAAGGCAATCCAAGCCGCCACTGGCCAATTGAGACGGCGTCGGTTTCCTTCGGGCTAGGTGAGGCAGAGCTCGCCAGGGTGCTGGCAGGTCGAGGAAGACGCATTCTGCCTCCGGGCTCTGTCCATCAACGAGAAACCCATCATTGTAGACATCTCGGTGGGTCATCTGAACCAGTTCGTCCAAACGATGACCCTCGATTTCCTGCTTCATCTTGTGATACCGCTCCTCGTTGAATTCAAAGCTCCATACCTTCCCTCTCCTGTCTTCGGTGGTCCTGGGGTGCCCGTTGTAGACTGCCCGGACCGAGGCATGTGTGAAGCTGCCACTGCCGGCGCCGGCTTCTATGATGTGCATACCTGGACGAGCGCGTATGCGATGTAGGATGTAGCTGTAGTCGGGCGTGTACACGACTTGGGTTCTGTGTGGTAGACTGGTGGTCCACAGCTCGGGTGTGGGCGGAAGGAGGTGTATGAAGCCACTCGAGGCTGTCTTGAGATCCTTCGCAGGACCTGCGCCTGCGCCTGCGCCAGAGCCTGCGCCTGTGCCTTCGGTGTCATTGTCCTCTGCTTCAACCTTCTTTTTCCTGCCTCTTGAACCGGTATCGACGATAGATGCGCGGATCTGCGAGCCCCAAGGTTTGTTTATCAAGGTCGAGTGCGGGAAAGATCCGAATCGCGTGTTGATGACGGCCCCCTCGGCGTAACCGTCGACACTGCCAGAGCCTTCCCGGAGGTATACCGGTTGGATGTTGTCGCGGGACAGGTGAACGAGAGCAAGGGTGTCGGGTGTCGTCACAAGGCCCGAGTCGAGAAAGGGCGATATTGACGACATGGTTCCTGTGGCGTTGTATTGACCCAACTCGTCCGATTCACGGTCTTCCTGCCCCCCGATTGAAAATGCAGGTGGTGCTGGACATGAAGGTTCAAGGTTTGGCTTCCAGGTATGGAACTCAAATGTACTAGAAGATCATAAAATTTCAGGCGGGGTTGAGCTGAGGGCGACGCTAATGGTGGGGTAGCTTCATGTAAATTGGCCCTAAAGCCTTACCAATAATAAAAATAAAGCCTAAAAGCTGGGATGGGATCTTTAAAGTTCAAGGCTGAATTGATCGCATGCGACACGCTCCGGTACCTCCTTAAGTAACTCAGGGTCTTAAGGTTCTCCGTTTGGTGACTTAACTGCTTCTTCTTCTTCTTCGTGCCACGTCTCTCCTCAGCTCTTTCTCATATACCACTCGTTTCCCATGTCGCCTTCGCGTTCATGAACTTCCTCTTCAGCCTAACTAGACGAGCCATAACTCTTCCACGCACAACCCAACTTCTAGTGCACCGAAGGATTGCGACAGCTGCCGCCATGGACTCGATCAAGCTTCACAACTCCTTGAAGCCGGGGGCACCTGTGCCTTTCGTGCCCATCGAGAAGGGGAAGATTAAGTGGTACGCCTGTGGCCCGACCGTATACGATCAGAGTCACCTGGGACAGTAAGTAGCATCCGTACTTCCCTACTATTAGTCGCCAGTTCTAACCATAACCTGTACAGTGCTCGCAATTACGTCTCGACCGACATTATCAGGCGCATACTCATACATTACTTCGGCTTCGATGTCAGATTTGTCATGAACATTACCGACGTGGACGACAAGGTGCGCTATGAGCTGGATAGAAGACGGCAGTCAGTGTCAAACTAATTATACGTGCGCAGATCATATTACGAGGCAGGAGACAGCGACTGCTCGACGACCTGAAGAAGAAGAACCTACCGCAGCCTGAGCTTTTCGAGCTAGGAATGGCTGCGTTAAAAGCATATGCGACAAACAACCTGCCCCAACTCGTTGAGGCCGACGGACCGGAGCTCGACCTAACCAACTACATCTCTCGGAGGGACGCCGCGTATGGGAAGGTACTAGCCGGAGGAACTCTGACGGGCGAAGGAAAGCCGGGCGACGATGAGGCGAAGCTGAAGATGCACATAAGCAACATGACCTCGGCCGTCATTGCGATCAGCGGGAACAAGGTCTTCAACGGCGCCGAGGAGATCCTGCTCCCCTACCTCGATTCCCTATATAAACAGACCATCGACACGAGCGACCAGAGCATATTCACGGACCTGACCAAGTTCATGGAGGGAGAATTCACAGACGATATGGACGCGCTCAATGTGCTTCGGCCCGACGTTATTACAAGAGTTACCGACTACGTGCCAGCGATTGCCGCTTTCGTCGAGAGGATTGTCGACAAGGGGTTCGCATACGAAGCAGAAGGCTCAGTCTATTTCGACATTGCGGCCTTCGAAAGGGCGGGCAACTCGTACGCAAAACTGCGACCAGAAAGTCGAAACGACAAGGCCTTACAAGAAGAAGGAGAGGGTTCCTTGTCCAAGAGCCTAGGCGGCAAGAAGGGTGCTGGTGATTTTGCGCTCTGGAAAAAGTCCAAACCCGGTGAACCCTACTGGCCTAGCAAATGGGGCAACGGCCGGCCTGGCTGGCACATTGAATGCAGTGTCATGGCATCCGATATCTTGGGGTCGCGTATGGATATACACTCTGGTGGGATCGACCTCGCCTTTCCCCATCACGACAACGAAATCTGCGTACGTATTTCCTCCTACAACTTCCTCCGTTTCTGGGATACATGGTTCCCACTTCATCCTGTTTTTGGGGATTCATACTTCCCAGACATCACCCCCAGCTCCCCAATTTCACTTCAGACGAATCCAAACTAACACGTGCATGTGTACAGCAAAGCGAGGCCTACTTCTGTGAGCATGGCCATGAACATACTTGGGTCAACAATTTCTTGCACATGGGGCACTTGTCCATCAGTGGCTCCAAAATGTCCAAGAGTCTCAAGAACTTTCAGACAATCAAGGATGCATTGGCCTCGACATACACAGCTCGATCGATGCGAATTGTATTTCTTCTCGGCAAATGGCATGATGGCGTTGAGATCTCCCCCGACATGCGGACTCAAGCTGACAACTGGGAAAGTTTGGTGAACGTAAGCAGTTGCGAAAGCTTCCAATCCGTGTACAACAGGGCTGACGATATCTAGAATTTCTTGACAAACATCAAATCACTTCTAGTAGAAGCCACAGGCACGACAGACGCCATCACAGACGGCACAAAGAGTCTCACCATCAGCGATGACAAACATGCCGAGGGTATATCGGCCGATCTGGAACAGGCCAAGAAGGACCTCGAGTCGGCTCTCACCAATTCATTTGATACCCCTCAAGCCATGCGAGTCATTGCGGAAATCATCCGGAAAGCTAACGTCCACATCATTGATCGCAAGAACGTTTTGGACCTGCCTGCAATCGAGGCGATTGCAAGGTGGATCACGAAGGTCGTTGGCATCCTTGGTCTTGATGCAAACGCCAGTCCTCCGTATGAGGGACTTGGATGGGCCTCTACTGCCGCTGCAGCTAACATAGACCCTCATGTGGCAGTAAAGCCATACGAGGCCGTGTGGAATGCTGTTTTGTCCAATGCGACGGCACTACAACTGCCCGTCTCGGAAACCATGACCGGTCTGCTCTCTCAGTCACCATCTTCTCCCTTCGAGTCGTTAGCCAGCGAAGGTGTCCGGGATCCAGAACAGCTCGGGCTTCCGTACCTACGCGCGGTGTCGAAACTGCGTGATGAACTTCGGCGGATCGTGGCGACTGTCTTGCCCGAGACAAAAGCGTCAATACTTGCGCTGAGTGATCGCATACGCGACTTTGATCTGACGAATCTCGGTGTCTACCTGGATGACCGGCCAGATGGCCAACCGTCACTGATAAAGTTCATCCCTGCCAGTGAATTAATCGCAGCCAGGGAAGAAAAAGCGGCGAAAGAGGCAGAAAAGACAAGGGCCAAGGAGGAAGCGAAACGGGCGCGCGAAAAGGCCGACGAGGAGAAGTGGGCAAAGGCCAAAGTCGCACCTGAGGAGATGTTCAAGAGCGATGAGCGGTACAGCGACTGGGACGCAGAGGGCATGCCTATCAAGATGAAAGATGGCAGCGAGGTGCCCAAGGCGCAGTCGAAGAAGCTGAAGAAGGAATGGGATCGGCAGAAGAAGGCACACGGGGAATACCAAACGAAGTTCGGCGGGAGAAAAGCTTAGGTCGCTGGTCACCCCCGGAGCAATCGGTTATAGGATTGCTGGCAAGGTTGGTCCGAACTGTAGCATGATCCTTACTCATTTACCCATGCCAATCGCGCCCGTGTGAAGGATGTTATGGGTATGTCTATCACGTTCAGCACTCCCGTCTTCTCGACGCCTTGAAGACGAAGAACAGAATTCAGAGGAAGGTGGTGATCACTGATCGGCCGACGACAACTTACAAGACACCCCCACGTTCTTGCACCCCTGTCTTGCGGCGCCGTCAAGCATTTGCCAAGACGGGTGTCAGCTTGGCACAGATGCGTTCGACAACCACAGTCCGACATCCAAGATAGCTTCTTCTCAGTCAACAAACAGACATGTGAAGGGGCATCTATCGCAAAGCTTTGGGATCAGGTTGTTGGTGTCTGACATAATATTGTAAGCCGAATCAGCCATCGAATACAGTCACGAAGTCACAAATTTCATGTCGACCGATGGGTTTAATTTCATTTGACTTTGACTTCGAATGCTTATGTATCTGCTTCAGCGCTGTCCTGTCCTAGACCTGCCATATCGGCTATCACAGCGCATTTAGTAGTTCGGGCGTTCGCTGTTCCTGTACGGATACGAACACACATCAGCATGGTTTCTCTCAATCTCAAACTCAACACCAACCCAACCCAAAGGACGGCAAATGGAAAACACTAACGGGTCGAACTCGTCACCCTGTCCACCGTACTGTTGGTCGTACAGCTCCTCGGCCTGCTTCTTGGCGTGGTGCTTGGCCTTCTCGCGGTCGTAGGCGTCGAGGCCCTTGGTCTCGAACAGCTTGTCGACCTCGGCGCCGGCGATGCCGGCCAGCATCTCCTTAGCGAGGGCGTGTTTGACCGGCTCGCCCTGGTTGCGCTGGCGGTCCTCAAACAGCTTCATGGCCTCGAAGCCGGCGCCGCCGCCGATCAGCTCGTGGCTGAAGGATGACTGGTGCTCCTCGCCGCCGTCGTACAGCTTGTCGCGCTTGTCCCTGGCCTCGTCTTCGTGGTTCAAGAGTCAGTATGGTGCGGTGGTGTAGGGTGGTGCGGTGTGGTGGAGTGGTTGATCGGCACATTATTCTGACTGGTGGCCAGAATCGTTGGGGTGGACTTGTCACTTACCGAATCCAAACATGATGATGGTTGAGGTGAGTTGGACTGTTTTTTAAAAGATGGTATCTAGGGAATTTCGATGTGGTATTGGTGGTGAGCTGGTGGGATGTATTGGAATAATGAACGCAAAAGCAGTCGTCAAACGTGGGCAACCGGGAACTTATATATACGCAACTAGACGTCAGACGTCCCCTCCCCTCAGCCTCTAGACTGACTAGGTACAGTAGTTCAACAAGAGACCTGATCTACATACTGTGAACTCCTTCTTCCCCTCAGCTGCCCCTCCGCTAGCTAGGACTGGTGTGGACGACATCAAACCCTGGACGTAGTGACGAAAGCGACGTTGGAAGTCCCGCAAACCCGTTCCCCTCGATTGGCCCTGTCGATCCAGAAGCCAAAGGCCCCCCTGCTAACCCGTTTCCGATGTCATTGGTAAGGCCATTGGTTCGATCGACCGCCCGTCCACGTAACCCCGGCGGCCTCTTGAGACGTGCCAATGGATAATGGAGGCGCATATGGGCCTGCCGGGATAGCCGACAAAGCATGATTTCTACATACCACGACCCTGGCTGCCTGGATTGTTAGCAGCATGATATGAGGACCGGGGTAGGTATGTACATACGATACGTGGCATTCAGACTTCACTAGTCCCGGGCCGCTGTAACTTCAAGCAAGGCCAGGTTCTCACAGGCAGTGTCGTGCCATGGTGGGTGGGGTCCTGATACGGTAGCTGGTTTCTGACACATTGGTCACCGAGATTGGGCTCCAAGGTTGAATGAGATGAAAGAGAACTATGATGACTGTGAAGGGGCCGAGTTCTTGCAAACATCGCTTTTCGTAACGAGCATCTCGTCTGTGTGTAGCATCCCAGAGCGTGCCTGGTGATAGCTGCAGAAACCAGGAACCAGAACCGGTGCAAGGTTGCATCATCAGAGGAGCCCTGAAGATCATCTAGATTCCCCTAGCGCCAGACCGAGAACCCTAATAAGCTACTGACAACTATACCTTCCCCCTTACCCCTCATGTATGGAACTTGATGCGTTGGCATGGTTGGTCAATCAGGGAAGGGTTTCAGCTTGCATTGACCGTACTTCGTCATACGAGCCGCCATTGACATCACAGGTTTTGTTTCGGGCCCGTGATGGTTGGAATAATGGAGCCTAGGTTAGGACTGACTACCTTCACAGATTGTGAGAGTTGCTATGCTTGATCATGTAAAAGCCTTCCCTCCCAGGTCACTCAATCCTCAAAAAATGGAGCTAGCTAAATCTTCTGGGGGAACGACTCTGCTGAAGCCCCTTTCTGGTTATGGGAGAACGAAAGGTTGACTCTTATGTGACTCGCTCAATCCTCGGTAGTTCGCTGAACGGTGATTTCGGACGTCCTATACCTGTTGATAGCCCCTGGGAAATGACAACCAGCCCATCGGTGGAACGAGGAACGCCACGCTGGGGAAGAGCTGGATCGATGGCTTGAAGGAACGACTCATCATGCCTTTGTATAATCGAAGCGAGGACCGTGAGGAGCACCTGAATACCAGTTCTCGCCTTCTGGCCTATCTCCCAGTCCCAGAGCGGTATCTGAGACCATATCCATGCTGTCATGTTGCGAGGTGGTATATACTCCCCGATCCACGAACTGCGTCCAGCGTTCGTGTCAACATTCATGAGCACATCGCGAGGCTAACCAGAGAATACTCTTTATTCTCTATTCTTGCCGACAGTGTATCATCCATCTCCACCTTGCAGCAATATCGGCGTGATGGGCCGTTCGTCCTACTTCTCGTCCTCGACCTCTAGAACATCTGCAGATCGGTATTTCCGGTGCCCAAATTTTGACCCCAAACGCCGATGGAATGTGGAAAAAGAACCAACCCCCATTGCCGTTACGGCTTCCTCCGATACAACGCGACTGACTAAGGCCGTCCGCCGCGTCCGCTTGCCCGCGCTCTGCTGACTGTGGCTCGTCCTCTCGCCAGACCGACCCCGCGACCTCGGGCGTTGCGACTGCGGAACATGGGCGCGTTCCTGCGAGCATATTGTTAGTCATGCTGTTTATGGAAAGGTTTCGGTTTCGGGAAAGAAGTTTCTGGTCGTACTTCAACATGTCGGGCACGATAAAGAACCGCACGTGGCTGCCGCGGATGTAGACCTGGTCAAGATGGCTGACTCGTCCGTCGCGCGCCGTCACCGTGATGTCCTTGAGCTGCACATTCATGTTGTCCTCGGCTGCGCGCGCGCGTTAGCAGTCGTTTCAGCGCGGTACTGAGTGTGTAACAAAGTCATTGCGACTGACCTTCTAGCAGCTTGCCGCGGTATGTCTGGCCGGATGTTATCTCCAGCGTCACGATGTGCCCTTGCGCCTCGTTCAGGAGCTTGATGGGGATGCCGATTGTGGACGTCATGGTCGCGGGATAGGGATATTGGCCGGTCGGAGAGGATAGTACGGATGGGTGTCGGTTGGTCGGGAGCAGAAGGGAGTCGGGCTTCGTGGTCGGGCGGCGGTTTTCGTGGGCTGGACGGTGTATAGATGTATGTCCCAAGGCAGCTTTTCGACTGAGCTTGGCTTGGAAACAATTCGGATTGGCAGCGGCGGGGAGCTCAAGGTGGATCAAAGTTCTTCCACTCCTCGCACCAGCCACACCCGCCACGCCTGCTTCACAGAGCCACATTTTCTCCCACCTTGGGACCGGCCGGGGGTCCGAGACTGCAGGTGGAGTCAATTGAAGGAGGACCCCTGCGCGTTGCAACGAATGCCCTTCCAAAAATCAGAGCATCGGAATGTGCCCCTCCATCCTCCATCCTCGATACTGCCCGTTGACTCACCTCACCTTCCACGTAATCAATTCACGACTCGGCGCTGTGTTCGCCATAGTCCTACCGTACCCACCATACACGTGTCTCTTCTGTCCGGAGCTTCTTGTCCTCCTCGCGAAGCTGCTACAGGTCAATTCGTATACCGCGAAGCATGGCCTCCAAGCCCGAGGCACCGGCGCAGGAGGTGCCGCCCGCCGCCGACCCAGACGCCCCTACAACAGCACCCGCGAAACAGAGCGTCGACCCCTGGAACGTGGCCGGCGAGGTGGGCGACGATGGAAAGGTCAAGGCGATCGACTACAACAAGCTGGTGGAAGAATTCGGCACCAAGTTGATCGAAGACGCGCTCCTGCAGCGATTCGAGCAAGTCACTGGTCACAAACCGCACCGCTTCATGCGCCGCCAGATCGTCTTCAGCCAGCGCGATCTTGAAGTCATTCTTGACCGCCACGAGAAGGTATGGCTTGTGGGGAGTACCAATGCGCTTGTCAGCTTCTGAACGCCTGTCTAGGGCGAACCTTTCTTCTTGTACACGGGTCGCGGGCCAAGTAGCGACAGCATGCATATCGGCCACACCCAGATCTTTGATTTCTGCAAGTCAGTCGCTATGTTCATACCATAAACATGGTATAGGTCGGGACACGTAGGACTGATAATGGCGTTGTAGGTGGTTGCAGGATGTTTTCGATGTGCCCCTGGTCATCATGCTTACAGATGGTTCGTAACCCCTGCTGGCACAACTGTCACCCGCTTGACTGACTGCGGCCTCCAAACAGATGAGAAGTTCCTCTTCTCCGAAAAGAGGACAGTCGAGGAGGTGATAGGATACTCTCAGGAGAACTGTCGCGATATCATCTCCATCGGCTTTGACCCGGAGAAGACATTCATATTCTCAGACTATGAGTTTATGGGAGGGGCATTCTACAGAAATGTCACGCGGTTCGCCAAGCTCGTCACCTATAATACAGCCAGAGCTGTCTTTGGTTTTGACGAAAGGTAAGGCAGCGGCTCTTCACATCAATGCGCCGCCTTCGTCTACGAGCTTGCGTCTGAGACTAACGTGACTGAAGTTCAAACATCGGCAAGATTCACTTCACCAGCATTCAAGGTGCCACGGCGTTTGCGACCACATTCCCGCACATCTTTGGTGAAGACGAGAAGAGAGTGGCCAGCATTCCGTGTCTTATCCCTTGCGCAATCGACCAGGACCCCTATTTCCGTCTGACGAGGGACTGTGCAGCCAGACTGAAGTACGCCAAACCTTCATTGATACACTCCCGCTTCCTGGACGCGTTACAAGGACCCGGATCGAAGATGTCTGCCAGCATTGATAGTTCCGCCATATTCATGAAAGATACGCCCAAACAGATCAAGGACAAGATCAACAAGTACGCCTTCTCTGGGGGTCAGGAGACGGCGGAGCTGCAAAGAGAGAAGGGAGGCGACCCGGCTGTGGATGTCTCGTACCAATATCTGCAATTCTTCATGGATGACGATGAGGAACTGCGCAAGATTGGCCAAGACTACAAAGAAGGCAAGCTGTTGACGGGCGAAGTAAGTGGTTATCTCTTCGCCGATGAATCTTGATGCTGACATCAACCCAGCTCAAAGCAATCTGCATAAAGTATCTGCAGGAGTACGTAGCTGCTTTCCAAGAGCGCAGAACGAAGGCAACAGATGACAGAGTCAAACTCTTCATGTCCGTCCGACCGCTGAAGTGGGAAGGGAACCCCAAGGTGAAGAGAACCGTGCCTCTCACAGGGGAATCCTCGACCATAGGAGAAGGCGGCGAGGGCGGAGATGGGAAGCTGACTAAGAACCAGCTAAAGAAGATAGAAAAGGAGAAGGCGATAGCGGCCAAGAAGGCTGCGAAGGCTGCGGAGAAGGAGGCCAGTAAGGGTAATGCCTCATAGACTTTATGGTATCTAGGAAGTAACATCTCCCACCCCCCTGCGGACCACCCCCCCGCGGACCAGCGCGTTCTGACCCACAAACGCGTAATTCACCAACCACCAGGATTATGGTGATCCACCATCTACACCATCACTTTTGCATCTTTTTTTTCACAAAGCACACTATTTGAATCCTTATCCACTGCTGAATCTCATGATGTCATTTTATGACCGTTAAATAAAAGCTGAAGCCGCCATTTTGGCCATCCAACGCGGAGCTCCAGTCCGCTCGTCAGCCCTCGAATGGCAAATCAGTCGCTCGTACGTCAACCGACGAATCTCTGGCACCCCAACGCGGAATGAGACCAGCGCTCTCCAACAGGCTCTCTCACCGTATCTCGAACATAAGCTGGCAAGCTGGGCCCTGGGGCAAGCACGGCTAGGGTATTCTCCGGCGGTCTCTAAGTTCCGTCTCATGGCCCAGCAGATGCTCCATGCCACCAGGGATGCTCGAGAATTAGGGAAAAATTAGGTATCCAAGTTCCTGTCTCGAAACCCAGAAGTCAAGATAATGAAGTCTCGTGTTATCGACTACAACTGAATGAATAGTACTACAGCGGCAAATATCAACATTTTTTTCGATCGGTATGACGCCCCTGACGTGGTTAACCTCATGCCAGCACGCTGGTACAACGTCGACGAAATGGGAATCGCCCAGGGGGTTGGGGACTCCCATTGGGTGGTCTCCGAGGCCTCCGGCAACGTGGCTATGAAGAAAGGGGTCGAGAAGGGTGAATGGATAACTGCCTTAGAGTGTGTGAGCGGATCTGGTGAGACCTTGCCGCCGCTGGTGATTCTCAAGGAGATTAACGTACAAGCCCAGTAATTTAGCAACCAAAATGAGGGCAAATTCACCGACTAGAGGTTTATTACATCGCCCAATGGATAGACCTCGAATCCCATTGCGTTAGAATGGCTTCAACGTATCTTTATTTCTCATATTCGGGAAGTCCACGGCAACACATGGGTGGTTTTGGTGTGTGATGGCCACGACTCCCACACAAATGATGAGTTCCTAGCCACCTGCTTGAGAAACAAAGTATGGTTGATCTTTTATGAACCTTACTGCTCCCATATAGTCCAGGTATTAGATGTGGGAGTCTTCAATTTGGTGAAGAAGAGGTTGAAGACCTTATTCCAGGAGACGCCCAGCGGCCGTCTGGGACTCAGGCCATCTAAGGAGGAGGTTTTGGAGTGCTACGAGCAGGCCCGGAAGGACACAATGACGCTCCTCAACATCAGAATTGCCTGGAAAAAGACTGGGATTGTTCCTTATAACAGAGCGGAGGCATTAAAGTCGAAATATGTGATTCTGGAGGACAAGGGGGTGGCCAGGGCACGCCAGAAGGACCCTAAGGCTTCCGAGCGAGCCACAACACCAGATTTTCTCGAGATGGTAGCTAAAACCATTGTTATAACACCCTCTGGAAGCCGGGCTTTACGGGAGAGTGCTCGAAAGCTCGAAAGAAAGGACCCTTCCTTTGGGGGGCCCTTTGAACGCTTGTTGGTGCGGAAGGCTGGCAAGGCCATGGATGTTCAGGCTGCTACCATTACAAATCTACGGGCCAAATGTGAGCTGCTTGAGGCTCAAGTGGCTAAAAAGACTAATACCACTCAAAAAACAGTCAAACCAACACCAGGGGAACGATTCGTCACAATGGCTAACATAAGGGAGGCCAAAATGGAGCTGAGGAACAGGAGGGTCTATAGGGACTCCGCTGCAGGCGAAGAGGTCCCATAAGAGGTCCCTGGTGAGGATTTAGGGTCGGAATCGGATTCTGGGAGCTGTATTATGGTTAGAACACCACGACCTTAGTGTATTTAGCAACTGTGGTGGTTGTAGATGGCTTCATCTGAATGAGAGTGGTGTGGTGTGGAGTGGTCCGTGGGGGGGTGGTCCGCAGGGGGGGGTGAGATGTTAGAGACATCAGCGGGAGCCTTTGAGGTTTCGGAATCAAAATACCAAAGTTGCCGGCCATCCCTGGACGGGACTATTGCGCATGGTCGAATGCGTGACTCAATGTGAGAGCCCGTCCACCACATGCCGTTGCATGTCTGCTGCATTAGACACGATCAGTATACTTGACGTGGTACGACCATCAGCTCATGGGTTTTGTTCAACTCAACCAGCGTCTTGGCCCTAGACATGCTACTTGCTGGCAGCCACCCAGCACCGAATGACGAAAGGAGCCGCGGGTCATTCTGCCCAATCAGCCATTCTGACGATCTGATATATCACTTCACCTGAAATATCCAAAGCCATGATGTTTCATGTCCGGTATCTGCTGCACTCTGCCCCACCACCAATGGCACACTGCTGGCAGTCTTTTGGCTGAGGGTTCCCACGACCGTTGCGGAGTATAAAGCTGGCGCTCTCTCTGTGGTTGTTGGTTGTTCCAGCATGCTCTACTCTCACTTCCAACAAGCACACACACACACACAACTAATCTTACTCGACCGAATCACTCTTCAAATTCCACAAATGGATTACCTCCGCTACATGCCGTTGTTCGTAAAGTCCCTGCTCCTGAAGGTTCTCAATTTCTTCGAACCACCGCCCAAAGTAAAAGTGGATGTAGATTTGTCTTCAGACGGGCTTGAGGATCTCGAGCAAGAATATCACCATACGGCACCCCTCACGGACACAGACGACGAACCAGACGATGATGAGCCCATGTATGATGATGAGTATGATGAGGAGATGGGCTATGAGAGCGAGGAGCGAGAGGATATACGTGAGAGTTTACTTGCACTGTATGCCGTGCAGAGATTGTCTACAATAGGGGAAAAGGGGCGTTAGTCACACTTGATACAAAATAGATTCGATGAATCCACCATTACACTGCGTGAAGATACAACTAGTGTAAACATCTTGAATTGTCTGCCGTCCGACAAGTGATTGGACAACAAGGACACAGATAGAGCCGACTCTCATCAACCTTGAAGTATATCTTGGCTTTTTAACGATTTGCAACCCCAGCTCCGTGGTGAATTCGTGACTGGATCGAACGGCTCGCATTCAACCCTCAAAAACACGTAGCTAGCCCAACAGAATCAAACCCCAGCCCAGCTCACCTAAACAGGTCCATCAACCGTCCCACACATCCACGCCATGATACGCCCAGACACCCGTCGTTCTTTTCCTTGCCAATACGTATGTCTTTAGATGGAGCAACTGTACTAGACGAGCTCAGTATACGTGTCGCGGTATGACGGCAGTCCGCCCCCCTTTCTTTGTTTGGTTCGAAAAGAATGTTCCGCAGCTAAACATGCTATGGGCTGGCAGCCATCGGTCGTCCGGGGTATACCAAGAGCCACGGTCGTCCGGCCCAATCGGAGAGACTGGCGATTTTATATATCAGTTTCCCTGAAAGAAAGGACGTAAAGCCAAGATGCTTCATCCTGGACGTCTGCCACCGCTTGCCTGCGAATGACACACATCTTCGTCGACACTGGGTACTATGTTCGGACTATAAGAGCGGGAGTGTCTCCCGGTGAGTATGTGCCTCTCCATCTCTCTCAGACTCCAAGGAGAAAACATCACTCGCAAAGTTCCATCAAAATTACAACAATGGGTTGCCTACCGCTGGTGAAGGCCCTCTTTCTGAGCGGCATCGACCGACTCAGAGGATCACGCGACCAGGACGCGGAAGAACGGTGGCGAGCGTGTCCAGATCGTTGGGCATATCGCAGACCTGACATTTCCAGGGCTCGGTCTCGATCTTCTGAGCGTGCCAGACCTCTGTCTCGATTTTCTGAGCGTGACAGACTTCTGAATCGATTACAGGATTCCCACACGTCCCGGGCGCAAGTTGAGGAATCAAGGGCGCGGTCACCCAGCCCAGCTCCGGCAGTAACGTTGAGCGATCGATACCACAACGATCGATACCTTAGCGGTCAATGGGACGCCAACGGTCGATTCCACGCAAGCTATACAGATCGAGACGGACGCTACAGCGATAGATACCAAGCACGAAACGGAATTACCTCGAATCAACCCTTATACCAGCGTGTTGACCATGATGACAATTTTTATCGTCAAGAGGCGCGAGTCCCCCGAACAAACATCAGGCTCAACGGCGACAATATCAAGGTCATCGAGGCGCTCTTCTCCCTTCCAGGAAGCAGGTCCTCGGATTTGGACTGGGTCCAGTTCACGCAGCTCATGACGCGCCTCGGCTTCGGCGTTCGTATGCGCGGAGGAAGTGCCACAACCTTCACCCCATACCCAGGCGCATTCGTGCCCTTTGCCCAGATGGGGGCAATCGTGTTCCACATGCCACATGGGAAGTCCAGGGGAAGCCCTAAGTGCAAGGCATCCACCGCGAGGAAATGGGGAGCACGCCTTCGGGAGAGGTATGGCTGGACGGCGGATATGTTCTTGGAAAATTGAGGTTGGTCCTGGAAACCTGATGGAAGCTCCTGGACATTCGTGGGAGTGTCCTGGCACTGGACTGGATGTGCTTTTCATATGTCGTAATAGTGAAGAGGTATCACATCAGCTTAATACACAAATTACCTGATGAACTCCAGCGCAACGCTGCATGCATCGACGTACACTTAGTGTGGACAGCTTCGTTGCATCTGAGGACTGCGGATAGGCTCAATGACTAACTAGCGTACACACAGGATACATCCATGGCAATCTTCCCTCCTCGTAGTGACGGATTACTTCACAGGCCCGGGTAAAGTAGCTCGAATCGTGGGTATAGCTATCTTTCTTTTTCGGATTGCGGTGCCCGCCTACAACACTCCCAGCATGCCGTTCTGGTACTCACACCACTGGGAACCCATGAGTCATCGGTGAAAGTCCCGACGACGAAACCTCCCCCCTTGCCGATCATCTGCTCGCCTTGCAGCTCAGCAAGGCGTTCTACGCTTGGGTCCTTGGTCGCTGTGAGTCTCTTGTTTCGCTCTAAATCACGAATCGAGCCTGTCGCGCTTGAGGGCTCGTTCTTCAGGGTGGTGTTGATAGCCACCTACATTAAAGGGGTTCTCCTGAGTGACCACGTACCGCGTCTCTCAAGCCACACGACAGCGCCAAATAGGGGCGAAAGTCTTTTCCATGAGTTTGAAGGGCTCTCTTCGTCTGATCGGCCGAACAGTTCGTAACTTGGTCTGGGAGGCGCCTCTGGTGAGACCACCCGCTCGTGACTTCGTGAGAGACTCTGATGCACAACATGGCGGCCGTATTGCTTTCTGTCCCGAATCAGCGTATATAGTAATATGTTGAAGGTGCTTTGCAGCAGCTGCTGGTACTGTGCTGGCCCCTCATCCAGTGTCTTCACAATGATAAGGACAACGGGAATGATGGTATCATGGACGTCCGGCCATGATAGAATATTTTAATACTGGACATCTACGACTTAGATGAATTTAGGGGGCTTGTCACTTGTGCAGTTCCCACAGACAGCATCTGAAGAATTTCGACAAGAGCGCCGCTGGTATGTAAGGCCAGAAGATTGAGTGTTGGTTCTCGTTGCACACCAAAAGGAAAACGCATAATCAATAGGGAAGAAACACGAAAAGACGGGATAGCATGTCATCGCTTCGAGACGGGATAGCATGTCATCGCTTCGAGGTAATCGATCCATAGACCCATGGCCAACCTAGACGATATACTGAGAATCAGAATGATGCTCGGAAATGGACAACAAGTACGAGTTTGGAAGAGACTAATCTATTCATACCAACCATTCCTGCGAGATTCGACGAGCTGTCGGTAGTATGTTGGTTTCCTGTATTGCGTGAACAACGAGGCACGACCTCGGTCCACCAACTGACAGAATTCTCACTTCTCATGTGGTACAATCACTGACGATCACTATGAAACTGGTTATAGTTTGACGGCCACGCTGAGTTGAGCGCTGCTGCTCCTGCGGAATCATATCCTCATAATAGTGAGATGACCCGAACAAGCTACGCAACCCCTTTCCCAAGTTCGCCGATTTTGACTTCTCACATCCTTCATCCGCGTTCGCGCAACCAACAGACCTAGTTGGAGTCTCACAGTATCGCGCGTCAACTCATATTACTTTCCTGGATCAAGATGTCACTGTTGGTGCACTGCTACGAGTGCACTGCGTGTATGGGTGTTTTCATCACGTCATCCTCTACACGATGTGTCAAGCCGAATTGTCACCTGATTGCAACGGCATGGGACCCCTTCTCATTCACCTGGCTGTGCGTGTCTTTGCCTGTCGTATCAACTACCACACGGTCGACTGGGTTCCCTCCAGCTCGGATACCCCTGGACAATCACCTGTTCGTATTTTAGCATCCTACCACCCTGCAACGTGTCGCAATGAATACCACATCGAGCGATTCTCAGACCGACCAAATTGTCTCCGACAGGGACCTCTTCTCATTCAGCTCGTTGTCTGCCTGCCTTCCACCACCATCACCTTAGACACGACAGGAGCACCAGCATCATGCTGGCCATCAACACCACGCTGGCCATCAGGCTAGGACAACGCGGAGCACCACACCAACTCCAGGAGTGGGGCGGGGACCCCGTCTCATTCATCTGGGTGTGTCTAGGCCTTCCCCGCGTGTAACATGTTTCAACATACCAAACCGATCGACCGAGACCGCCATGGGACCCCTTCTCATTCATCTGGGCGTGTCCCTGCCTTTCTCACGCGGAACGTCTTTCACCACACCAAACCCTCAAGCGAGATTGCAATGGGAATCCTTTTCCATTCATGTGTGTCCGTTTTCCGGTTCGTTATTTCAGGTCCTGCACGTTCGATTCGTCAGACCCGGCTAACTATTCACATAAGCTGAGCGGCTGCAAGGTACAACTCCAGGTCTCGTCGCGGCGACGGCACGGCACGGCATACGGCACGGCGCACGGCACTCTCGGAGATGATTCGGGTCACACGAGCCGGGGCCCTTGTAAAAGGCGCTGTTTCCACTGTCATAACCAGGTTGTCTGTTGATGGAGTGCAGGACGGTGGCTGATAACCCCCTTCAGAATACCCTTTGTTTACGTACACGAATAGGGGATTAGTGGTGAATGAATCTGTGCTACTGTAGTAGTCTGGCGACAGGTTGATGAAACTTGAAGGCTAAAGAACGGGGTAATCCTGGGGGATATGGGGATCTAAGTTTACCCTTCTTTTGGTGGGGGTACCAGCCATTGGGGACGTACCCACAGATAGGTCCGAGATTCACCCCTAACCTACCTCCTGAGTCCTAACCCCTTTCGACGGCGGCGCGGGACGGGTACCCCCCCAGATCCCGTCACGTATACCGAGATCTAACCCGCTTGTCCAGGAACGCGTCGTTGTATCTTTATTAGTTGATCAACACCGAATCTTGCTTTGCCGATGCACCCGCAAATCGCTACGTCGCGCCAGGGTTCTGAGTTGAGTGTAGACGGCGCGCGCTCGGCATTTCGGGATTCGTCGGACGTGCGCCTGGACACCATGATGGCGAGGGGGGTCCGTATGATGGAGGACGAAGAAGCTCATTCGGTAGAGAATACGTAACCCAGGTGCGTTGATATTGGATCATGGGTTCCACAGCAGGGAGCACGCGGCGGAGCATGATGATGCCACTTGCGCAGGCAGCCAGGAGGTACAGTAGATCATGTGAACATGACGAAAGCATAAATAGCAGATGCTTCGTCGTCTCGAATGGTGTCTCGAACTGTCACCCATAGCTTCGTTACTTACTTGAGCCCTCTGCCAGAGACAGTCTGCCCGCGTCAAAAGCCCGAACATCGTGAAAGATGCATTTGCCAAGTTGGTTCATCCAGGCCGGGCTTCTGCCCTTGGTCCTAGGTCTTCCTAGACCTCAGTGAGTTAACCTTCAACGCCTTAGCCTTTGGCTACGAGATCAACATACGATGAGCGTGGGCTAACAACATCCCAAGAATGACCTACGATGAGAACACCGGCCCAGTCGGTGGAGTCAACCCACCCATCCCCGACACAACAGCCGTAGCCGGCTCCCTCCGCGGCTCCACCAACCTGCAAGGCGGTCTCGCCGCTCGCCCGCCCGTCACCGGCGGCGACTCCGCCGCGGTCCCCGACCCGCAGATGGTGCCGGGGCAGGACGCAGACTCCAAGCTAGGCCTCTACCTCGACTTCAACAGCGTCGAGTCTCCGCAGCCGATTCGCGGCGGGAACGGCGGCACGGACCCCGGGCCGCGTACCAACGCGTACGAGAGGCTGAACTCGGACGTGTTCGCGCCACCCGGCACGGACAACGGCGATGTGCCGAATGCCATGTGGCCGCTGGGGTTGAGCCATAACCGGGCTGGGAGCGAGCCGGGCGCGGGCTGGGCTCGGCAGCAGAATGTGGACGTGCTGCCGGTTGCCACGGCCATGGCGGGCGTAGACATGCGGTTGGCGCCGCATGCGTACCGGGAGTTGCATTGGCACACCTCGGCTGAATGGTCCTTGATCCTGAAGGGCGGCGTCCGCGTGGCGGCGATGAACGAGGACGGCGCCACGTTCGTCGACGACCTCACAGCCGGTGATGTCTGGTTCTTCCCCAAAGGCGTCCCGCACAGCCTACAAGCCCTGGACGAGGGTGTTGAGTTCCTGCTGGTATTTGATAGTGGCAGTTTCTCCGAGGACAGCACATTCCTCGCGAGCGAGATGATGCTGCGGACCCCTAAATCGGTCTGGGCGAAGGACCTGCAGACCAGCGTCGATGCGTTTGACGACATACCGCAGGACCAGAAATATGTGGGTTTTCGAAACACCTGATGCCTGAGCTCCCGTGTAACTGACGCCTTTTGCAGATCTTCAACGGCACGCCAGCCCCAGCCGACATCGAGAAGCAGAACGTCACATCCTCGGCCGGCTCGCTCTCGGGCCCAGACGGCTACACCTTCCACTGGTCGCAGCAGGCCCCGCACACCACCCCCGGCGGCACAGTCAAGATCCTCGACCCGCAGACCTTCCCCATCGCCAGCGGCTTCTCCACCGCTCTAGTTGTGCTCGAGCCGGGCGCGATGCGCGAGGTGCACTGGCACACGACGTCGGACGAGTGGTCCTACTTCCTGCAGGGCTCAGCGCGCATCACCGTCTTCTCCGCGCCCGAGGCGTCGCGCACCTTCGACTTCACCGCCGGCGACGTGGGCTACATCCAGCAGGCCGCGGGCCACTACGTCGAGAACACGGGCACGGACGATGTGGTGTTCCTGGAGGTGCTGCAGGCTCCGAAATTCGCCGACATCAGCGCGGCGCAGTGGCTGGCGCTGACGCCGCGCCAGGTCGTCAAGGATACGCTGAACTTGAGCGATAAGGTGCTCGATGCGATTCCCAAGGACAAGACGCTGATTAAGCCTGGGCCGAAGAATATGACTGCTATTGCTGGCGGTTCATAGGATATGAGGAGGTCATCATGGCGGGGTCGGGGGGTGCGACCTTATATTTTAGGAACTGGCTTTCGAAAGGATTTGCGGAGAGGGGTGCGATCACATTCTTCTTCATGTTTTAGCCCCGGCACAGTGGGACATTAGGGGAAATTTAGGGATTTGGGATGTATTGACACGGGCTCAGGTAGCATGTATCCGTCCAGTTAGCCAGACGATAGCGATGTTAAGATACAACATCCTAAAACGTATTCTTCGGAATTCGTGTTCCCAACCCAGCAGATTGAGATGGTATCGATGATGTGGAATTAATTCAGGCTCTGCCGTAACCTTGAGCAAATTAAGCACCCAGCATGAGATTTTGCTGACTTCTAATAAAACGTACGCGGGGTTCGGAAAAACACATCTAACAGTAGCATAACTAATTGATTCATGGTATCAAGTCACACAGCAGGTTCCGGGATATCCTCCCGTCTTTAAGAGTTTACGTCGTCCTTGGCTGTCAGTCGAATAATCAGTTCTCGCGCTGCGAGGTGTTCCGTCTTGGAAGCAGTATTATATTCCAGTACGTTGGTACAATAGTAGACACTTTAAACTCCTCATGTGTCCATCGCGTGTCTCCCACAGCAGCATCCATGTGTTGGTGTCACGTACACGATAGGGGACAAATGGTGAATGAATACAAATCGGTCCGTTATTCACACGCAAGGTGGATGTAGGGTGGATGCAACACATGCAGTTAGCCCCCAAATACCTAGGTAGTTATGCAGGTAGGTTTGCTCTGTCACGGCTTCTCGGAAATGCCCCCTCACTTCGTCCACCATGCTCCGAACCATACATGTAACCACAACCAAACCCAGTACGCCACATCTCAGTGTCAGCCTTTACGTGGGCCCATCGCAAGCTTGCTTCTTTCCATCTGCACTCTCGTTCAAGACGCTATCATGGATCCCCTATCCATCACTGCTTCTGTCATAGGCATCAGCGGAGCATGCGCGGCCGTCATCAAGAGCCTGAAGGTCATACACGACAAGTACAGCCAGGCTGACCTGACCATCCTGGCAATATGCTCGGAATCAACTGCGGTGCAGGCGGCACTATCACAAATTGAGTACCTCTTGCGTCAAGATGGGACGTGGTCATCACTCGGTTCAGGGAGCAGCCGGTACTGGCCTCCGCCTTCGACACCTCTCTCACAGGATGTCAGATGGTCTACTCTTGCCTATAAGCGGAGTTTCCGGACCTCGCGGCTAGGTTGCAACGAGACAGTAGCCTTGACTGGAAACAAAAGTTCAAGGCAGTATGAAAGCAAGACACAATGGCCGGTTGCCAGAAGCAGATACTAGGCCAGGTGTTGGCTTTGAACACACTTCTCCAGGGCATGCAGATGTAAGTAAGGCACGAGTCGGTGCCTTGGCCTCTCAGGGTCTAATAAATACCGTCGGAAGTCCTTGATTGAAATACGCAAGCTTTTACTGAATCAACAGACGCATCTGCACGAAATACACAACAATATAGCAAGCTTGCGCAAGCAGTATCCTCAAACCAATGCCCCCAATCACTGTTCAACTACTCTCGATCCGCGGCAAGCATCTTCGGAGCAGCCGACTCTGTACTAGGAGCGGAAGAATTCGCATTCGACGATGCGATAGTCAATTCTAGAGCCTATCGCCGTGCCATGGCCTTGGCCCAGGCGCAGATGAGCGGTAGTATGAGCGCCGATCAGGACGAGCAGCCGACGGTGACCAAGGATGCTGAAAGTGATGCTTTCCAGGCGCTGGTATCCCACAGCGAAGACTCACGAGATCCTGCCGAGAGTTCAGCGAGGCAAATGTGGCGAGCGCCGATGGTATACAGGTCGTTCGTCTCCGAGAAGCCAGGACTGAACGAGCAGTTACCAGCAATTCGAGATGACTGGGCTACGGCTTTCCAATTGCCAAAAGCCAGCCTCAAGGGCACACGCAGAAGGAGTTGATGTTCCAGAATATTCTTAGGGAGATTTTTCAGAACGAACTTTATACAGGTCAAATCTGGAATATATCACGGCACTAAGTAACAGCCATGCAGCTCTAAGGGTCTAACCCTTACATATACCAGATCTTTTTATTTAGTTAACTTTTCAGTTTCTTTCTTTCTTTACTTATATTAATAAAGTTATTTTTATAGTTACTTATAACGAAATTATTCCAATTTTAATTGGTTTAATTTTTGATTTTTGAATTATTAAAACGTTTTATAGTTATTATAAGATTTTAATCTTTGTATTTCATTAGATTGTCTCTGTCACGGCGAGCATACTGGGGAGCTGGGACATGGCCGGCAGCAAGCAGCTATTACTCTATTGACGAGAATATCAAGACTAGAGAGGAAAGGAAGAGAGAGAGAGATAGGTACAGCGGGAGGTTGCCCCTTTAAGGGGATCCTCTGGTCAGATCTTTCCCTTATTGGGAAGTATCCGCTTGTTATGTGGGAAGGTCTGTGCAGGCCGTTACAAAAATGTTATATTTAAAAAAGGTTTATTTTTTACTCTTATTAAGCGAATTTTTGTTGTTATAAAACCTTTTAAATTATTGTTTCACTTACGTTTGAAAAAATTCGATTTAATTACGGAAAACCTCATTCAATTTTTTTTTTAAAAACTACGCTTAACGGGAAAATAACTAATAGCATATAGATTAAAATAATCTTACTATTTAATTAAATATTTAACCCCGACTTATATTATCACGAGCGTAATGGTCGAGAACATTTATAAGCTTAGAATGAATTAATATCTTTTATTTAGACTTTATTTCGCGCTTTAATAAAATAATAAGGCTTTTAAAGTTATGTATAGGAAATAAACTAATATTTTTAAAAACCAACTTTACAAAAAGTTATAAAACGTTTTTATATCGGTTATAATTATTTTTAACGTACTGATTTTACTAGGTAAGTTCATTTGTATTACGAGCTTATTAATAATTTTTAATTACAATTTGAGCTTTAAGCATTCAAAAGATAATTAAAAGCCAGTCTTAACTTTATAAAGAACCGATACGGCTTTACTTACGACGTTTACAAAAATAAACTTATAAATCTTAATAAAGTTAATACTTTTTAAAGGTTTATTATTATTAATGGAAAAACCAATTACCACCGCCTTAACTTTTACAATCATTATAATAGCTTAGGTTATTATATCATAAGTTCTTTGATTAAAACAACATTTAAAAACGTTAAAAGACGAAGCTATTCCGTAAGCAAAAAGCTAAGAAGAAGCTTAAATTTTAAACGTCGATTTAGAAAAAAAGCCTGATTGATATATACGTATTGAAAATTTTCTCTTTTTTTAAAGAAATTATATCGATTATATATTAATTTATATGAAATTCCAATCATAGGTCCCAAAACTTTGTTGACTTTCTTTTTACATAATAATTTATATTTATTTTAAAACCGCTTTAAAACTTATATACTTTTTACTTAACTAAAAACTTATTAATAACTACAACATTTAATACGTTACGCTTTAATATAATAATAATAAAATGTTAAAAAGCTTTACTCTATTTTCATAGCCTTTTAACGGCTTTAGCATTGATTTAAAACTTTTTTTTTCATAATATTTTAACCTTTTTATTAATTAAACGGTTAATATTAAAAAAAAAAAACCTAAACGATACGTATTATTTTTATTTTAAAATCATTATTACTGAATCTTTGAAACGATGACTTACAATAATTTTAATTACTTTAATTAAAAGAATAACAAGAAGTAAAAATAAAATCGATACCGCTTATTTTTAAATTGAAAGTTACCTAACGCCGATTTATAACCGAACCCTTTCCGGCCCGACTCTTTTTTAATATAAAAAAACCCGAGATCAAAATTTAAAACCTATTAACCATTAATTTATTTTTGTTAAAAATGTAGAAAAGTACTTAAGTTGGAATTATATTGTTTTAGAAGTTTACAATTAACGTGGATGACAAGCGAGCGGCAATTATAAGCGAACGGCAACTTTTCACTAGCCACCTAACCTTTCAATCAAGGCTCCTAATTGATCAACCAACAATAATGGCATTGCGTTATAGCGAATCAGACTTACACCTTGCTGTATAAGCTAAGCGACGCGGCCCTCATATTACCATTGGCAAGCTTTCTAAGACTTTCCTTTCCCATATAATACCTTGAAGGCTAGAATTGCCGGCCGACCATCACGACGCGATAACATGCCCAATACTTTGAAACTTACGGTTTCCGAAGAGAATGCCATTCTTTCCTTCATTCTTGACCTGGATGCGCGAGCATTTCCACCCCGGCACAGTTATGTTCAAGATATGCCGAATCAATTGTTGGCAGCGCGTGGGGATGGACACATTAGAAATAACTGGACGCAGAACTTTATTAAACGCATACCAGGCCTCCGGACGCGTTTTCATCAAAGGATGGACTACCAAAGGGTCTTGAACGAAGATCTAGACGCGTATCGCGCGTGGTTTCGGGCAGTCGCAAAACATGGTATCCAAGATACGAACACCGTCGCCAGACCCCAATCTGCCAACCACTACTTGGACTTCAAAGACGCCTACCACCATCAACGAAGCAGTAAACCAGTCGGTTTATATCCGAAATCGAGTCAGAAACCACCAGGAAAGCTCACCTACATCAATAATGGATGCGTTGAGCTCATTTTCAAAGGCTACATACGGTCTTATGCACAAGGTCGCTTTGGTTGATTCCCGGGTCCGCAAGCTAGAGGAGGCCAATCACCTACTAAGTAAATACCAGAGGACAAAAAACAAATGTCTAATAAAAAGAGTAATACTTTCTGTTAAAGATGCAATAGGACTACAGGCTGTAAAGGATGGTAATGAGCTGGCAAGACAGGAAATGAGTGAAGGTAGTCGTCGTCCAAAGAGGGCGGCAGTGTGTGAGCGACGTTGTGGCATTTGCGGCAACACTGGCCATAATGCGCGAACTTGTACAATAGAGATAAAAACGTCTCAAGAAGAAGAATCCAGTTGATTAGATTGAATGAAATGCGTTGTGATCGAGTTATTTGACATGTTGATTTGAAGGTTAGTGAAAAGTTGCCGTTCGCTTGTCATCCACGTTAGTACTTTAACTTCATCTTTAAAAAGATAGCTGGGTTTTTCTTATAAAGCGATTATTAAAGCGACCGTAAATCTCTTCCCCGCTTGCGTTATTCTTAATATGGTTAAAAATAAGGTTATTTTTACCTTTATTATTAAAGCTATATATTTTTAATTTTAATAACTTTGATTTTAATAAGCTTGATTTTAATAAAAAAGATGAAAAATGTGAAAGCTTTAACGATAAAGAATAAGTTAATAAAGCTCAAAATTTTCTTCTACCCGTTTTTATATTAACGAAACGACTTTATAAAAATTTAATCACTCTTAACGCAAGTTTTACAAAGAAAAGAATTAAATTTAAAATCGATATTTTTTATAAAATAATAGCGTGTTAAAAGCAAATTTTTAAAATTAAGAAATTGTGGGAACAGGCTTAAACGATAAATCATAATACTCGAGTATGGGGTCAAGGTCATGATGTTGCTGATGGTTGGATTGTGAAGTCTAGCTGGACCTGTAGGTCTGGCTAAGTGACCTCACAATCTGGTATCTAATCTCTTATCTAATCATAAATGTGGGTTCTGTATGGATGGTTTGACAGTGGAATCACATGGATCCAACAGTTACTTTTTTTTTAATATAATTTACGATTATATAACTATTTTTTTATAAGTAAATATATTATAATTATATAACTGTTATATTTAACATAAGTAAGATTTTCACTATTTAAATCTTTAAAAGTTGATATTAAATATTTTTATTTAATTACTACTCAACTTACTACTTTTAAAATAAATTAAAAATAAGTATTTGACTTTTAAGATTAAATTAATATTAATTTAAAGGCTAGTAAGGTAAAAGGGTTTGAAAGCGCTTTTAATACGTTTACGGGCATATTTAAAAACTATAAAAAGATTAAATATAAAAATCTTTCTTATTACGTAATTTAGCAAAAATAAATATGCTAATAAAAATAACACTTTTTTTTACGTATAAATCCCAATAAATAAACACATAGTTTAAAAAATAATACCTATAAATAATACCGTTAAATTTAGTAGCAATAAATTAGAAGCTACTATTAATTAATTTAAAAGTTTTTTTTCTTTCAATAAATACGTATTTTATTTAGACTTTAAAATGTTAAAAGTATTAAAGTTATTAATGTAAATGTAATAAATTATTATGATTATAATTTTTAAATATTGTATAAAAATAATCTTTGTAATAAAAAAATACTTACGCAGGATATTATTAAAACTATTACTTTAAAAGTTACTATAGAAATAAACTATATTATTTAAAAGGTTTTAAAAGTAAATTTTTATCAATTAAGCTTTTAACTTTTGATATACGATTTCTGTTGGATCCATGTGATTCCACTGTCAAACCATCCATACAGAACCCACATTTATGATTAGATAAGAGATTAGATACCAGATTGTGAGGTCACTTAGCCAGACCTACAGGTCCAGCTAGACTTCACAATCCAACCATCAGCAACATCATTACCTTGACCCCATACTCGAGTATTATGATTTATCGTTCAAGCCTGTTCCCACAGTAACGCTTGAACGGCGTTATTATAATTATAAAAAAAGCGTTTTTTTTTTCCTTTTATACCTTTCTTATACTTTTTATTATATAGTAATTATGTCAACATTAACTTATTTAAATAAAGTTTGTATAAATATTATTTCAAAATTTTAACCCATTTAATAATTAAAGTAATAAAATTACAAAATTTCTAAGTATTTATATGGTTATAAATTAATAAGTTACTAAATCTATGTTTAAATAAATCAATGGAAACCATTTTCGGTATATTCACTTATAAAGCTTTTTTAAAAATTTATTTCAACAGTTTATTATTATTATTTTCTTACGTTT